CAGCCTCAGCAGTTTTGGGGGTCTGAAGGATGGGATACTTGGAATGCACAGTAACAACTCAGAGACAATGCTTGTGTAAGCTGACAGGTCACTTCCGGCTTCTGCAGTTGCTAAGTAGCTTCTGCTTCTGCCTTGGTAACCTCAGTCTATTATTATCATGAGCAAGGGGAAACAGAAAGGAAAGGGGAAATCACCCAATATGGAGTGTTCTCATAATTCCAAAGGTTATTCTTAGAAAATCACCAATATGTTCTTCATCATCTTTAATTAAACACAAAAACTATCCCAGGCTTAATACCAGAGCAAGCACAATCTATTTTTATTCTTTAATGATTATACAATCTTCTGAGCATTTGACCCAGAGTCTAGCCATATGTGGTTTCACAAAAAAAGGTGTTGGACCCCAAAGTTTAGGGTCTCAAGTGGGCACCCCAAGAACCCAGACTCCAGTCCAGCTGATGCAACAGCACGAGGACTTTATTGACTTCTGTACAGAAGGGCAAACTCTGCTCATAAGAGCAAGAGCTGCATCTTACTGCAGCCCCATAAGGGCTTTTAAAGGAAAAACCCATAAAACCCATAAGATTACAATTCCCATACAATTTCATGGCCTGATCACAGGGTGATCACAGAGGGGGTACAGTTACGTAAACTTCAAGGGGGGTATCAGTGCGGGAGTGGAGCTTACACACAGGTCACGGTGGTCCTTCCTCCAGGAAGGTGTTCCACACCTGCAACTATCCCAGTCACAGTTGAGCACATCTCTTAACAGAAATCTTTTTACATTGTTGTATTGTTACAGGGGTGATTGAGTAGGGGCTGAGTCAGGTGGCCCTTGGAACTAGATTTTTAGTTTCTCATTTCCTGGTGCTTGAAGTTTCTCTCTTCCTGAGGCTTGGGGGTGTAAGCCTGAAGGGCTAGGGTCTTTCAAAGGTAAAAATAAGAACAATGGTTAATGTACCAGACAATCATTTCCTTCTCACACAGCCTGCTCCGACTTCAGACCTCTGCAGCTGCCTAAGTTCCTCCTCAGCCCTCTGCAAACACCAAGCCCTGGGACTGGTTGGCCACAATGACTTCAGACAAGAAATCTGCCCCTGCAGGTCAGCGGCTTTGTCCTTCTTATCCCAACAGTTCCAAGGAAGACCTGATCCGATTTTCAGAGCTCCCATGAAAGGAGCTCACCTTTCCTGGCAGCTCTTTTCAATCTAGGAACCCAATAAAACTTGCATCAATCACTCCAACCATTGCCACATTGTCTCCACACTCCTTCAGGAGGAATCAAAAATATCTGGATTAAAGTTGCCATCTCCCTTTCTTGGTGGAGGCCACCATTTTCCTCCTATTCTGGGTTCCCACACTTCTCGTTTGTCATCCCATCTATATGTTACTCCATCCACAGTCTTCAGCCAATACCCCTTAGGGTCTCAAGTTTTACACAATGCCCTTGGAATATCCTCAGAAACTGAATTATTCATCATGGCCAAATTGAGTCCAGTGCACTGATACATATCAAACCATGTGCTATAGTTGACCACACATTCGGTACAGTTTATCCAAGCCTGAAAAGTTTCCCCAGGCTGCAGGTTCTTTCCCATGACCTGCATAACTGCCTTGACCCCAGCCTGAGTGATCATCTCTGTATAATTTCCCATGAAATTTGTTTCATTCCCATCCCATTTCACAGAAAGTACCATTGGTCTAAGAACACAGAACATGAAGAACAGATAGAAGAAAAAGATTAGCATCACAATAAATAATTATATGGAGGAGAACGTGACATGTGCACAACATAAAGCATGACCTTGGGATACACAGGCAGTTCTGCCTTGGCCCTCTAGAGGCATGCAAAGCAGAAGAGCCAGAGGGGAACGCATGGAGGTTTATCGGTCCACAATCTTGGGTCCCTCATCTCCAGTTTCTGCTGGTAGCACATAAGGCATCTTGTATGCCATCCCCAGCACACTAGATTAAACATAGAGGCCAGGCAGTGGTGGCACACACCTTTAATTCTAGCACTTGGGAGGCAGAGGCAGAGATCCATCTAGATTTCTGTGAGTTCAAGGTCATGCTGGGCTACACTAGATTAATCCAGTCTAAAAGAGAAACAGAGCTAGGCAGTGGTGACACACACCTTTAATTCCAGCATTTAGGATCACTCACCTTTAATCCCAGCACTAGGAAGGTTGAGACAGGAAGTAATATGTCTGGGCAGAGAAAGGAATCTAAGGTGGGAGGAGACAAGAATGCTCTTTCTTTCAGGCTGAGGAGTTGGTGGGGTAAGAGGTGATAGCTGTGGCTTGCTCTGCTTCTCTGATCTTTCAGCTTTCAGCCTGATATCTGGTCCCAGGTTTTTATTATAAGACCATTTAGGATTTGTGCAACATAAGAGGTTTTACCATAGGACCGAATGTATAAATCCCTTTTAGGGTCACCTCCTATTAGAGAAGCTATGTACCTGTCCAGGTTAGGTAACCTCAACAGAACTTCAGGTTAGGGTACACTCAAACTCACAGCCTCAGAACTGTGAGGCTATTACTTTCATTCTCAAATGTATACACATTCATCAAGAGTTTAAACAGTTAGTCCTCAGTTATTCCCACTGAATTCTGTTCTAGGTAGAAGTCCAGATTTCATGATGGAAGGAATCTTGTAGGGATCTAGCAGAGTTACTATATCTAGGGTAAACATTTTAGGGTGAATAGTTGTTGTAGGCGAGTGTGTTGCAACTCTAGGGGAAAGGTATCCTGACTGTTCAGGAGTCGGGTGAAACCTCGAGCTACTAGGACAGCTCTGGCAACTGGAGCTGCAATGAGGCAGCTCAGCCCTGGAGGGGAAGGCATCCTTACTGTTGGGGAGAGTCAGGCCTGGAGCTGCTAGGACAGCTCAGCTCTGGAGCGGAAGGTATCCCCACCTGAGTCAGGCTATACCTTGTGTCCCCGCAGGATATAGCAATCCCGCTCCTCTCCTGGAGAGCAGCTACCCCTGAGCTTTGTTCAGCCCCCACTTAAGGGGGGTTCCCAGCAGCAGAGCTCTGCTTTTTCTCCAGCTGAGATGTTGCTTCTTTTGCTTCACTCTGCTAAAGGGGAAACCCCTGCAGAAATGTAGCAGTCTTCTCTGGCTGCAGCAAAAAGTTGTTACTTTTTCTACTCTGCCTTGTTCGGCCCCTAAGGGACGTCTTAGCAAGGTTCTTCTTCTCTGCACCCAAAAATGAAGATCTTCACACCCAAAACTCCTTTGAGAAAGATTTATTTGGGAAGGAGGAGTCCAGGAGAGTGGCTGGCTCTACCAGGGTGGGAAAAAACAGCCACCAGCTGAACAGGTGGGGTGGTTTATATAGGATCTCTCGGGGGCAGAGTTTCTCCAGAAGATTTTCTGTCCAGTAATTGGTTAGTTTTCTGTTCAGGGATTGGTTAGTTTTGTGGGTCAGGGGCAGAGATGGCCCTGATTTCAGAGCCAAACTGTGTTTCACTGGCCTTTCTTAGCTTTTTTACTCTAATTTTAAGGCCAAGGCATATTTCTTTCACTGGCTTTGATTCTAGGGACAAAGTGTGTTTCTTTGGTACTGGTTTCAGAGTCAGGGCATGTTTCCTTGTTTCTGGGTTTGGGGATAAAGTGTTTCTTTCTTGACTCAGGTCCTAGATCTAGGCTGTGTTTCTTTTCCTGCTCTGTGATTGGTTGGTTTAACTGCTCAGTTGGCCAGGGGCAGAAATGGGCCTGGTTTCAGAGCCAAACAGTGTTTCTTTCACTGGTGTTTCTTAGATTTTTTTTTTTAAACTCTAATTCTAAGACCAGGGCATATTTCCTTCACTGGTTCTGATTCTAGGGACAAAGTGTGTTTCTTTGGTACTGGTTTCAGAGTCAGAGCATTTTTCTTGGGTTCTGGGTTTGGTGAAAACTGAAAAGAACTGTTTAAAGTGGCTGATGGGGGGCTGAAGAGATGATGGCTCAGCAGTTAAGTGTACCTATGTGGTGGCACACGCTTTTAATCTCAGCACTCAGGAGGCAAAGACAAGTGGATCTTTCTGAGTCCAAGGCCAGGCTGGTCTACACAATGAGTTCCAGACCAGCCAGAGCTACACAGTGGGACCCTGTCTGGGACCTCCATATAATTGGGCTACCACCCGAAGGTGGCATTCACTCTGAGGAGTATCTTCCCTTTAGTTACTCCTTCCAGCAAAACCTCTATCCCAGAAACATGTCTCTTAGTTTATTCTGATCCTGCCAAGTTGGCAGTCATCATGGGGCATGGACTCACACTACAGCTCTGCCACTCCTGGAGAGACACACTCCATCTGAATCTGTTTCCCATCGCAAAAATGCAAACTGTGGGGCTTGTGTGTCTGAGCAACGGCTGTCAACATAGACACTACTAAGCTAAAGGCCTGGTGCATTACATTGTGTGTAATGACCAATGTGTGAGTCAAAAAAGGAAGCAGTAGGCATCCCACCTTACACACAAAAAAACAGGCCCACGGATTGTGGTATTTGGATCCATAAATATGGATTTGATAAACCCCAAGCACAAAAGTAAAACTGTTTAGCAAACTATAATAGTTAGAGAAGTTTCAATAACGAGTATATGTTGTGGGACTGGTAGAATCACAACAGTTTGAATTCTTGGGGAATCGTCCTCTGAGAGAGATACACCCTTTTATAGCAGATGAGTTTTGCTATCTTGTTAGTTAGCAAACTTTGTAACACTATTTATCCTTCCTGAGACAAGCAGTTTGTGGTGAGGTGCCAGGGATAAATAGGAATTGAGCTCTAATTGCAGAGGGCATCATCAGGTCAGGCTCCTAGTTGTCAAAGTCTGATAGGTGGAAAGAACGGATTTTGCTTTAGTTGTATTTGGTCTTTTTGTGTCAATAGTGAGGTCCCTGGATTCTGAATGCCCCGAATTAGAGGGCAACGCCCGCTTGAGCCTCAGATGTCCAATCTCTTGCTCGCCTTGGCAACCGACACTTCCGGAATCCAGGAGATACCGGAAATGACGCTCTCACGCTTCCGGTGCTGCTGTTGTCATTTCTTAGGGTCCTGGTGGTGCTGGGGGCCGGTGAGCCGTCACGCCTGCAGGTCGTGCCGGGAAGGGAGGTGCGGCCAGCACTCGGGCGCGACGCCGGCCGGTGCTGGGGTGCGTGTCCGAGGCGGAGTCGCTTCGTCCTCGTTCCGCGAGGTCGGCTCGGGTTGGAGCCTGTGCGTCAGTGCTGCACCGGGCAGACCCTCCAGGTGAGCGGTGCCACCGAGGCCGGTACGCTATTCTCTGGAATGGTGCGGCAAAGCCTTCTGTTGAGCATTAAGGACATTAAAGTCAGTGGGGAAGTGTCCTGAGCTTCACGTGTGTGCTCTCAGAGAGTTCACAGATTAGTCTTTAAAAAACAAAAACAGAAACAGAAACAGGGTCAGCCGGCAGTGGTGGAGTACTTTAATCCCAGCACTCACAAGGCAGAGGCAGGGCAGTCAAGGCTACACACAGCACACAGAAACCATGTCTTGGAAAACCAAAAAAAAGGGCAACTACAACAAAAAACAGGCTCAGAGGAAAATGTCTAACTCTGGGGTCTCCAGTGCCTGGTATCTGGAACCACAGCATACCTCCTAGTTATCCCCGAGGAGCTGATTTTCAAATGGCATGCATAAACGGGAAAACATTATCCCCAGACTTTGCCAGCTGAGTTAACCACACTGGTTTACCATATCTCTGTCCCTGTGTAACACATATACACATGTGCACGTCTGGAAGCCAGTCCTGCCTTTTGAGTCTTCCCAGGAAATGGAGCCCACATCTGTGTAAACTGCAGAGTTGCGTTAAGAGAAATGATCCAGCAGAGGACTGACTTCCAGAAAATGGTCGGTGGGGTTACGGAAGCGACACTACTGGTGTGCCTGGACAGACCAGAAAGGCTTGAGTTAAGTAGAAGAGATCTCCAAAGTTCTTACTCTATCTAGTTCCTCCCTTTTGAGTGGCCCTCCAAAAGTTTGGAGGCCATGACTGAGTTCTGCCTAAACCAGTGCAAGTACAGTGTTACAGTATGAGGTACAGCAAGGAAAAGAAACCCGCTGTTTTCCACCTGGGGCAACCAGGAAAACTGCCTTCAAAAGAAGTGACAGATGAATGAGTTTGTCAGAAATCAAGAAAAAGAAGGGGAAAAGTGCAAACAGGAAAAGTGTGTGTGTGTGTATTTTATAGAGTGTTAGTCCCAAACTTGTATCTTTACAAGTTGAAGACTTTTGAGCCTCCACTCCCAGCATGTTTATTCAAAAATTAACAATATATATGATTTGAATTTCAGTGTATACTACAGAACATATTAGATTGGAGTTAAATAATTTAGTAATTCTTTAACAACCTATTTTCTTGCATACCCTACATTGGAGGCTGTTGCTATCCTTTTAATTTGGGTACTTGGGGAGAATAGTTGGAGGTGTGTGTAAAAAGCTATGAATGCAAGCTGGGCAGTGGTGGCGCACACCTTTAATCCCAGCACTCCAGAAGCAGAGGCATTAGGATCTCTGTGAGTTCAAGGTCAGCCTAGTCTACAGAGCGAGTCCCAGGACAGGTTCCAAAGCTACACAGAGAAATCTTGTTTCAAAAACAACAAAAAGGTAAGAGTGCTAAACATAGATATTTAGTTTGAGTCTAAAAGTTTGAGAAGGGAAGTCACTTGGAGTGATTTCTCTATTTGTACTTTTCCCCCTACAGCTTTGTTTTTAGCTGCAGAATCTCTCACCAGCCAAGGGCTGAGTACTCCAGGACTCTGATTGTTCTCTTTATGTTTCTGTAGGTGACACTTCTGCACTTCCTTTCTTGACTCTGAAAAACAGCTCCTGCAATTTGAATCAGAGACTCATTTTCAGTGTGCCTGCTGTAGCTGGAACTAGCTTCTTTTGGGGATCACAATGACCATGGAAGGCAGGGGAACATTAGGTCTTATCCCCAGGACAGCTGAGTATCAGAAGCAGGAGGGGAGCTTGACTGTGAAGCAGGAACCAGGAAGCCAGACCTGGAGACAGAGCTGCAGCTTCCAGAAGAACTACCCTCCTGTCTGTGAAATCTTCCGGCTACACTTCAGGCAGTTATGTTACCACGAGATGTCTGGGCCTCAGGAGGCACTGAGCCGGCTCAGGGAGCTCTGCCACTGGTGGCTGATGCCAGAGGTCCACAGCAAGGAACAGATCCTAGAGCTGCTGGTGCTGGAGCAGTTCCTAAGCATCCTGCCCAGGGAGATCCAGATGTGGGTACAGCTCCGTCACCCTGAAACTGGCGAGGAGGCTGTGGCTGTGGTGGAGGATTTCCAGAGAAACCTTAGTGGGTCAGGGGAGGTAAGCAGTCAAGTCTACAAGCTGTTGTAGATGTTCTAGATGCTTCTAGAACTCTTCTCTAGACTTGGACTAGCCTGGAAAGAGGCATCCTTCATTCCCCACACTTTAGGCTTGTTTGCCTTTAGGATTCCCAAATCTGCACCACTGATAGATGGGAAATAGTTCTGTGCTGCATGCCGTAAGCAAAAATATAAATCCAACTGTCTTCGTCACTGTTCTTTTGTGCTGAAGAGACACCAAGACCAAAGCCCTCTTATAAAAGCATTCAGTCATGCGCTTGCTTATGGTTTCAGAGATTAGTCCATTATCATGTCAGGGAGCATGGTGGCAGACAGACATATCTGGTGCTGGAGAAGTAGCTGAGAGCTCTACAGTCTGAGTTTGGGGAAGTAGTGGGGAGACTGGGAAACCTCAAAGCCCATCCCCAGTGATATTTTTTCTAACAAGGCCATACCTTCTAATCCTTTTAAATAGTGTCACTCCCCAATGACTAACCATTCAAATCTATGACCTATTCTTATTCAAACTACCATGTCTATCACAGTCTCAACAATGTTAAAAAGTTGAAAGTCTCTTCTGAGACTCATGGCAATCTCTTAACTATACCACCCCCTTCCCCCCGTAAAATCAAAATCAAAAAGCAGATCACATACTTCCAGCATATAATGGCACAGGATAGACACTGCAGTTCCAAAAGTGGGGAAAGGGAGCATAGTGAGGAAATACTGGACCAAAGCAAGACCGAAAACCAGGTTCTGTATCTCCATGTCTAATGTCAAAGCGCTCTTCAGATCTCCACTTCTTTCAGTCTTGTTGACTGCAACACACTTCTTTCTCTGAAATGTCTTGAGGTGGGGCCCTACAATTGAAATTGCCCTCAGCACTGTCTTCCGTGCTCCTGCTAGGATGGCCCATTAATCCTCACTTAAAGCATCCAACTACTTTTCTAGTCCAGAGTTCCAAAGTCTTCCATATTCCTCCAACAAATAGCATGGTCAAGCCTGTCACAGCAATACCTGAGTCCCTGGTACCAACTTAGACTTAGTCACTGTTCTATTGCTGTGAAGAGATACCATGACCAAGGCAACATATGGATCTATAGGCAGGCAAGACAGAGACAGAGACTGGGCTTGGCATCTTAAAGCCCACTTCCTGTGACACACTTCGCCTAATAAGGTGATACCTCCTAATCCTTCTAATTCTTTCAAATGATGCCACTCCCTGGTGAGTAAGCATTCAAAGCTATGAGCCTATGGGGTCTATTCTTATTCCAACCACCATACTAGCCAAACTCTGAATCAGGTTAGTATGTGTGTGTTTATGTGGAGGAGAGGTGCATGTGCTGCTATGTACATACATATGTGTGTTTATTTGGAGGGGAGGTGCATGTGCAGGGGTGTGTGTGTGTGTGTGTGTGTGTGTGTGTGTGTGTGTGTGTGTGTAGGCTAGAGAACAACTTCAGGTGTTGTTCCTCAGGTGCTGGTCACCTTGGTTTTTGAGGCAAGATCTCTCTGACCTGGGAATCAGTAGTTAGGCCAGCTTCCTGGCCTATGAGTCTAGGGGTATGACTGTAAATGCCTTTCTGGGGTTGGGATTACAAGCATGTGCTATCATGCCCAACTTTTTTTACGCTGGTTCTGGGAATCCCAACCTAGGTTGTCATGACTGCACAGAAAACACTGTGTTGACTGGACCATCTCCCCAGTGTCCTGGTTGGTTCTTGTAAGTGCGGATAAATGCTCTTTAGTAATGTAGCTGTGGGTATGGGCAGAAGATATAATTTAATACACTGTAGTAATCTAACTTTGTGATCCACTGTCAGTTAAAACCCGCTAAAGTTCTAGTACTTTACCCAGGACTTGGGCATATGGTTTCCTTCAACCACTACATTGACTATTTATAAGCAATAAACCTCATTAGAGACATCTCCTACTGCTTCCGCTTTCCTGCTTGAACACGGATGTGTATGGCCACCTTGGTTTTTGAGACAGGATTTCCGTGACCTGGAAATCAGTGGTTAGGCTAGGTCTCTTAGGGTTTCTTTCTATTGCTGTGAAGAGACATCATGACCATGGCAACTCTTTTTTTTTTTTTTTTTTTTTTTTGAGCTGAGGACTGAACTCAGGGCCTTGTGCTTGCTAGGCAAGCGCTCTACCACTGAGCTAAATCCCCAACCCAGGCAACTCTTATAAAAGAAAATATTTAATTGTAGTGACTCACAATTTCAGAGGTTTAGTTCGTTATCATCATTGCGGAAAGCGAGGCAGCATGCAGGCAGACATGGTGTTAGAGAAGGAGCTGAGGGTTCTTACATCTTGACTCACAGTCAACAGGAAGTGGTCTGAGACACTGGGTGTAGCTTGAACATATATGAGACCTCAAAGCCCGCCTTCACAGTGACATACTTCCTCCACCAAGGCCACACCCACTGCAACAAAGCCACACCTCCTAGTAGTGCCACTCTTTTTGAGGGCCATTTTCTTTCAAACTACCACACTAGGTTCCTGGTCTATGAGCCCTAGGGAGTCTGAAGTAGGCATAAGTAAGTCTAAGTTGGCTATTTAGCTCTATGATTCTTAGAAGGCAGGTTTTACAACATGTCATAATTCTTATACATGATCATATGTATACACATACATAAAAATGGGTTGTTATTGAGCAAAAAAGACAGCTGACGTTGTCCTCCAGCTTCTGCACACTTGTGCATGTGCACCTGCACACATATGTGCCCACCCACATATAGACACACAAAAGACTATCCAGTGGACAACTTGAAAATTGGTCTTTACTCAGGTCCTCAGGCTTAACAGTATTTACCATCTGGGCTGTCTTGAAAGCTTCACATAGTTCTTAAGCAAATGTGTACCCAAAGATCTGGCACAGTGGAACTGGCTATAGAATCTGTTCTTCAAGCTCCTACCAGTAGGGTTAAGAGAGGGATGGCAGAGAAGATTGCAAGCTTTGCTGTTAGCCAGTTGACTCTATTGGTAGTGCTGGAAAGATAGCCTGGTTCTTCATTTCCTTGGCTTTTTTCCTGTATGGGTTATCTTAGAGGTTTGGGTTCTCTACCTTCAAGAATGCACTTTTGAACCCAGTTCTGTTTCCTTATCTCTAGGTTTTACCTCCAGTACAAGAACAGGATATGCATTTAAAGAAGATGATATCTCTGAATGCAATAGAACAATCGCCTACCTCAACCTCCTGTCAGGGCTCAGCCCCTGAATTCCACTTGGATCCTCCTTATGACCCTCATGGACACTTTGGTACTTGTCTTTCCACTTCTGTCCTCAAGTCATTCTTGCGTCTACCCCCTGGAGTCAGTTTCTTTCATCAGCCCAACTTGTACCCCACTGAAATCCCAGATTTTACCCTTATAGCTGGCCTCCTTCCTTAGTGGCTGTATCTGACCTTTTTGTCTATTCTCTTATCATACATGTATCAAGTTTTCCTCAAGCATTTCATTGGAAACACCACTGAGGACCAGAGACATGCAATACACTATGATTATTTTTAAGAGTTCTTATCTAGGTGGCAGGGAGTCGGTCATACACATAAACAGAAGCAAACTCATAAGATACATTTGGGTGAAGCTGGGCATGGTGGATCATACCTGTCATTCCAATACTTGGAAAGCTAAGACAAGAGAATTTTTGAAAGTTGAAGGCCAGCCTGGACTACTTAGTAAGTTTTCCGAGCTAGCCTGTGCTTCAGATTAATACCCTGTGTCAAACAAAACCCCCAAAACCAACTACCACAAACAAAAGATACACATGGATGGTATCTGCCCCCAGTCACAATACTGGCATTGTAAAAGGGGATTATTGGATAAGTGCATTATGAGGCAGAGTAGGTAGAGAGCACTAGAGGAACTAGCAAGAGATTTAATAGTTAAAAAGTGGAGGATGGAGGTAGGGTGCAATGGTATCCGCCTTTAATCCAAGCACTTATGAGGCAGAAGCAGGAAGATCTCTGAGTTTGAAGCCAGTCTGACTTACAGAGCAAGCTCCAGGCCAGCCAGGCTACTTAGTGAAATCTTGTCTTAAAAAACAAGATGAAACATGGGGCTGGAGAGATGGCTCAGTAGTTAAGAGCACTAGCTGTTCCTCTAGAGGACTTGGGTTCAATTCCCAGCATCCACATGGCAGCTCACACCTGTCTGTAACTCCAGTCCTAGGGATTCTGACAATCTCACACAGACATACTTGTGGCAAAACACTACTGAACATAAATTATTAAAACAAAACAAAACAACAACAAAAGAAGAAACTGAACTTGCTGTTTCAAGGAACACTGTCCAGCTTGCAGCTATGTGACAGGTCTGAGAGAGCAGTGAGGACTGTATGATTAAAACCATGAAAGTAAGAAGAATCACTGATAGAGGGAGAAGGAACCACAGAGCTGGGCTTCCAGCAGTCCCAGATGACAGGGAACTGGCTAAAGACCTGCTTTTCCAGGTTCAATTTCCAGCACCTACATGGTTGCTCTTCACTACCTATAACTCCAGTTCCGTAGGATCCAACACCTGGCCTCCACACCAGGCACACAGATGGTGCACAGACAAAACACCCATACACGTAGAATAAATTAGATTTTTTTTTAAGGCAGGAGGGTAAATCAGTCTTGGAAGTGGTAAGGAAATTAAGGCAGAGAGAATGTAGTCAGAAGTAGAGCTTCAGACAGGCTGGAGAGAGACCTGAAAGGAACTTCCAGTTCTCAGTTTGACCATATATCACCTGTTGTGCTCTCTGAAGAACATTCCCAGCACACTTAGGATTCCCAGCACATAGAGGTCTCTGGAAGAAGCTAAGAGTCAGTGTATGTGGAGCTTCCTGGATGCTCACAATTCCCACCTCTTTGGGCACATAGACCTTACAGAGCTGAGAGCAGGGCTTGACCCATGAGTTCCCCTTTCACCCCAGGTCCTGCTTTTCTTGAAGTGGGCAACGCCAGGGGCCAGGCTACTGTGGGGAACTCTAGAGCGACTACTGTGCTTAGGATGGTCAGGCCTCAGGTGAGTGTGGCTCTGTTTTTCTTGATTTCATGTCGGGTGGTGGGGCAGTAGGTGGAACTTACCTCTAGACAATCTGAGGAGGCTCCTCTGGTTCTCCTGCCCAATGCTTCCCTTGGAGCTAGGTCCCTGCCCCTGGTGTAATGGGTTCCATTTAGCCCTATTTTGTTCTTTTTTATGTGTCGACCCAGCTCTTTTTCACTACCCTTTTGTACTCTATTACTTTTGTACTCCTGAGAACTCTGCTCTTCTGGCTGAGACTGTTTCTGAACAATAGAAGCTTGTCATTCCAGGAGATTACAGCAAATAAGGACTGTGTGCAAAAACCATGGAAAAGCCTGGCACTCAATCAGAATGCCTTGTACCAGAACATGACAGAGAAAAATGAGCATGGCATGGCTTCACCGGGTAATGATTCTCATCCCTGGTAACCAGAAGTCTGTCCTCTGTACATCATACTCACTGTATTCTTTTGATTTGATTTGTTTTAACTTTTTACTATGAATATTTGCAAACATAAAGTAGATGTGGATAATGAACTTCCCTACACCCTAACCCAGTTTAACAGTGATCACCATTTTCTTTATTTAATGACTGATTAACAGTAGGGAGCTAACTTGGGTTTTCTTAGAAATAAGTAAGAGTCCCTTAGGTTTTGGAAGTAAAGATCTTTGTGTTTGAGAGATTACAAGAATGGGCACCCAGAACAAAGCAATCCGATTATGAGCTGGGAAAAGGCAGTCTGGGAGATCAGCCATGCAGCACGTGAGTTTTACACCAGTGTCCCCTGTGACTAATGCGTCTGCTCTCGGGGCATTTGCTTTCTGTGATTTCCCTTCCAGTGATGCTCATTCTTAAATCCTGAAACCATAGCTTCTTCTCAGTTCTGTCTTCAGTCCTTTCCTCCTGACTGCTCACTGCGACTTTGCCTGGCTCCATGGACCATCTAGCTTTAGATCTTACTCTGTTTTGGGGTCAGGATTTCCCTAGAGTGGATTCTGGCCAACACAGTGTTTAGTCTCCTTTGTGTTTTGGAAGTCACTGGCCCAGGCTACAACAGATGCTGGTGACAAGCTACAGATAAGCTAGACATGGGTTTTTCTGGCACCTGGCCAGCTCTAATCACCTGTTACCTCTTGGGGGCATGTTCAGGGTTACTTCAGTGTAGTTCTGTGAGATTCCTCTGCAAGGCCTGAGCCCCATCCTGTGATTAGCAAACTCCGGACAGTAGCCAACTTAACAGAGGATGGACATCAGTTACTAACCTAAATGTTTTGAAGTTTCATTTGCTAATTTCATTTGTGTTGGCCTTGGCCTCATTGCAACATGATTTAAAGGAACCAACATTTTGGTATTTGTTGATAACCATGAATGACTACAGTACCTTTCCCTAGATTTTGCATTTGAATTTCCAAAACTGCAGACCAGTGTTTAACTATTTAATTTCTTTATTATTTTAGAGACAAGACCACAAAGACATGCTTTAATTTATATTTCAAATCACTGATGCTTCTTTTAATTTTTATAGATATATAGAACTAGCTTTGCCCAGACCCCAGCTCTGCTATCCCCTTCAAACACTGTTCTAAACCTACATACTTGTTCCCATTGACATGTATCACATGAGATCAATTTGAACTCTCATCACACTGTCACAATGGAAATTCTCATCAGCTCACTGACACCTTTGCCTTCTTTCTTTCTTGCCAACCTTCCCTCCCTTCTTCAAACAACACCCCCCCCCACAGGTCTTACTGTGTATCTCTGTCTGGCCTGGAACTCTATGTAGACCAGCCTGACCTTGATCTTACAGAGATCTACCTTCCTCTACCTCCCAAGAGCTGAGGTTAAAGGCACTACCACACATCGCCCAACATAGTTTTGGAGACATGTGGAACTGTACAATGTCACAGTGGAGAGGAACCTAATTTAACCATTTACTAAGAAGACAGTATCACAATGACTGGAAAATGATGCAACATTGTGCTGCACAATTTAGCTCTTACTTTCCGGTCTTTCTCCTACTAGGCTGTACTAGCTCAAGCTTCCTGCCTTTACTCCCTATTCTCTATGGACCATTATCCCTCTGTGTTTTAATATTCTTGAAGAAGAAAGGAAACTATTTTCTCTCTACTTTGAAATATGTTGTCTCATTCCTTAATATGACTTTTTTTTCAGCTACAAAGGAAAAAAAAGTAAAAGTTGTTTTCTTCTTTCTTTTAGCAACACATAAGAACAGGATGGAAAGTTCTACATACACTCCAAAGCATGACATTTCTAAAGGGTCAGGTTCATTTGACACATCCTCAGGGGGACTCTCTGGAGTAGCCTTGGCAGAGCCAGAGTCTGGAGGTGGCTGTGGAGACCCTTTAGCACGGGTGGGAGGAGGGCGTGAGCTGGAAAAGAAAGATAAGAGCAACTCCACAAAAGACAGAAGTGAGGAATGCAACGATGTAGAGGAACATCCAGATCTTTCCTCTAGTTCTGTTGAGCATCAGCAAGAAGCAAAGAGTCAAAAGTTCTATAAATGTGATGAATGTGACAAAGTTTTCAACCAGAGCGCACTCCTTGGACACCAGAGAATCCACCCTCGAGAGAAACCCTATGAATGTAATGAGTGTGGGAAGACCTTCCGACAGACACCTCAGCTAATTGTTCAGCTCAGAACACACACAGAGGATAAACCTTTTGAATGTAGTGAGTGTGGGAAGACTTATCATCACAGTTCCAGTCTTATTCAACACCAGAGACTTCATGATGGGGAGAAACCTTATAAATGTAATGAATGTGCAAAAGCTTCCACTCAGAATTCCCAGCTCACTGACCACAAGAGAACCCAAACTGGGGTGAAACCTTGTGAGTGCAATAAGTGTGGGGAGGCCTTCATTCGGAGTAAAAGTCTTGTCCGACATCAGGTCCTTCACACTGGTAAGGAGCCCTATGAGTGTAATAATGAGTGTGGGAAAACATTTTGTTCCGACAGAAATCTTATTGACCACCAGAGAATCCACACTGGGGAGAAGCCTTATGAGTGTATTGAGTGTGGCAAGGCCTTTAGTCACAATAAATGTCTTATTCGACACCAGAGTCTCCACACGGGGGAAAAACCATACAAATGCAGTGAATGTGGGAAAGCCTTCAATCAGAACTCTCAGCTCATTGACCATGAACGAATTCATACTGGAGAGAAGCCTTTTGAATGTAGTGAGTGTGGCAAGAAATTCAGTTTAAGTAAATGCCTTATTCGGCACCAGAGACTTCACACTGGAGAAAAGCCCTATAAATGCATCGAGTGTGGAAAATCCTTCAATCAAAACTCTCACCTCATTATACATCAGAGAATCCATACTGGTGAGAAACCTTATGAATGTAATGAGTGTGGGAAGGTCTTCAGTTACAGTTCTAGCCTTATGGTTCATCAAAGAACCCATACTGGTGAAAAGCCCTATAAATGTAAAGACTGTGGGAAAGCCTTCAGTGACAGTTCACAGCTTATTGTGCACCAGAGAGTTCACACTGGTGAGAAGCCTTATGAATGTATTGAATGTGGGAAAGCCTTTAGTCAGCGTTCCACTTTTAATCACCATCAGCGAACTCACAATGTGGAGAAGCCCTCAAGTCTGCTTCAGACAATACCTTAAGGCATGGTTCCCTGAGATAGAGAACAAAGAATTCTGAGTTAGTATTGTTTATAAAAAAAATTTTTTTTAGATTTATTTATTATGTATAGTGTTCTGTCTGCACGTATCCCTGCAGGCCAGAAGAGGGCGCCAGATCTCATTACAGATGGTTGTGAGCCACCATGTGGGTGCTGGGAATTGAACTCAGGACCTCTGGAAGAACAGCCAGTGCTCTTAACCTCTGAGCCATCTCTCCAGCCTTCACATTTGTTTTTTAAAGTTAGTCCAATATATAACTTCTTATCATTTAAGTTCCCTCCCTAGAAATGTTTTCCTTTTACTTGTTAATTTATGTGTATTTGTGTATGATTGTACATGTGAGTGCAGTGCTTTTAGAGGCCAGCAGAGGGCACTGATCCCCTTAGAACTGGTGATCGTGGGGTAACTGACATGGGTGCTGGGAATTGAATTTGGGTCTTCTGCAAGAATAGTATATATTCCTAACCTCTGAGCCATCTCTCCAGCCCCAGGACTTCCCCCCCCCCCCCCCAATGCTTTCCCTCTTAAACCTCTGTTGATCTGATCTCAAACATGCTTTGAGTTAGTTGCTATATGGTACAACTGTTAAATTCCCTTGTAAGTATTTATATACTTTCATACCAATATGTAGCCTCTTTGTGGGCATATATTTTTTCATATATAGATAGTTAATTATATTAATTGCTAAGTAAATAATTTTTTAATTAATTTATTTATTTTTCTATTATCAGCTTAATACACTATAAATTCTTATCCTAATAGTGAAATGTTTCATTGAGGCTTGCCCAGTAATTGAGTAAAACCAAAACTTATTATAAGCCACAGTCATCCTAGTGTGTGTCCGTCCGTCCCCCCCCCCCCCTCCCCCGCTATATAGCCTCCCTGGTCCTGTGGGTTGTTCTTTGCTTTATATCTAGAATCCACTTATGAGTGAGTATATACCATGTTTGTCCTTCTGGGTTTGGGTTACCTCACTCAGAATGATATTTTCTAGTTCCATCCATTTGCCTGCAAATTTCATGCTGTCATTGTTTTTCTCTGCTGAGTAGTACTCCATTGTGTATATGCACCACATTTTCTTAATCCATTCTTCAGTTAACGGGCATCTAGGTTGTTTCCAGGTTCTGGCTATTACGAATAGTGCTGCTGCTGCTGCTGCTATGAACATAGTTGAGCATGTATCTTTGTGGTATGATTGAGCATTCCTTGGGTATATGCCCAAGAGTGGTATGGCTGGGTCTTGAGGTAGATTGATTCCCAATTTTCTGAGAAACCACCATATTGATTTCCACAGTGGTTGTACAAGTTTGCGTTCCCACCAACAGTGGAGGAGTGTTCCTTTTGCTCCCCATCCTCTCCAACATTGACTGTCATTAGTGTTTTTGATCTTAGCCATTCTGACAGGTGTAAGGTGGTATCTCAGAGTCGTTTTGATTTGCATTTCTCTGATGATTAAGGATGTTGAGCATTTCTTTAAATGTCTTTCAGTCATTTGAGATTCTTCTTTTGAGAATTCTCTGTTTCACTCTTTAGCCCATTTTTTAATTGGATTGTTCAGTATGTAAATAATTTTTTTTTTAAAGATTTGTTTATTTATTATGTATACAGCATGTATGTCTGCAGGCCAGAAGAGGGCACCAGATCTCGTTACAGATGGTTGTGAGCCACCATGTGGGTGCTGGGAATTGAACTCAGGACCTCTGGAAGAACAGTCAGTGCTCTTAATCCCTGAGCCATCTCTCCAGCCCGTAAATAATTTTTAAAATCTCCCTCAAATAATCCTTAAATTATAGACAAACCCCCATCTCCCCTCAGCTTTTAAGGTTGGGAGTGCATCTCCAGTATCACATGCAATATACTCATTACTATATCATAACTACTAGTTTATTGTCCTTAAAAAAATAATTGTGTGTGTGACAGAGAGTGAGAAACACAGCAAATTTTTGTTATCTATTCAGTTGTGCAGTCATGTCCACTTAAATGTGCATTGTGCAGTACAAGGATTTGCTAACTCCATTCTGCCTCTTCAGTGAGCAGGTTGAGATAGATCACAGTCAGAAAACTACAAAGGTTTGTTGATGTCCATGGCTGCACCGGGGTCACTGACATACACTACCATGAATTTCTGTGTGTATGCTGGAGATTTGAACTCAGATCCTCATGCATGTGTGGCAAGTACCTTGCCTATTGAACCGTCTCTCCAGGCCCGTTGTGCACACATTTCGGGGAAATATTCTGAGGAAAAAGTGGGCAAGTTTTCTATTCTAACATAGAGTTATGGGCCCCACAAGGAATCCATAATGTAGAAAAAGGGTCTTCATCTGGGTGTGGTGGTACATGCCTGTAGGTCTAGCACTTGGGAATCTCTCAGAAATAGATCTTTGTAAGTTCAAGGTCAGTTTGGACTACATAGCAAGTTCCAGGCCGTCTGTGTTGAATCACTGTCTTCAAAGGGGAGGAGAGAGCATGAAAAAAACAACTTCATAGAACTTCTACTTTACTTAGGCATTTTTTTTTTTTTGCATCTCCATTTCATGTACATGTGCTCATGGAGGTTACAGGACAATTTGTGGGAGTTGGTTCTCTCCACTAAGTAAATCCCATAGGTCAAAGTCAGAAGTCAGGTTGTCTGGCTTGGTAACAAATGCTTTTACCTGCCAAGCCATTTCAGTGATCTTCAGTTTAATTTTTATAAACTGTCCCATCCCCATTGCCCCCACTCTCTGTCTCGTGTGTGTGTGTGTGTGTGTGTGTGTGTGTGTGTGTGTGTGTGTGTTAAAGTGTGTGTCACAGCATGTGTATAGAGATCAAAGAACAGCTTTTTTGTGGAGTTGGTTTCTCCTTCCACCTTTATGTGAGTTCCAGGGGTTGAACTCAGGTCACCAAGCTTGCTCAGAAAGTGTGTTTACCCACTGGGCCATCTTGTTGGCCCCTGTATTAGTTACTTTTCTGTTGCTGTGGTGGTGCACGCCCTTAATCCCAGCACTTGTGAGGCTAAGGCAGGTGGATCTCTCTGAGTTAGAGGCCAGCCTGTTCTACAGAGAGCTAGTTCTATGACAGCCAGAGCTACACAGGGAAACTATGTCTTGAAAAACAAACAAAAAAAAAGGAAAAGAAAAGAATTAGGCATTGTGGCTCTAGCAAAAAGCTGGATGATTACGTATAAAACACAAAGCAGAAAGAACATGAAATGGGGTGAGGCTATAAATCTCAGTCTCCAGCAAAGCTCTGCCTCTTAAAGGTTCTACAGCCTTCCCAAGCAGCACCACCAGCTGGGGACAAAGTGTTCTCAGCTACCACATCCACCACCCAATTTACCTATTCCCTCTCCCCTTGGTTGTTCGAGACAGAGTTTATTAGCTTTGGCTGTCCTGGAACTCACTTTGTAGACAAGGCTGGCCTCAAACTCACAGAGATTCTCCTGCCTCTGCTTTTCCCAGTTTACTTGAAATCAGAATTCAAACATGGGATATAGTTCTGGTGGTCAAACATGATGGTAAAGGGTAGGAGGTATACACTGAACCATTTGCCTGTGGTACATGGAGACAACATACACAGCTATATTCTGCAACATATTAAAGAAAGTCATGTAGTTATAATTTACTTTTATATGTATGGATGTTTTGCCTGCATGTATGTCTGTGCACCACATGTGTGCTTGGTGCCTGAAGAGGCCAGAAAAGGACACCAGATCTCCAAGAACAAGAGTAATAGATGGCTATGGGCCACCATGCTTGGGATTGAACCCGAGTCTTCTTAAAGAGCAACCAGTGCTGTTAACTGCTAAGCCATCTCTCTAGTTTCACATATCATCATCAACATCAGCAGCAGCACCAGAATTATTTTATTATTTTGTTTTTGTTGGTTTATTTTGAGGGTGTTTGTTTTGTTTTGGGTTTGTTGTTGTTGTTTTGTTTTAATGCTGGGTCTCACTTTTAGCTCTGGCTATCCTGGAACTCACAATATAGACCAGGTTGACCTTGAACTCACAGAGATCCATCTGCTCCTCCCCCCCACCTCCCAAATGTTGGAATTAAAGGTGTTTGACAACAGCCTGACAGAAATCATGAGATAAATTCTGACCTATGAGGGGCTAAAGAAGTGCCTCAGTGGTGAGGGGCTTGAACTGCCACAGTAAAGGCCCAAGTTCAGTTCCTAGAACCCACAACAGGTTTCTCACAAGCCAACTACCTGTCACTCCAGCTCCAGGAGACCCAGTGCCTTCTTCTGGTCTCCTGAACTCACATTTACTCAACTGCACACAGACATACATAACACATAATTAAAAATAAAATAATATTCTGACCTACTTTGGGAGATGGCTTTTTCCAAGCTGGTTGTGGTGGATGCATGCATTTAATCCTAGCACTTGGGAGGCAGAGGCAGTCAGATTTCTGTGAGTTCGAGGCCAGCCTACATAGTGAGTTGCAGGACAGCTAGGATTATGTAGAGACCCTGTCTCAAAACCAACCCTCCCCCAAAAAAAATATCAGTATCAGAAAGCATGTGTTCATGAAAAGTTCTAATGATTAGGAGTAAATTTTAGATTTATTGTTAATACCCATACAGTGGCTCTATTAAACAAAACATACCATATACCTACCTCTTATATCATGCTCTGTCCTGATAGAGCCCTATAGAAGCATTTACTCCATGTGGTAAAGGGTGTTGTTATAATGCCCAATGACTCGGAAGCACCTCATTGTTTAAGTACTCAATTCACGAAGGAGCATGGTAGATTTATTCTTCATTGGATCAAACCAATCCCCCACTAATAGATGCATAGTGCTACTTTACAGGATGCCCAGCAGAGTGAGGGGCAGATTATCTTTTAAGGCATACAAATGTTTTGCTCCAAAACACAGTAGAAGACAAATATATAATGGTCCATTCCTTTTTCTCAGTGGTGGGTATTCCTAAAATGATGCCTGATTACGATTGCCAATTCACTAAAACTACAATGTTTCTCTCCTTGGTAACCAATTCCATAGACTTAAAAAGGTTTTAGGAATGAGTGAGTGTATAGCTGGCATCACATGATGATAGTAGCCAATAAAGTTCTTTCCCAAAATATTTCTAGTTGCCTTGCCTTCTGTATAGATATTGCATAAGTGAGATGTTCAGTTTCCTAACAGGGTGCTATATGGATGATGGATAGAGTTCCAAGGACCAGCAGTCACTCAAGGATTGGGTAAAAAGGTCAGTAGACAGAGTAACACCAGGACAAAATATATTTACCCTAGGCTAAATAAAGTGTGGACCATAGCTGAATGGGATGCATTTGGACCATGGGACACATTTATATGTATCCAGCCATGAGACTGAATGCATTATTGATATGGATTATGCTCATTGTTAATAATAAAGCTGATTGGCCAATGACTGTGCAGGAAGAGATTGAGCACAAGACTAGGGGAATTCTGGGAAGAGGAAAGGCGGAGTCTGGCAGCCACCAGCCAGCCACCAAGGAAGCAAGATGTATTAGAACACAGGTAAAGTCATGAGACACATGGTAAAACATAGATAAGAAATATAGGTTAATTTAAACGTAAGAGCTAGCTAGTAATAAGCCTGAGCCATTGGCCAAAAATTTATAAGTAATATTAAGCCTCCAAGTCAATTATTTGGGAAGTGGCTGCTGGGTATTTGGGAGTTGCTGGCAAGACAAAAATTTCTGCCTATACATTATTCTATTTCTAGTTTTAGAGATTGGAAAATGCTATATTCCTCCTTGAGGGTGTACATTCTGCACCTCTAGAGCAGAGGATGCCAGAACTATTGCAGTGACTGCACATCTGTTGCAGCCTTGGAAAGTCTAGAGCATATTCTGATACCAGGAAGAAGTCACAGTGAAACTTTTCCAGTCAGCATTAGGTTGCCTCAGCAATGAACAAAAGCAAAGGCAAACCAAACCAATGCTGCCCAGTTTTTAACCAGGCAGCCACACAATGAGTGTCCTCAAGTTGTGTAGCCATTTTCTCTGAATTGATGTATTTCCACCTAGAGGAAGTAGGAAAGCTACTGATACAAGGGAAGTTAAACTCATAAGGCTCAGGAAGTAAACAAAACTTAAAGTATTTCTGGAGAGGTAGATAGCAGTTATAAGCCTTTGCAGGGGATCAAAATTAGGTTCATAGCACCATGTTGAGAGATTCACAACCACCTGTAACTCCAGAGATCTGATGCCCTCTTTGGGCCTCCATGGGCACCAACATGTGTGTGTGTGTGTGTGTGTGTGTGTGTGTGTGTGTGTGAGAGAGAGAGAGAGAGAGAGAGAGAGAGAGAGAGAGAGAGAGATTTTTTAATCTTACAGGGCTTAGGAAGATCCTGAAACCTAGAAAATTCATAACACCCCTCCCCAAGTTTATAAAAATCCTAAGAATAGGTGGGAGGAAGGAATGGGAGGAGAGGAGGGAGGGGAAACTGCAGTCATGATGTGGCGGTGGTGGCGCACGCCTTTAATCCCAGCACTCGGGAGGCAGAGCCAGGCGGATCTCTGTGAGTTCGAGGCCAGCCTGGGCTACCAAGTGAGTTCCAGGAAAAGGCGCAAAGCTACACAGAGAAACCCTGTCTCGAAAAAACCAAAAAAAAAAAAATTAATGATTAAAAGAATTGCTGGAGAAAAGAGACTCTCTGACCAGTCATGATGCAAGTAGTGCAGAAACTCTAGGGATCAATATTTGTGAACACACACCCATGCTGAAATGTGGGTTCCAGTGACGCCCTTGAGTGGCCCAAGTTCCTGTAAGGAGTCTTATGTATGTTTCTGTAATTCTTTGGTCTGTTGGTGGTATCCTATATGGAGGGAAGAGAAATTGTTTACATCTCCCCTGGAAAATTACATCACACAACTGGCACAAGAACAGGGATCCAAAGGAAAAAAGATGTAAGTTTTTAATAGATGAGCCTCTGCAAGACATTCCAGATTTGAGCAACAGTGACCAATGTATTCATTATTCATTAGTATTCATTATTATTCACTAGTAAATCACTCTGGTCATTCCTTCAAAATATGTGTAGTCCCCATTCTTACCAGCTACTACCCCTGTAGTTGCCGTCATCATTTACTATTGCATAAACTGTAATACCTTCTTAATAAATCTGTGTTTGTCCTTGACCCTCTCTTAGCCTGTTCAGTACTAACTTTAAAAGTCAAAGAGCTGAGCATTTACACAAGGTTATTTTAGAATACCCCCAGACAGAGCAGAGAAGTCACAGAATTTATAGGAACAGGTTTCTTGGCTCATTTAATATCTCATGGGCAACAGATATTGGACCATGTGACAGAAAACAAAACAAACAACAAAAGAAAGCTCATGTCTGTCTTTGGTCCCAGGTTCCTAACAGCTCGCTTCCTGCACTATTTAGGGCAGGTCCTTACCACAGCCTCCTTACCTGTCCTACTAATTCCTGACTCAAGACTTTTGCTCCTAATGTTCCATCAGGAACACATTTCTCCCAGATGTCTACATGTTTTCATCGCTTCCTAAATGTGCTTCGTCTATGCAAACAGCCTCCCCCATCCTCCACTTTTGAGTCACTAGCTAGTAGCTACTGGGTATTTCTTTTCGACTCCTTTTACTTGGACACAGCATACAGGACAGGGGATCTCATTTTCTTTACTACTGTATGTTCAGTTCTTAGAACAGCGACAGAGCAGTCACCTACCAATACATATTTTTACATGCTGCAATAAAAAGTAGCTGATCTTGGCTGTGAGGCTGGGGTTGTCTCTGGAAGAGGACTTTTATTACTTTTGAGAGCCTCAGTATTAGGCAGAGGCCTCGCTGACCAGGTAACTGGTTTCTGTTCCTGCTAACTGAGGCCTTGCCCAGGTTCCACAGGATCGCTTGTCATTGGTTGAACTCTCCAAGTCCGTCCTGTCATCCAATAATAGTGATGTCTGGAGGCCAGGGCACCTGCAGATCAGCTCTGGGGCACAGAGATGCCGAGACCTCCGGTTGCCTAGAAGGGCCTAAGGGACGGAGGGGCGGGTCGGCTGGACGATTCAGCCCGGGGTACCGAGATGCGGAGACCTCCCAGTGCCTAGAAGGGCCGCAGGCGCAAGGAAGGGGAACAAATCACAGCTGCAGTTCGCCGGCTTTGTTCCGAGGACTGTGTGTGGTTCAGTGAGGGCTCCGCGGCAGCCATCTGAACGCCGGGCTCCAGGAGCGAGGTGCATGCTGCCTCCCTAGATCCCGGGGGTGCCTGCCTTTGTCCAGCATCTCCTCTTCATGTTGGAAGAGTGACGGGACTCGCCAAGGCTATCCGGGTTCAGGTCGCTCCAGGCTCTCCCAGGACTACCTAACCACGGAGTGTTTGGCTGCCTTTGCCAGTCCAAACCCAGCTGTGTCACCAGTGAGGACACTGGGGTCGGGAGAAGTGGGTAAGCTTGCTCAAGAATATTCATTCATTTATGTTTGCACCCAACAAACACCATCCATCGCTTACGAGTTTGCTGGACTGCGGGGGATATAGTGTGTACAAGGCAGATAGTCTGTCTGAAAGGGAAGATATGGAGTAAGCTTAGAGGCTGACCCTGCCCTGCGCATCAGAAGGGAAAAAGCATATTATTCCGAGGCCTAACAAAATTAAGAAATGAATAATCAGGAAAACATATAGCATCCACTTAAGGTTTCATGTTTAATATTTATTATTGTTGTTGTTACTATTGTTATCATTTGAGATAGGATCTCACTATATAACCCTGGCTGACTTGAAACTTGCTCTGTCGTCCAGGTTGGCCTTGAACTCACACAGATCCGCCTGCCTCTCAAGTGCTGGGATTAAAAGCATGTGTGGCCACCATGCCCAGCTACTAGTCTTTTTTCTCTTTTAAATTAATATTATTATTGTGTAATGTGTGTGTGTAGGTGCCAACACTCATGTCACAGCCTAGTGTGAGGATCAGAGGACGTCTCTCCTTCCACTGTGGGAAGTGATTCAACTAAGGTCATATTTAGGTATGTGAACTAAGGTATGTGGACTAAGGTCACCTGCTAAGCTAAGGTATCACCCCTCTTCTAGTCAGTCTCTCTTCTTAAATTATTTTGTTAGGGGTGTGTGTGTGTGTGTGTGTGTGTGTGTGTGTGTGCGCACATGTAGAAGTTAGAGGACAACTTTGTGGAGAATTTCAGACTAGCTTGGCAGGTACTTTCACACACTGAGCCGTCTCACCAGCCTATAAGCTTGTCTCTCTCTCAGATCTGTTTGTGTGTATGATGTGGGGGTGGTGTATGTAAGTGCGGGTGCCTACAAAGTCTAGAGGAAGGTTGGAGTTCAGGTAGTTGTGAGCCACCTGATGTGAACTCGGGTCTTCTGGAAGAACAGTATGAACTCTTAACCACTGAGCTATCTCTGCAGGCCTCGACCCTAGTCTCCTTAAAGACACTTAACAGCCAATTTACTAGCCCTTCTTCCATCTGGTGCAAACTTTAGACTTCGTGGAATTCTCAGTTGGAGTGCTTTTTGCAAGTAAAGAATATGGAGAGTCTTGGGTATCCACAGAACAGGTGAAAGGGAGTAGATTGGATGTTTTAGAATAAGGATTTCTTTCAGACACAGAAGGCTTGATCCTCATTTCTTCATCTTTCAAATGAGGATGATGGTGCTATTGTTCAGTTCTACAGGCCAGGAAGTTAACAAAAGATGGGACACTACCTCGAGTGAACACTTGGAGTTGAGGTCTCAGAGAACTCTTTCATTGTATCTGTGTACAGTGATTCAGAGCCTGTCATGAACTTCTGCACTTAACCCGAGGAGGCAATCAGGCAGAATTTCTGCTGGGCAGATCCTTTGGAGTGAAGCTACTGTGCACGATGGTGAGGGTGAGTTACTCTCTTTTCTCCCAAATAAGCCATAGCCAGTCAGTCTGTGGTGTTAGTCTAGGGACAGGAATCTTGCCTACCAGAGAAAATGGGGATCAGGATGGAAAGGAGTCCTTTCCTTTCTCCTCCCTTCAATTCTTCCCCCTTCATTTTTTTTTCTGTTTTGAGATAAAGCCTCAGATACCCCAGGCCACCCTCAAAATTGCTATGTAGCCAAGACTAGCCTTGAACTCTGATCCTCCTGTCTCCACCATGCCCCCCAAGTGCTGGGATTATATACTTGCACCACTATGTCTAGCAGACAGGGAGACTTTTTTGAGGATATTATCAGGTAAGAGAAAACACAGAAACGAGAGGGGGGAAACCTCTGGACCTTGAGGGATAGAGTTTGGGTGATGGGAAAGAATGATATGAAGGAACTCAGACTTGGGTGCCATGGGACTTAGATTTGAATCCTAGTGCTCTGTGAGGTCCAGTTTCCCTATCTGTCCATTTGGATATAAGTCTCAGAGCTAGATGCGGTAGTCCCACCACATGAAATGTGGAGCAGTTTCCAGGATTCAAGATTACTGTGAGTTCGAGGTCATCCTCGGCTACCTAATAAGACCCTGTCTGAAAACACAAACACAAGCAGAAAACGTCTGGTATGCTAGTGTGTCCTTTCCCGTTCCCAGCATCCTGACAGTCTGTGAGCAGTGTGACTGGTCAGTTTCTAGGGGATGTGGATGGTTATGCTGAGATATGGTTGTTAGTACACAAATACATTGTCATATTTATTTAGAATATGGAGTCTTTTAAAAATTATTGCCGCCTGGCCTGGTGGTGCATGCTTTTAATCCCAGTACTTGGGAGGCTGTGGTGATATTTTATTTGTATGTTGATAATAAAGTTTGCCTGGAGATCAGAGGAAATAGCAAGCCATTTTAAATAAACACAAAAGTCAGGCAGTGGTAGCACATGCCTTTAATCCGGTCACTTGGCAGGCAGGGTCTGTATGTGTTCAAGGCCACACTAGGGAACAGAGCCAAGCGTGGTGACACACGCCTTTAATCCCAGTACCAACCATAGAGACCTGGAGGTCTGTACAGACAGGCAGTGAGAAGGAAGTGAGGTAGCTGGGCTAAGAGATAATGAGAGGGCAGAACAGCAAGGCAATAAAGGTGCGGGTAGACAGGAAGTAACACACTTTGGAAGCTGCAGCATGGTGAGGTAAGGTTAGCTGGTGGCTTTTCCTAGTTCCCTGATCTAAGGCTTTTACTCCTATATTTGGCTCCGTGTTTTTTATTTAATAAGGCCGCTTAGAAATTCATCTACAGGAGGCAGAGATAGGCAGACCTCTGTGAGTTCCAGGCTAGTCTGGTCTACTTAGGTTTTAGGACAGCTGGAACTACATAACAGTGAGGCCTTGTATATATGTGTAATTTTATGTATTTGAGTGTTCACTTGCATGTATATCTGTGTACCATGTGCATGCCTGGTGCCCATAAAGGCCAAAAGAGGGTGTCTGAGCCCCTAGAACTGGAGTTATGGATGGTTGTGATCTGTCATGTGGGTGCTAGGAATTGAACCCAGGTCCTCTGGAAGAGCAGTCAGTGCACTTAACTGCTGATCCATTTCTCCAACTCGTAAAATATGGAGTCTTAAAAGAATGATCAGGTGGAAGGATGAAGGTTGTGATGTGCAGTGGACTCACCTTGCACCATCTCTAAGTGCACTTATATTAGCTAAAATCATGACCATGTTCAACTCAACCCTGAAGATAACATTTCCTAAGCTCTCTAGTGTATGTCACTCACAGGCAAGTGTAATGAACCCTGTTCTCTAGGGCCGTAGAGCTTCAAGTGTGCATGTGGGAGAAGAGGAGAATGCACACACCAGCAGTTGTATTGCAAGGTGACTTATCATTTATATTTCACTTTTGTTATTTTTTTGAAGCACAAAAAGTTTTATGTAGTCATATGTCTTTTTTTTTTTTCCCCTGTTATGATGTCAGCCTTTGTCACAGTAAGGCCTCTGTCTCTGAGGTCAGGTAGACCCTTGATTTTTTGGTTTGTTTTCAGTTTAAACATTTCTTTCATTTGCCTCTTGAGTTTTTAATTAATAAATAAATAAATTTTTAAAATATTTATTATTCCTAACCACACTGTAGTTAATGATCAACAGCCTTATGACCATTGCTCAAAGGCACCAGACCAGTAGATGACTGGTGAGTCAAAGGGTCATAGCACCCTTGGGAAAAGCCTAGCCTTTTCACACTTTTCAATGCTTGCCTGAGCTTGCGCTCTGGGGACTTTTTCTCCGGATAGCCTTAGTGCCCTACTGACCCCACAGCCTTATCTTTCTCTCCTCTGGCTTTTCCAGTCCTATCTTCAGAATGCCTGGGAATTCTAAGACATCTTGAGGCAACTTCCCATCCAATCAAGCACAGGGTAGCAATAGTTAGATTTCCTTCTGGTCAAATCCTCAAAGTAGCTCTATAGTCCAACTTTTATTAATTAAAGGATGTAGGATGCAAGATCATATCTTCTGTTTGTTTAACTATTCAACAGTCAGTCTCAAAGGGAGCACAGTGAGAGGAAATTAGTGCGTTAGATTTGAGGTGTGCTAAGGTTACCTACAGAGTTTTGTGTCCAGTAGATTGGAAAATTCCTGTTTATTCCTGATACATGGTTTTGTGTCTCAGTCCCTCTTGATGGTGCAGTTCCCTACTCTCTTTACCATCTTTGAAACTGTACAGTTATACCGGTAGTGCACAGTCCTGGCAGAGGTGCTGTTATTCTTACACCCTTTCCCTCAATTTAGCCTTTCAAGTTTATACAGTAGATTTCATTTTCAGAATGATTAACATGCTGAAAAACAGATACCCGAAATTAGCACAAAAAGCTGACTCCAGCTCATATAAGCCCTGCAAGCGATGGTGTGTATGACTCAGCGTCAGCATCGGAAGGATGGTGTGACCCAGGCAGCTTAAATACAGAGATGTGGGCTGGGGCCTGTTGCCCAGACCTGGAGAAAAAGATGAATGAAACCTTAGTCGTACCCTAAAACAATCTTGGTTGCTATTCTGTAGTTCTGAGTATTGGCTATATGCCAGCCACCGCATCACTGTTACTACGTTACTAAGTTCAGCAAGAGCAGCTAACTGAACCAAGGGACCTTCCCGTATTCTTTTTCTCGGGACCAGACTCTGCTTGACCCTGCCTTCCGGTTATTTTGCTCCTATTTAGAGAGTTGAGCGAGAAGAAAGTAGAGTGGATTTTATACTGTTCATTGCGTGTTCTGAAACTAGACCTGCTGTGTTCTTCACGGTCTTTAACTTTTATTGCCTTTTGCCTAACTTCACTTTTCTCATCATTTTGAACAGTTCTCTGCCTATGAACACTTGCCCTTCTACATGAGACCCTGTGATCTACTACATCTTGTCTTCGTTGAATAATTCTTACCCTGTTGCTGACAAACTGGGACCTGTACACTTTCTCTTTCTCCTGTCGGATGGTGAAATAAACTGAGGAGGTATTGATTCTAAAGTGTCATTCCTGAAAAATCAGAATCACATTTTACCCTGGGGAATTCCACATAGTGTTGCCAAGGAAGTAAAAGAATTAAAAGGAAAAGATGAGACTGGAAGAGCTACTGGAATGCCCCCAGCCTGACAAGATGAGGAGAAAGACGAGAAAGCTCAAACGCAAGGCATTTGAAGATAGTAAATCACCCACAGAAGGGAGTGACCAAGAACGTGAAGATGGTAGTAGTCAGTGCTGTGACTCTCCAACACACGAGAGAGGTCATGGTGCAAAGAGACCGTATGTGTGTACTGAGTGTGGAAAAGCCTTTAGTCAGAGTGCCAACCTCACTGTGCATGAGCGAATCCACACAGGAGAGAAGCCTTATAAGTGTAAGGAGTGTGGGAAAGCCTTCAGTCATAGTTCCAACCTCGTGGTCCATCGGAGAATTCACACAGGCCTGAAGCCGTACACATGTAGCGAGTGTGGGAAGTGTTTCGGTGGTAAGTCACATCTCATCCGGCACCAGGGAAGCCACAGTGGAGAGAAAACATACAAATGTAAGGAGTGTGGGAAAGCCTTTAGTCGGAGTTCAGGACTTATTTCTCATCACAGAGTTCACACTGGCGAGAAGCCCTACACTTGTATTGAGTGTGGGAAAGCATTTAGCAGGAGTTCAAACCTTACTCAACATCAGAGAATGCACAGAGGAAAAAAGATTTACAAATGTAAAGAGTGTGGGAAAACATGTGGTTCTAATACAAAGATTATGGACCATCAGAGAATTCACAGTGGAGAGAAGCCCTATGAGTGTGATGAGTGTGGAAAAGCATTCATCTTGAAGAAGGCTCTTAATGAACACCAGAGACTTCATCGTCGAGAGAAACCTTATAAATGTAAGGAGTGTGGGAAAGCTTTTACTTCTAACCGAAACCTTATTGATCATCAGAGAGTTCACACTGGAGAGAAGCCTTATAAATGTAATGAGTGTGGGAAAACCTTCAGACAGACTTCCCAAGTTATTCTCCATTTGAGAACCCACACTAAAGAGAAACCCTATAAATGCAGTGAGTGTGGGAAAGCCTATCGTTATAGCTCACAGCTTTTTCAACATCAAAGAAAACATAACGAAGAGAAAGAAACCTTGCTGTTTGTAGGCCAGGTGTGATGGCACACGCCTTTCATCCCAGCATTTAGGAGGCAGAGACAGGGAGATCTCTGTGAGTTCTAGAACAGCTAAGGCCACACAGTGAGACCCCTGTCTTAGAAAAAAAGGAAAGTTGGCTCTAAGGCTAATTGCTACTTTTCTGAAAATTAGATTTTTAGTAACATTAAATTTAATTCTGCTTCTAAGAACCCATACAGGAAAAATAATAAGTGCTAAAGTTTAACAAAAGGGATATTCGTGCCAGCATTATACATAACTGAAAGGGAGAAAAAACGACCATAGATTATTTCATGTGCGGGATGAAACAAATGATACATCTATTCAGAGTATGCCTCTGAAGCCAGTCTGTTTTTAAAGAATTTTTAATGTGTGCCATGGGGGAAATTTTGAAGAAAATGGAAAATGAAAGAATAAAATATCCAGATAAAATATTTCTGGTTTTTCGAGACAGGGTTTTTCTGTGTAGCTTTGGCGCCTGTCCTGGAACTCACTCTGTAGCCGAGGCTGGCCTGGAACTCACAGAGATCCGCCTGTCTCTGCCTCCCAAGTGCTGGGATTAAAGGCATGGGCCACCACCGCCGCCCTCAGATAAAATATTTATGCCTAGGAAAAATGGGGAAAGTGAAAGAGGGCCAAACCTAAATTTCAGCAATGGTTATCTCTGTTAATAAGTTGTAGGTGATTTCTATTTTCTCCTGTGTACTTTTCTAGACTTTCTAGATTTTTTACAATGAGAGTGTTACTTTCTAAGAAAACAGTATATTTTAAATATAATGAGTGCGTTCTTATTTTTATTCAGTGGTGGTAGGAAAAGTACCTATTATGTAGTCTTAAAAAGCTTGGGATTCACCCTAATACTGGCACTCCACTTCTTACTAGTAAAACCAGTGCTGCCTTTTGTTCTTTGCAGTTTTAAGGTAAGTTGACTCTATAATCACTGTTAGGTTAAAAGAACACAGCAAAGGACATTAGTTCACCTTCTTTTCCTGCATAGTAGAGTAATCATCCATGATGGACAGCTACCCCGAGCTCCATCCTTCCAGCAAATATCTAGACAATTAGGAAAAAAATTTTCTTTTAATGGACTGGAGAAATTGTAGGCTCAAAAAATAGGAAGTGGAGAATTTTGCCTTCATCGTGTTATTTGGAGCTGAGTGGGTGAAATACAGTTAGGTTGAGAGACCTATGTCCTGATCCACTTGCTGAGTACCAGCTTAACTACTTTGGACACATGACTTCACTGCTCAGATTTCTGGTTTACCTCAAAGGGCTGCTGTGAGGATTAAGTGAGATGATGCCAGTGATGTATGCCAAGACTGGTACATGGCAGAAACAAACAGCTCCAGTGAAGGTTAGTGGAGCCATATTTCTAAACACTCCCAAAAGAAAATAACTTAAGAGATATTTAGTATTTAGCATATTTTCAGGTGTAATTAACAAGATTCCAAGTAATGATAACTTTCATCTTTAAAATGTCATTGTTGTTTCTGAAGAGGTCATCTAGAATTAAGCAGCTCATCCTTTGTTTTTGTAACTCAGCAGTTCATCAGACTTGCAAAAACTCCATACGTTCTTCATCAAATTGCTTTTATTGTTCATTATCTCATGGTTGCAAGCCACTGGCCACACCTGCATTCTTCTTCACACAGCTTCCCCCAAGACAGGACTGGAGTAAAGGAGCAGAACATGCTTCTATAATTTATTACTATTGAAAAAAATGTTTCCCCAAAGTGGGGGCCGAATGCTGATTAATTAATGTGACAAATTTGACTGGATTCCCAACCCCTGGGGAATTGAACCTGGGGCCTCACATACTAGCCAAGCACTGTACCACTCATTTGTAACACCCTGATCTTGATGGCAAGCTTTCAGGAAGGTATTAGCCTATCTTTAGTCACTATCAAAAATTTTCATTCCTTAGTTCAAAATCCACCTAACTATATTTAGAATCTCTCCATTACTAATTCCTCCTGTATACAATAAATTCCTTAAGTCGATACTGTTTGTCTCATGCACCTGTGTCCTTTCAGAAGTTACTGAGGATATGATATCTCATTTAATTCTGCCTATAATTGTGTAGGAGAATTGAATTTCCATGATGTTAGTACCTGGCCAGTCAGTAGTTGGAGCTAGGATTTGATCTCAAATTTGTCTTTGAAGTTCATGTTTTCCTAATTATACAAAGGATCTCTGCTAACTGTGGTGATTCCATACGAGAAAGGGAAAACAGACACTCTCCTGGGAAGTCACCTCTATGAATCTGGACAGTTACTTGGCTGAGGTTTGACAAGGAAAATTCTCTTCTCTGAAATTTGTGGCCTGTTTTTGTGCCTCATAATTTAGTTTTCAGGTTTATATGTTTCTTGCAATGAAGGAATGTGGGAGTTGTGTGTTTATTTCAAAAGGGTTTGTTTGGTTTTATTCTATTTTGATAAGATAGCAGCTTACATATCATTTTATGATTCAATAGTCCCTCTGCATACTTACTCAAAGCAGGGTTTTCAGGGTCCAGAGCAGAACTGCTGCATTCAGAAGCATGCAATACTGAGCAGAGTTGCTGATGCCTTCTGTATGGCTGAGCAGATTTCCTGTAGTCGGTATGTCATCATTTTTCTGTCTGTGACATAGCGTCTGAAATTACTTCAAATAGATTGTTTTTATGTAAAGACCTTGTGACATTTAAAAGTAAATATTTCCTAGAAAGGATTGTGTGCCCTCTCATCTCTGAAGGTTTGAATACTGAACATGTTCGTGTTTCCTGCTGCAAGAAGACTGAGATTGTAGTCTCTTGAGGTGTCTGCCTTGAGCTATAGGAGTAAATATAGACAGCAGTCCTTACAAGGACCTGTCAGATAAATACTCTGTTGTACGAGTTGAACTGGTCACACATTTTCCTCTTTTACCCCTTGAGTTGGACCATGCAGCCCTGATTACTCTTTCACAATAAGCTGTGAATTAGGGACTATCTGAATTTTTTTTTCTTTTTTTCTTTTTTTTTTTTTTTGCCTCATGGAACCCTGTGCATTCCCTAAGGACAGAAATTCGTGCACAGTTCTTCATTTTCTAGGTTTGGTCTTCTTCAACCCACACACCTCTCTTCTGTTATTCTCCATTTTCCATCAGAAATGAATTCTGTTGTAATAAGCATCATGAGACTATGTGTTGCTTGACTTGACCTCATCTCTAGCCTCTTGCATTGCCTAGTTTCAGTCCCTAAAGAACATGAAGAGGCGGTGGTTTAGGCCACAAATGACCTGATTGTATAGATCACTATAAGGAATGAAAGTGTATATGCTTGTCAGAGTTGAGAAGTGGGTAACAAAATATATTTTATATAAAGGGAATCTGTAAGTCAAAGCTCAAATGTGTTCTCCCTGTGCTTAGAGATTTTTTTTTAATAGTGTGTACTGCAATTTAGATGGTGCATACTATACGTCTTAATTGGAAGAAAATTGAAACCAAAGAGCTGAGTAATTGTATGTAAATCACATGAGGCCGAGTTTCATTGCTGCTCTTCATCCTCGGTGACAAACCTCCATTCTAAAATGTTCAGTGTAAATAAAAAACAATGCTCACATTGTTAGATTTTTTTTTTCTAAGTTAGCATGGTGACTTTAATCACCACTAATACTATAAAACCAGAGTTGTAACATTCTTTTTTTGCAGGAAGTAGTGATTCCTTCAATAAATATCTTTTCTTATAAATTTGTCCTCTTCTTTTTGCCCCATTAAGAGTGAAAAGAGGCCGGGCGGTGGTGGCGCACGTCTTTAATCCCAGCACTCGGGAGGCAGAGGCAGGCGGATCTCTGTGAGTTCGAGGCCAGCCTGGTCTACAGCGCGAGATCCAGGAAAGGCGCAAAGCTACACAGAGAAACCCTGTCTCGAAAAACCAAAAAAAAAAAAAAAAAAAAAAAAAAAAAAGAGTGAAAAGAAACCATAAAGAGCCGGCTGTTCTTAGAATGAAGAAGGGGTTGCTCCAATATGAAGTTGCTTTTCATAGTTACCTGAGTAGACCTCTTAAGCCCTTGGATAAAACCATTTTTGCACTGTTCTCTCACAGCCTTATGTGGGTAGAGGTGACTACAGTACAGGCCATAGGGGCATCGTTGTGTAACAAGTATACTTCAAAATACACCCTCACCTGTATAGTAACTATTTCCATTGTTTTTCTGGTACCCAAAAGTAAAGTATATGTAAAATGTTTTGGATTGGGAAGGTCCTCAATAACATTTCACAGAAAAAAAGAAAGTGAGAGAAACCAAAAAACCCAAAGCCAAACTATTGGGGGTCTCTCCAGATCAGTAGTTTCAAGAGTTGTGACTGTTAATGAAGTCAGGGTGTCAGGCTTGCTTTCCACCACAGCAGGTTATAAGACTGGAGGGTTGTCAGCTTCTTTGTGGTAGTTTGCACGCAAGCTGGCAGTGTTAGATCCTGATTAGCAGCAGAAGCTCCATTTTGTCCCAGTCTGCCATTCTGCCCAGAGCTGCTACCAATGATTTTCTGAGGCTAGGCTGCAGCGCCCCCTCCCCCCAATCTCCACTCACAGGTGTAAACCTCAAGCGTTCAACCCCATTCTGATTGGCCCAGAGCCTGTCCAGACCACCAAACCACAGAACTTCCTAATAGGCTGAAAGTCCCCAACTATATTACATTATGATTGGATGGGACTCAGGAGCTGTCTGTTTGTGGTTTTTCCCCCTTTAAAATTGGTTGCTGGGCTGGAGAGGTGGCTCAGAGGTTAAGAGCACTGTTTGCTCTTCCAAAGGTCCTGAGTTCAATTCCCAGCAGCCACATGGTGGCTCACAACCATCTGTAATGAGATCTGGTGCCCTCTTCTGGCCTGCAGGGATATGTGCAGACAGAACACTATACATAATAAATAAATAAATCTTTAAAAAAACAAACCAAACCAAACAAACAAAAAAACCAAAACCAAACAAAACAAAAAAACGGCTGCTGCCCCTTCCTCAGGGCGTGGTTTGGAGTCTGAACCCTGCTGCCTCTCTGATATATCAGTTTTTCTAAATACATTTTTGGCTTGCTCGAACCTGTTGTTTTGTGGTGGACTACTTCCGGATTCTTGGACCCTAACAGCATAACTTGTCTGAGACCTGTTCACGGATAAACATTCACAACAGTGAAGAGAAGATCCGCTCCGATCCAAGTCCTGGCTATACCAGCCTCCCTTTCTCCATGAGTCTGACCTCAGAGTCCAGAGTGATCTGCTTCAGTGAGGATAAAAGCTTATGTAGGTGAAAGAGCACTTGCCTTGGATTTCAAAGTCTTGTTAGTTGGCAGAAAAAGTACTCAAGCTTATTAATCTTTAGTTTCCAGTATTAGGACAATATTGTCTGTCTTAAAGGATTCTTGTAAAGGAGCAAAGTTAAGTGTGTGAAAAAGGCAGACACGTAACAAGCGATGTTTATACTCTTAAGTTTTTGTTTGTTTTGACATCCTAAATGTTCTTGATAGATCACAGACTCAGGGTACTACCCTCTTAGGTGGGCACCCCAGAAACCCGGACTCCAGACCAGTTGATGCAATCAGCAAAAGGCTTTTATTGATCGTTTGGGCAAATGGGCCCCCTGCACTATTCAGTGAGAGGAGCCCCGAACAGTAATTGCAGGCATCTTTTAAAGGCAAAACCCACAAAATTAGCCTGGCATTCGGGGCAATACATAATTGGCTAGTTTGAAGATCAGCACCGGGGAGGGGGAGTGCAGCTATGGGGACTTTCCATGGGGGCTGCTTTTCTTCCTAGAATAGCCACAGGATGTTCTGCTAGACCCAGACACTGTCACAGGATTATTCTGCTGAGACAAAAGGATGCCACAAGAAATGTCACAAGCATGTTCTGCTGAGGCTGACTGTTTGGGGGCCTGGGACTGGTATTTGTTCCTCTTTCCCATGTTTAACTCTTTCATTCTGATTTGAAATTTAGCTTAATCTAAATGTGAAGGTCCTTGCCCGGAAACAGCTTTGTCTCTGAGCCCACGAGTCATGGAGATGCAGCTTCCTAGAGTCTCAGGATTGGGGTGGTATGGGGGGAGGGGGGAGGCCCACCTTCCCCCATGAGCAACCGGAAGTCGCAGTACCTGGCTGGGCCATTATTCTGGGCCTTGTCTTCTACTTCCTGTGTTGTCTGCCAGCGGCCTGACTCAGGCTGGACCCTGGAGTTGGAGAGCAGGGTGAGCGCAGGAAGTGGACACCAAGGGCCAGTAGGGAGGGGCCTCCTGCAGGGGGCTTGCCCTCTGAGGGCCTCTGTCATCACAGCTCCAGGGATGCTGAGACAGGAGGATCAGGAGTTACAGGTCAGACTTGGCCGCTTGTGTCAGGGTGGCGGGGAGAAAGCAAGAGTGAGCTCAGGAGGCTGGTTCTCTAACATCAGCTCAATCTCTGCCTTTCCAGGCTTCTTGAAGGCTGGCAATGCCTTCAATGTTTGACATGTCCCTAGGGCAGTGGTTCCTAGTCTTCTGGAGATAGATTCATTTTGGTGTTTAGGGATGGGCTAATTGTCATCCAATTTTATAACTTAATGGAACTGAAAAAAGTAAACCATTGTCTCTACAGAGGAATATATTTCATCACTTAAGTACTGTAGATGTATCCAACCGTCTTATTAAATAAGAAACACGGAGACGATTCAGAGAAGAAAGCCAAGAAGTCAAAACTAAGAGCCTTACCCTTCCTGCTTCAGCCAAGAGAGCTCTCCGAAAAGGGACCTACTTCTTGTGTGTATGTCTTTATATAGTCTAGCTGTTCTGCCTTCTCATTGGTTGTAAACCCAAACACATGACTGCCTCTGTATAGACCTCCAGGTCTTCTATGGTTGGGATTGAGATTAAAGGTGTGTGTCTCCAATGCTGGATGTATCCTTGAACACTCAGAGATCTACCTAGTTCTGTCTACCAAGTGCTGGGATTAAAGGTGTGCGCCACCACCGCCACGCTCTTGCTATGGCTCTAATAGCTCTGACCCCTGGGCAACTTTATTTATTAACATACAATTAAAATCACATTTCAATACAAGTAAAATACCACCAAGGCTGTAAACTGAGAAAAATGTTGTCCTATGCCAAAAGTCTTTGCCAATCTGGCAATGACTATAATCATTTCTCTTTTTTGGCCTAACAGATTAAAGCTTTATCTTGGACTGGTGATTGGAAACAGATGTCACATGTCTCATCTTAAAAATGGCATTATTTATAGTTTGCTCCCATGCAGTAGCCTGGATGCTCATGTGTGAATCACTCAGCTTCTCAACCTTTAACTTTCGATTGCTGCCTCATAAACCCTTTTTGAAAAGCAAGAAAAGTGTGCAGTTTGTTTTGATCTGCAAATGTGGAACTCTAGGAGCAGGTGAGGGGGCTCAGTGTGTGAAGGCACTTGCCTGAGGAACACTAGGAGCAGGTGAGGTAGCTCAATATGAAAAGGAGCTTGCCTAACCAACCTGAGTTCCATCCCAGAACTCACAAGGTGGAAGGAGAGAAATGACTCCACAAAATTGTCTTCTGACATCCATATATATGCCATGGCATGCACATATCTGGCACACACAATAACAGTAAAAAATTGTAAAGTATAGAACTTATCAGTTGTAGAATTTTTTTTTTTTTTTTAGTTTTTCGAGACAGGGTTTCTCTGTGTAGCTTTGCGCCTTTCCTGGAACTCACTTGGTAGCCCAGGCTGGCCTCGAACTCACAGAGATCCGCCTGCCTCTGCCTCCTGAGTGCTGGGATTGAAGGCGTGTGCCACCACCGCCCGGCTGACACTCTTTTTTTTTTTTTTTTCTTCAAGATTTATTTATTTATTATGTATACAGTGTTCTGTCTGCATGTATCCCTGCAGGCCAGAAGAGGGAGCCAGATCTCATTACAGATGGTTGTAGGCCACCATGTGGGTGCTGGGAATTGAACTCAGGACCTCTGGAAGAGCAGCCAGTGCTCTTAACCTCTGAGCCATCTCTCCAGCCCCGAATTTTTTTTTTTTTTTTTTTTTTTTTTTTTTGGTTTTTCCGAGACAGGGTTTCTCTGTGTAGCTTTGCGCCTTTCCTGGATCTCGCTCAATAGACCTGGCTGGCCTCGAACTCACAGATATCTGCCTGGCTCTGCCTCCCAAGTGCTGGGATTAAAGGCATGGGCCACTACCGCCCGGCATAGAAAATTATTTAAAATAACTTCTTAAAATCCGCTTCCATCAAGCCGGGCACGATGGCTCACTGGGGAGGCAGAGGCAGGTGGATCTGAGTTTCAGGCTAGCCTGGTCTACAGAGGGAGTTCCAGGACAGCCAGGGATACACAGAGAAAAATTGTCTCGAAAAACAAAACAAGCAAACAAAAAAAATTTCCTTTCCATCACTCGCAGATGAGTTACCAAGAATGTCAGGTATTTCTAAGTTGTCTTGTACGAACTACCTCTTTACTTAGAATATAATCATTTGCTTAGACTATTGGAAAAACGGAGCTGACCTTCCTGATACCTGATCCTTCCCACTCCATTATTCTTCCCTTATATATTCCTTGTCAACTCCAGACTTCCATCATGTTCAGAGTCTGAAAGTGCTTTCCAATCAATTCCCCAAACCCAGAAGGCACGAAGGAAAATGTTTATTCCATGTCACTAATCATGATAACCACAAGGTCACAGATGTATAACAAACTGGGGTTGACCACCACAGTGCATATCTTTAATCCAAGCACTCAGGAAGCAGATCTCTGTGAGTTGGAAGCTAGCCTGGTCTACCTAGCCAGTTCCAGACTCTGTCTCAAACAAAGGAATAGGGGAAAAATTGCAGCTTCCATTGTCAGCAAAGTATTGACTTTCCTTTGATACAAGGAGTAGATATGAGTTAACAAGACTTGGCTGTTCCCCTCTCCCTTTGAAAATAAAATGTCTTCTTGAAATAGCTTTCCAGAGTGGACTTTGTATGTTTTGCCTTTAAGCAAAACATGATTGTGCTTAAAGTCACCTCTTGTGAATCCCTGTGCTTGTGTGTTTATGCATTGTTAGGTGTGGCCACACGTATTGAACTTTTGTTTATGTTTCTGCCTCCCCTGACTGGTTATTGTTAAGACAAACCCAGGACAAATATCTGCAAGCTTGGTAAGTGTCTGACTATATTAAATTGATGAGGATGCTTATAAATCAATGATATAACCGGTAAAACTTAAAACTTGTAAGATGTTTGCACCCTTTTGCCCAGCAGTTTTTCTTCTAGAAATGTATCCTGGAGAAATTTGTAAGAGATATAGCCAAACATTTTAACAGTAGCAAGTAGTTTCTGGTTTGTGTGTTTTTATAGATTTTTTTTTCTTGTTTTGTACCCCCAACAATACCATTTCTGTTGATCACTTGATTTCTGGAGAGCCACAGCCTAAGATCTGCATAGTGAAACCTTGTTCAAAGTTATCCAAATATTTTAGTTAACATAATGAACACTTGTCAGAGAATGTTGTGTAGGTCTAACATGACGACATAATTAGTCTAGCCTTCCTTTGTTAATTGAGCATTGGATCACCCCCTATATGTGTCAGGATTAAGCTTTGCTGAACTTGGGAAAGAGCACCAGTGATCCAAGGTAAGTAGCATTGAATCTGAGCATCAGGCACTGTACAGAAACTTGAATGAGGGTTTAGGGACATAGCTTAGTGGCAGCACGTTTACCTGACATGTGCCTCCAGTACCACAAAACCAACCACAATGAAAACCTTTAAATATAGTTAGACATTACAGTCTCACAGTTCTGTATGAACTACTGTGGTCCCTGTCTAAGAAACCAAGTCATAAATGAGGTAACCTGCTCTGGCTACAGCAATATCCAGGAGGCCTCTTGGTCAGAGTGTTGGGTATAGTTTATTGTGAGTAGGTAGAAGAACTTTTGAGAATAAAGCCCAAAGCCATTCATGTGTATGGTTTCAGATATATCTGTCTGCAGGACAAAGGACTTTGTCAAAGTAGTCCATAGAGCCTTGCATTCCAGAAGATTCTGTTTATTACTGGCAAGAGTCCCTTCACTTTCCTCCCATAAGTTGCTTTTGGTTGTGGTGTTTATCACAGCAACAGAAAGCAAAAAAGGATGCTAACTTTAGTGTTTTCTTGAAGTCTTACAGCTGGTATTCTCCATGTTCAAAGGAAGATTCAAGCCCCAAATAAGGGGAGTGGAAAGGGACCTTTTTTCCATTTTATTTATTTGTTTATTTATTTATTTTTCTTGTATCAGCGTGATACAGTACAAATTCTTATCCTAATAGTGAAATGTTTCACTGAGGCTTGCCCAGTGATTGAGTAAAACCAAAACTTATTATAAGCCACAGTCATCCTAGGGTCCCCCCTGCTATATAGCCTCCCTGGTTCTGTGGGTTGCAGTTTGATTTTTCTTTGTTTTATATCTAATATCCACATATGAGTGAGTACATACCATGTTTGTCCTTCTGAGTTTGGGCTACCTCACTCAAGATGGTATTTTCTAGTTCCATCCATTTGCCTGCAAATTTCATGCTGTCATTGTTTTTCTCTGCTGAGTAGTACTCCATTGTGTATATGTACCACATTTTCTTAATCCATTCTTCAGTTGACGGGCATCTAGGTTGTTTCCAGGTTCTGGCTATTACGAATAATGCTGCTGCTGCTGCTGCTATGAACATAGTTGAGCATGTATCTTTGTGGTATGATTGAGCATTCCTTGGGTATATGCCCAAGAGTGGAATGGCTGGGTCTTGAGGTAGATCGATTCCCAATTTTCAGTGTATGCACTGAGATGTGGGTTGAGGGTTAAGGTCTTTGAGTCAGGTTGAGAATCCTCACACAAACACTGACTCCACTTTGTCCTTCAGGATGGCAGTGTTGAGTGTGGTTCCATACCTTTGGAGATGATGGTTATAAGTGTTCCCCTAAACCAGTGGTTCTCAACCTGTGGGTCTTAACCCCCACAGGATTGCATATCAGATATTTACATTATGATTCATAACAGTAGCAAAATTAGAGTTATGGACCAGCAACGAAATAATTTTATGGTTGGGGGTCACCACAACATGAGGAACTGTATTAAAGGGTTGTAGTATTAGGAAGGTTGAGAACCATTGCCCTAAGCAAAAGCATATTTGTTGTTTCTGTAAGTCTGGTTGGAATAGTGATGTGGTACTAGGGTGCGAAAGGGAGTGGCACAGCAAACATGATGCTTTCCCAACCAAGTGGTGTCTCATGAAGATAACCCCATCTCTTAGGATGCCAAGGTAGGATGTTCATTGCAAGTTTTGGGCTATCTTAGGATACTTAAGGAGCACCCCCCAACCCCCCATGCACCCTCATTGGGGATTGTGCAAAACAAGTGCAGAGTTGAGATATGTGCTTCTGGTAAAACTTTGAATCTTTGATCTTTAGATTGGAATCTTGGCACTATTTATCATGTTTTTTAAATAAGATTCATTTTTCTTAAGTGTGTGTATATGTGTTTCTGTGTAAATATATGCCACATGCATTCAGGTGCCCATGGTGGCCAGAAGGGACCATTGGATCCTCTGAAGCAGGTATATGTGAGCCATTTTATGTGGGTGTTGGGAACCAAACTTGTGTCCTCTGGAAGAGCAGGAAGTGCTCTTAACCACTGAGTCATGATTCCAGCCCTATGGTTTTTTTTTTAAAGATCATCCTATGTTTATTATGCAAAAATTCACTATGACATTCTCTTGCATATATATTTTGTATTTTGATCTTACTCCGATTATTTTCCTTCAACCTATAGTTCATGAAAAACACTTGTATGCAGAAAGTCGAACTATAACTCAGATGTGGCAATGGTATCAGGCATCAAGGATGGGCTTGTTTATTTTATTGAAAGTCAACAATTATAGAACCATATACCTAATTATAGATTATTAATCTACCTTCTTTTAAGAGATAAGGAAACTGAGGTAGAAAAGCATTCCTTGGATTGCTTTAGGTCTTATAGCTAGCTGGAAGATAAACCAGATGTCTAGACACTCCTCCAGTGTTACTTCTTGTTGTTTTGAGATGTTTTTCTGTGTAGACCAGGCTGGCCTTGAATTCACTATGTACTCAACTCTGGTCTGAAACTTTTGAAGTCTCAGCCTCCCAAGTGCTAGGGGTGTGAGCACATGCCATCATGCCCAGCTTCCAGTGTTATTTATAGTGAAACAGCAGGGGCTAGGTAAAGGCCTAAAACAAGGTCTGAAGTTAAATCCATGCTCTTAGTTAGTGCTTCCTGCTTTCATGCTCTCCTTAACCCACATGAAGGACCAGCATCTGTTGCCATGGTTCTGATCGCCTCCTCAGAGCCAAGCTTCATTGTTGTTTGATGTTCCTTCCTGAGGGAGGTCTTTCTGATCACACAGATCTAGATTAATGGCAGAAAGAGGCCCATGGTAGTTGAGTCCATTTTCTAAAAGTACAAAAACCAGCTCCATTGATTTTGCTTGGTCCCATGTCCCAGTCTTTGTCCAATCCCTGGATGCTCTGCAAGAAAGGGTGGGTACTCAAGGAATGGCACTACCTTCTCCCACCTCTGATGAGCCAATGGTATACAGCATCCAGGATCCTCCACAAGGTATCCACCTCTCCAGGACCTTTCTGTGCCCCATCTCCCACTCCCAGGGAGTTGCATCTTCTGCCAGGTGTAGGAATCCCTAAAAATACTAGTCTTTTTTGGCTCTTCCTGCTGCTATCCCTTGTCTCTCCTTGGGTTCCTCTGTAGCTGGAGTTTTCCTGGTCCTGCCTGGCCCAGGTCAGGACAAATCTCTCTCACCCGCCAGTCCCCCAGCTGCTTAGACCCAACCAAGTAAACACAGAGACTTATATTGCTTACAAACTGTATGGCCGTGGCAGGCCTCTTGTTATCTAGTTCTTATATCTTAAATTAACCCATTTCTATAAATCTATACTTTGCCACGTCGCTTGTGGCTTACTGGTACATCTTGCTTGTCATGGCAGCAGCTGGCAGTGTCTCTCTGCCTCAGCCTTCCATTTCCCAGAATTCTCTTCTCTGCTTGTCCCGCCTATACTTCCTGTCTGGCTACTGGCCAATCACTGTTTTATTTATTAACCAATCAGAGCAACACATTTGACATACAGAACATCCCACAGCATTCCTCCGTCCAGCTTGCACAGGGAAGCTACTCAGAAAAGGGCATCACTGCCTGAGTCTGACAGCTCTGAGTCTTTCTTGCTTGACAGTTTGTAGCAGATGTTAGACAAGAACAGAAATCATCTCACGTGTGGCTTCTCCCTCCTCAGAGTCTCCTGTTCCTGAAGCTTCTGCCCTTTCCTAGGAAGAGAACCCAAGAAATTAGTTAATGGTACTTATGCTTCTAACAGCCCAGCCCCAGATGAGGTTTGCACCTTTGTTCTTCTGGTCTGCACTTCCTAATTGCTGTGAAGTGGCCATCTCCTTCCTCGTGCTGGAGTGCCCCACCAGTTCCCACCATGAAATGTAGGTCTGTGCTGTGAAATCAGACTTTGAGTTCTCCTTCTCTCTCCCTAATGCCCATTCCCCATTCCATGGCCTTGCATGAAGTAAAAGATGTCTTTCTGTGAGGGGAGCTCATGGGCTAAGGTGGTCTCACATGTAGTTGTCTTTTCAGGAGTTGGTCATGTTTGAGGAGGTATCAGTGTGCTTCACTTTAGAGGAATGGGCATTTCTGGGTCCAATTCAGAGGGCTTTGTACTGGGGTGTGATGCTGGAGAATTATGGGAACGTGACCTCTTTAGGTAAGGACTCTTCCATAATTCTCATAACCACTGAGCCATCTCTCAGTCCCCACCCCCCCATAATTCTCACCTGCAGTTCATCAACCTTCTGTTGTGGTTACCATCATCATCATCGTTATTATTGTAAATGTAGCATGCACTTTTATGAAACAAAATAATAGACAACAACTGTCAACATTTGATTTATTATCTTTTATTTTTAAAATGGATTTGGGATTTTTTCATCCTTGCTACTATTTTTATACTGTTCAAGTATATGTGGATTTATAAAGTTGATCTCATGTTATTACATTTTTCAAGTATTCTTTATTGCCACCTAATTTGTACAGTAAATTAGTCATTTCCTTATTTAAAAATTATTTACTTATTATTATTTTGGTTTCCTGTTTTGTTTTGTTTTTGAGCTAGGGTATCTCTATATAGCCCTGGCTGTCCTGTATGTAGACCAGCCTGACCTGGAACTTACAGAGATCCTACTGCCTCTGCCTCCTGAGTAATGAGATTAAAGGTGTGTACCACCATGCCTGATTATTTCATATAATAATTTTGTATCTAGCAACCTTCTAATTTTATTGTCTATAGTAATTTACACCATGTGGTTTTACAATTATGAAAATATGTTCCTCAGTATCTCAGCAGTGGTGTGGTAGCTCAAATATTCTCTAAATTTTAAACTTTGAAGCATATCACCAAAATGCTTTTTACCAGTGAAATTTCAGTTTGATGGCCCCCAAAAATGCACAAGAGGATCTACTCTCTGTTAGTGCTTGTGATTTTACTGGTGTTTAATTAAGCCTTTATTAGGTAAGTGTACAATAGGAATTTCTGTTTTCCTTTCCGATCATTCTCTTTAAATGTGTATTGGTCATTTTATTCCTATTTGTGCCTCTTCTACATTTTTCTTTGATATAACTGCTTTTCCTTTGTAAAATGTTGTGCTTCTTTTATTCTGTTTGTTTTCTTTTCAGTGTTGTTTATGATTTTTTTAAGCCTTAGAAATTTTTTTTTTTAGAGTTTAGTACATTAGAGGCTTGAGAGGTGGCTCAGTTGTTAAGAGCATTTGGTTTGTTTGTTTGTTTGTTTGTTTTGCGGAGGACCCAGGGTCCATTCCCAGCACCTATATGATGACTTATGATGATTTATAACTCCAGGTACAGTGGGATCCCCTATCTCAGAAAATCATGTGAAGAATGATTGAAGAAGATACCTGATGCTGACCTCTGGCCTCCACATGCACTCATACATAGGCATGTAGAAGTGTCCCCAGAGAAATGTTTATTGGTTCATTTATAATATCCTGTCAGTGTGGCATTCAGCTTTGTACCTCCTTTTTGTGAAACTTTCTCTGCTGTGGGATGGTCTGTATGTCAAGTGTGTTGCTGATTGGTCAATAAATAAATCATTGATTGGCCAGTGGCCAGGCAGGAAGTATAGGCGGGACAAGGAGGAGAATAAAGCTGGGAAGTGGAAGGCTGAGTCAGAGAGACACTGCCAGCCGCCATGATGAGAAACAACATGTGAAGATGCTGGTAAGCCACGAGCCATGTGGCAAGGTATAGATTAATGGAAATGGATTCATTTAAGCTGTAAGAACAGTTAGCAAGAAGCCTGGCACGGCCATACAGTTTGTAAGCAATATAAGTCTCTGTGTTTACTTGGTCGGGTCTGAGCGGCTGTGGGACTGGCAGGTGAGAGAGATTTGTCCTGACTGTGGGCCAGGCAGGAAAACTCTAGCTACATTTCTCCTTTTTATATACATATAAATGTATATATATCCCTGAGGGGCTGGTGAGATGGCTCAGTGGTTAGGAGCACTACTACTCTTCCAGAAGTCTCAGGTTTGATTCCCAGCACTCACATGGTAGCTAACAACAATCTGTAACTTCAATTTCAGGAGATTCAATGCCTTCTTCCAGCCTCTGTGGGAACTAGGCATGCATGAGGTGCACAGACATGCATGAAGGCAAAACATCCACTCACATAAAATAAAATAGAAATAAATGAATCTAAAAATGTTTTTAAAGTATATCCTCATTGATATATCACCTGCCTAGCATGTGCAAGCCCCTGGGTTCCATCCCTGCACTGCAAAAATGAGTAAATAAACACATGCTGCATGTATCCTTATAGCATGTTTTTAAGGCATTTAATGATTTTGTTCTCAGACTAGGTGTCATAACACACGCCTGTAATAGCTGCACCTGGGAATCTGAAACAGGAGACCTGTGAGTTCAGCACCATGCCGGGCTACATAGCAAGATGAGAGAGAAACTGAGAGACAGACTGACTGTCATGGTGGTGCTACCCTGTAGTTCCAGAGCCTAGGAGACAGATGGACAGGGAACTCATGAGTTTGAGGCTATCCTGATCTACACAGTAAATTTGTGGCCATTTAAGCTACAATAGGGAGACCCTGTCTCAAAAGAAGACTAAGGGTGTGCCTAGCATATGCAAAGCCCTGGGTTCCAAATCTAGCACCAGAGAAAACAAATTATATTTTCAAAAATATAACAATTTAATAACTTTGCATTTAATTCATTTTTACCAGAATGGGATACCATTACTGAGAATGAGGAGGTGACATCAAAGCTGAGTAGTTTCCAAAGAGCAGACTATAAAAAAGGAACATCAAAAAGACTTCAATATGGTGATATTTTATTTGTGCTGAAATGTAGTTTTATTTGTATGTTAATAAATAAAGTTTGCCTGGAGATCAGAGGTCATAGCGAGCCATAAGCAGAGTCAGGCGGTGGTGACACGCACTTAATCCAATCACATGGCAGGCAGAGTCTCTGTGTGTTCATGGACACAGCCTGGGTGGTGATGAACCTTTAATTCCAGTACCAACCATAGAGACCTGGAGGTCTGTATAGACAGGCAGTGATGAGGAAGTCATGTGGTTGGGTTTAGAGCCAATTAGAAGGCAGAACAGAAAGGCAATAAAAACACAAGTCAGACAGGAAAAAACTCTCTCTCTGGGGCAATTGCTCTGATCTCTTTGGCTATTTCCTCTGTATTTGGCTCTGTGTTTCTTATTTACTAAGACTGTTTAGTAAAAGGCGAAAGATTTATACCATCTGAAGAGAAACTGGAGTATAAGACTGTTTAGAATTTTGTCTACACTTCAAGAACATATTTCCCATGTCTTTGATTTTGAAAAAGAGTGTGAATAGCAAGTTTTAACAAGTCAGTTAGAAAATGAAACCAAGGAAAAAGTAGATATAGTGAAGGAAGGTTCCCTTTGTAAATGTGAATGAGAAGAAGAAGAAAAGACCCCACAAGAAAAATGAGTGGAGGGAATTTGAAGAAAACTTGACCTTGGATTGAGCTCCTTGTGGGTGTTTAATAGGTACTGAAGAAAAGAAGCTTTATAAATGTAATATATGTTATAAACATTTTAGTAAAATCTCCCATCTTATGAACCATCAAAGAATCCACACTGGTGAGAAACTTCATAATGTAAGGAGTGTGGAAAAGGCTTTATTCGGCGCTCAAGCCTTCTAATGCACTTATGGAACCGTTCTGGGGGAGAACCTTTCAAATGCAATGAATGTGGGAAACGCATTCTCTCAAAGTGCTTATCTTCTAAACCACCAGAGAATTCACACCAGGGAGAAACCATATAAATGTAAGGAGTGTGGAAAGGGCTTCTACAGACACTCGGGCCTTTTTATACATCTCCGACACCATTCAGGGGAGAGACCATAAAAATGTGATGAATGTGGGAAGGTTTTCTAAGAATGCTTACCTTATTGACCACCAGAGGTCCCACAAAGGGAAAGAACCTTATAATGCAACAAGTGTCAAAAAGCTTCCATTCTCAAGAGCCTTATTCTGCACCAGATAATCCACTCTGGGGAAAAAAACCCTATAAATATGATGAATGTGGGAAAACATTTGCTTAAACCACCTACCTTGTTGACCATCAGCGACTTTACAGTGCAGAGAACCCTTAAAAGTGAAAGGAATGTGGAAAAATTTTCATTCGAAGCAAAAGCCTCCTCTTACACTCGTGAGTCTACACATAGAAGAAAACTTTGGTTGTAAGAAGTGTGGGAAGATTTTTAGTTCTGAGTCAAATCTCATTGACCATAAAAGGATACACAGCAGAGAGAAACCTTTCAAATGCAATAATTGTGGCACACCTTTTCTCAGGGAGCTTCCCTGTTTGACCATCAGAGTCTCCACAATGGAGAAAAGCCCTATGAATATAATCAGTGTGGGAAAGTTTTTATTCTGAAGAAAAGCCTCACTTAGCATCAAAGGTTCCATATTGGAGAGAATCTCTATGAATGCAAAGACTGTGGTAAAGTATTTGGATCCAACAGACACCTTCTTGACCATGAGAGACTATAATGGGGAGAAGCCATATGAATGTGGAGAGTGTGGGAAAACCTTTATTATGAGCAAGCTTCATGGTCCATCAGAAACTCCATAACCAGGAGAAAGCTTACAAATTCAAGGACTGTGGGAAGGCTTGCTTGTACATCACAGAATCCACACTGGAGAAAAGCTTTTTGAATGTAGTGAGTGTGGGAGAGCTTTTAGTTCAAACAGGAACCTCATTGAACATAAGAGAATCCACAATGGTGAAAAGCCCTATGAATGTAATGAATGTGGAAAGTGCTTCATTCTGAAAAAAAAAAGCCTCATTGAGCATCATAGGATTCACACAAGGAAAAAATCCTACAAGTGCAATGACTGTGGAAAAGTCTTCAGTTACCACTCAAACCTGATAGCCTAACAGAGAATCCACACTGCTGAGGAGCCCTATGAGTTAATGAGTGTGGGAAATGCTTTACCTACAACAGAAACTTTATTGAACGTCAAAGAATTCAGTGGAGAGAAAACTTATGAATGTCATATATGCAGAAAAGTCCTTATCTCTAATTAAAAAACTTATGGTACATCAAAGAATCCACAGTGGAGAGAAACCTTATAAATGTGGGGAGTGTGGGAAAGATTTTAGTCAAAATAAAAACCTCGTGGTACATCAGAGAATGCACACTGGGGATAAAACCTCATGAGTGTGAGAAATGCTAGAAATCTACTCAGGGGAGAAACCCTATGGGTGTAATGATTGTAGCGAAGTTTTTAGGCAAAGAAAAAAAAACCTACTGTACATCAGAAAGTTGACACATGAAAAACACTGTGAATGTGTGGGGTCCACAAAGGAATTCTTGCAGACTTCAAGACTTCACCTATAACAAAAAAATTCATACTGTGGAAGAATTATTTTTGTTGCAAATATGAGTCCCAGAGAGAGATTCAGTATAAGGGTGCTTACCAGCATGCATAAGATACTGGGTGTGAACTCCAAAACAGTAAAAAAGAAAAATAGTCACATGCAAAATAAAATGCAATCATATGGAAATAACTATGGCAGCTTGTAAGAAAATGGCCCCCAAAAGGAGTGGCACTATTAGGAGGTGTGTCCTTGTTTGAGGAAGTGTGTCACTGTGGGGGCAGGCTTTGAGGTCTCTTTTTCTCAGGCTTCCCTTAGTGTGACAGTCAGTTGACTTCCTGCTACCTTCTGGTCAAGATGTAGCCATCACCATGTCTGCCTGCACACTGCAATGCTTCCTGTCATGATGATAATGGACTGAACTTCTGAAACTGTAAGCCACCACCTCAATTAAATGTTTTGTTTGTAAGAGTTGCTGTGGTCATAGTATTTCTTCACAGCAATAAAAACCCCTAAGACACTGTTGGACACACCTAGGTCTTAATGGGGAAAAACAAACAAACAAACAAACAAAAAAACAACTCATGACCACTCTCATGGACAAGTTGAAGAGACTTTATTTAGACTTCCACACCTAGAAAAACAATCTAAATTCTAATTAAGAGATAGTCTTTTTTCACCCTGGAAAGAGGCTTTGAAGCATTTTAAGGCTCTAAAGAAACCAAGTTTGTCTCATAAAAAGGTAATGGTGAAGTTGTAACCAATAGCAAATTTTTTTTTTAATTTAAGAACTGGGCATTGTTCCTAACATTTGCATCATACATTTTTAAAGATAGCATAGATACTACAGAAAATCTATATAAACAGAGTGATCCAGAGTTGTGAGATGTGGAATTGAGTGGGAAGAGTCTGCTGCCTGAGAACAACCTAGGGAGAGCACTGAATTTAGAAAGGAAGACATGGGTTTAGGTTCTGGTTCTTCCCATACTATGTGATGTCATTACATCAGCCCCTAGAGTTTCTTTCATAATGCTTGTTTCATTTACCTTTTCATGAGGGGTAAGTGAAAGGATCTTCATAAAAATACTTTGTGAAATAATTCACTTGTCAACAAAGTTGATGAAAGAGGTATGTATGGTCAGAGTACATGGCATGATGTAAATTTGTGTCAGAATTACTACAAAGATACTCATTTGTTTAAGAGGAATTTGAATTTAGAATTCTAAAGAATAGACTTTAAAAATAAAGCTTGGGGGGTGGGCAATGCTGAGGAGATGGCTCAGAGGTTAAGAGCACTGGCTGCTCTTCCAGAGGACTCTGGTTCAAATCCCAGCACCCACATGGTAGCTCACAACGGTCTAGCTTCAACATATTCACACAGACATACATGCAGGCAAAACAACCAATGCACATAAAAAAATAAAAAAGTAATCATTAAATAAATAAAGCTTGGGGCTGGAGAAATGGCCCAGTGGTTATGTGCCCTTGCTGCTCTTGCAGAGGACCTGAGTTTGGTTCCCAACAGCCACATTTCTGGTCACAATGACCTATAACACTAGCTCCAGAAACCCTCTTGATGCCTGTTAGGGCACCTGCATACATGTGGCACACATATACAGACATTCTTACATATAAATATAAAAATTGTTTCAAAAGATTAAAAATAAGGGCTAGAGAGCAGGCTCAGTAGTTCAGATTCTGTACTGCTTTTTCAGAGATCCAAGCTCAATTCCCAGCACCCATTTAATCTGGTATACATGTACTATGGAATACTTAACCATGTAATAGATGGTCTCAATGTCATAGTGACCCTCCAGCCACAGCCTCTCAAGAGCTGGGATCATAGAGGTGAGCCACTAATCTTTGGCTTGATATTGTAAAATTGCTTAAGATTTACCCATTGAGGGGACCTGAATGAAGGGTGCTGTCTTGACAACTTGTGCGTTTATCATTTCAAACACACAAAATTAAAAAGCCATAACCGAGCTAGGCGGTGGTGGCACAAGCCTTTAATTCCAGCACTTGGGAGGCAGAGGCAGGCAGATCCCTATGAGTTCAAGGCCAGCCTGGGCTACAGAGTGATTTCCAGGAAAGGCAAAAAGCCATAACTGTAGTGCTGTGAAGCTAATTTGGGGGCGGAGAGCAATTTTGAAATTTTGTGGATTTTCTTGTTTTTGGTTTTGGTTTTTTGTTAGATTTGATTTTTAATTTTGAGACCAGTTCTTTTTGTGTAGCCCTAGCTAACCTGGAACTCACTATGTGGACCAGGCCAACCTTCAGCGCATCAGATTCTGCCTCCCAGGTGCTGGGATTAATGGTGTGCACCACTACTCCTAATAATTTTTAAATATTTTAAGACAGTTGAATAAATCTGAATATGAATGATTGTAATTTTTCTTTTTGGCAATGATGGTGTTATTGGAGAATGTTCTTAAGGGATACACATTGAATACTTGAAATAAAGCGTTTTTGTGTTTATAATTTCCAAAATTGACCTTAATTATGTCTGAGAATTAAGGTAAATACTGTCCAGATGAATGATAAGGGTATTCATTCCTTCAATTTTTCTGTACCGTTCGCTAATTTGAAAATTAAAATGTTTTCTACAATCTCCCAGGATTTTCTATTTGGCAGCTCTGAGTAGGTGCGTGCCTTACAAGAATGCCCCTGCCCTGCCCTGCCCGCTAATTCCAGCCCTCCTCTATCTCACCACTATTCGGAAATGCACCGAGGAGGAGGACCTCCTAGATTCCTAGAGAGATCGGCCTGTCGTCTGGGGAGCCGGAAGCCCTTCCCGAGGCACTTCCTGTCCGGTCATTGTTCTCTCCCCGCTTACTGCAGAGAGGCTCTGTGGTCTCATTCCGAGAAACTGGCCCTGGCGTGCTGGGCCACCGTGGTGAGCGTGTCGCGGCGGGCGGGGAGAGGGACAGGATCGCTCTGCACCGACCCATCGCCTCGCGGGCTCGGGAGGTAGCTCGGGGTGCACCCACCCCCCGCCCGGGGGTCAGGCGCGGGGGGTGGGTGGGGGCTGCCGCCGAGAGGGAGGAGGGAGGCCTGTCCAGATGGCTCCGCGCCTTCTGGGACGCGAGGCCCACGGGAGTCTGTCCAGAAGACTCAAAATAGACAACTTAGCATGTGCACATAGGGGAACGAAGTCTCTAAGGCTTTTCTGCTTGGGAAACTTAGCCCCATCACGGGGAGAATTATGATTGGCGCATTGGTGAAAAGCATGGCATTACTTGAAAATTCAGTGTGTACAATAAAGTTAACGTTGAAAAAATGAGTATGATTACTCCAGAAGCTGCAAAAGGGGATTTAGTAAAAATTAGCACCAGTTTTTAGTAACAGAAACAAAGAGGAATAGAACCAAGCAAACAAAAATCAATCTCCTTATATCCAGCTAAAACAAAGTAGATTATTTTTGACTGACACACACACACACACACACACACACACACACACACACACACACACACACACACACTCGGTCAGCTTATCTGAGATATAAAGGTCCTGTTAATTAGTAGTTTTGTGCCTGACTTTATGTGGTGTTTTAGAAAGCATTTTGACAATATAAACCCTTAGGCTAGTGACCTCACAGTTCACTCTAAAGGAATAATGCAACAGGACAAAAGAATGATTTGTACAGGAAACAGCTATTACCAAACTAAGCAGTAAAGCCCATGATTATTAAAGAAAAGGTTGTAAACAGTACAGTTAAGTAAATTTAGAGTACTCTGTCAGAATGAGGCATATGTTTTGTCTGTTCTATATATTGAAAGACTATTAAGGCTGTTGTGAAACACTAATTGAGTCAAGAAATGGTTGTGGCTGAGGTGTACCTTAGAGGTAAGAGCATTTGTCTAGGATGCATGATTCCCACCACTACTGCAACAACAGTAAGTGCAGTACGAAAGTGCACACGTAGGGGACTAGGCTATACCCAGGCTGGTCACTAGTTACTCTGTGTTGATGTAAGTGTATGTTTAAGACCCATTTAATTTTATGTTTATATAACCTTCAGAAAGACTGAAAATTACAGGTTATTGTGCAACAATTAAAAATAAGGATAACAATATTAACATGGATATTTTTTTTTTTTTTTTTTTTTTTTGGTTTTTCGAGACAGAGTTTCTCTGTGTAGCTTTGCGCCTTTCCTGGAACTCACTTGGTAGCCCAGGCTGGCCTCGAACTCACAGAGATCCGCCTGGCTCTGCCTCCCGAGTGCTGGGATTAAAGGCGTGCGCCACCACCGCCCGGCAACATGGATAATTTTGTTTTAAGACCAATATTTGGTCTTACAAACATTTGGAAGAGGAGTACAAAAATCAAACAAACAAAAAACCCTCAAAAATACTAGTAATTATACCCTTTAAGATAATCATTCTTTCCTCTTTTAGTAATAAATCTTTGTAATGTCCCTTGTTTAAAAAAATCAGTCCAGCCAGAGGTGGGGGCTGGCACATTGCCTTTAATCCCAGCACTCAGGAGGTAGAGGCAGGTGGATCTCTGTGAGTTCGAGGTCAGACTGGTCTACAGAGTGAGTTCCAGGACAGGCTCCAAAGTGACACAGAGAAACCCTGTCTCAGAAAACCAAAATAATAATAATAATAATGTTGACAATAGTAATAGGATTTAGCTTAGTGGCAGAGCCTTGGGTTTGGTCCTCAGCTCTGAAAGAAAAACAAAACAAAACAAAAACCAGTCTTATTCTAAAAATACATGTCCCCATGGGGGGGTGGGAAACAAATTATAAGTAAAATAATTATTATCACTGGATTGGAATTTTCCCTAATTTTTCCATATTCTTAAAGTTTTTACAGTTAATATATTAGTTCTTCCTCCTTTCTTTTCTTTCTTTCTTTGTTTTTTTTTTTTGAGATAGCATCTCACTATGCAGCCTTGGATGGCCTATGTAGATGAGGCCTCTGCTTCCCAAGTGCTGTGATTAAAGGTGTGTACCATGGTCCACACCAGGCAAATTGTTAATTTTTAATCAAATAAAAAATGGTTTATATATCTCTTTTGTAATCATATATATATTTACAATCTACCCCTATCATTTGAAGGAGAACAGACCATTACTGTTCTACTGTGGCCACTAGCCAGGAGCTGGTAACGTCAACTAATGGGCTGAGTGTTATCCATACAAAGCTATATTTGGTGTTAACTGTGTTTTCTGGTTTTGCAGGAACAGTACTCATCTTGGCACTGGGAAGAAACTCAGAAGCCTTGGAGACTTGAAGATTAGATAGGGTGTGGCCAATGTTGGGCATTCCTCAGCTATTCAAAGATTCCCCATTGAACAAAGATGACTGCAGAATTGAAAAAGACCATGGGCCGAGCCTCTTGGAGCCCAGTGAAGGTGAAAAAGGAAGAGGATGAGGATGAAAGTATAAGTCAGGCATCTGGTCAACAAGTGTACTCTGAGAATATCAAGGTCTGGGCCCCCGGGGAAGGTCCTTATTTAAGCATTGATGTATCAGAAGAGGAGGAAAAGGTAAATGATGATCTGGGGGAAAGGAAGAGAATTGCAGATCTCAAATAGTTTCAGAGGCACTCAGTGCCAAACCCAGATTTTTTTTTTTTTTCCTGATGAGGGCTCTTACCTTTATTCCTTTGGAACATAGTGAGATGTTCTTTTCAATTGATGTGTTAGTACTGTTCTGTAAGTCTGTGGCTCCCAACCATTGCTGCATAGAACTTGGGGAGCTTTACAATATCTTGTTTCCCATATTATAGTCTGTTCTAATCAGACCAGATTCTGAGGAATAAGACCTAGGTTTTTGTTTTTACAAACACTTCAAGTGAAGTGTTTCATTCAGGGTTTAACAGTTCTTTCCAGTGCTTTGCCATGGTTAAAGTCTGCCACCAGGGGTCTCCTTAAAGTGTAACATGGGTTTAGGAGTTCTGGAATGTTGCTACAGATACTGTTGATCTGTAACAAATAGCTCAGCCTGACTAAATTCCTGAGCCTCCTGCCTTCACTACCCATGTGCTGGGATTAAGGGAATCGATCACCACACTTTTGGCTTGCCTTTAGTGGTTTCAAACTCAGTCCAGGTTCATTCAAAAGTTTTCCCAGAGGTCTCTATGAGTGTATGATCAGAACCTTAGTTGTTTTGAACTTTGGGGCCCAGAAAATTCTGCTGAAAAATGTGTCCAAATGCAGCCCTCAAACTCCCTGTTAATCAAGGATGACCTTAAAACTCTGATCATCCTGCAGTGATTTCCCACAAGCTACGGTTACAGGTCTGTGGCAACACACCTAGTTTGTCTGGTGTAAGGCAAGCATTGTATCACCTGAGCTTCTTAAAGCCATGATCCCTACTTGTTTAAGCTAGGGTGCACTAACAGATTAGGATATATGCTGTATAATTCAGTGAGTTAAAAATCAAAGTGGTAGGCTAGAGGTGGTGTTGTTGAATACCTTTGATCCCAGCACTTGAGAAGCAGAGGCAGGCAGTTCTCTGAGTTCAAGGCCAGCCTGGTCTACAGAGTGAGCTCCAGGGCAGCCAGGGCTACAGAGAGAAACCCTGTCTCAAAAAACTTAAAAAAAAAAAAAAATCATCAAAGTGATAGCCTAGCTTCTCCACTCAGGTCTCCTGGGGAGTTGGGGAAGACTCCTGCCCAGTTTTTGTGACCTCCAGGAATGTGTTCTCATCTGCAACGCTGTAATCACAGTGTTTCAGTCTTCAGTCCACTCATAAACTATGCCCACTTGTTTCTAGGGTCAGAAAATGTTCTGGGACATGGCAGTGGTCCTAAAAGCAACACAGGAGGCTGCTGCTGCTGCACCCCTTGGAAGCTACTCATTACCAGGGACTCTGGCCAAGAGTGAAATCCTGGAGCATCATGGGAACCCAGCCCTGCTAGGTAAAGTTCAGCTCCCTGATCTCAGTTACATTAAAATGTGTGGGTGAGTGGTTTTCCTTCTTAAATTACATAGTATGGAAAGAGCTGCCCATATGGTTGCCACAGTGAATAGCTTTTTTTATATCTAAAGACCAAAGAGGTAAATTCTAAATTTCACTTTTTTTTTTTTTGGTTTTTCGAGACAGGGTTTCTCTGTGTAGCTTTGCGCCTTTCCTGGAACTCGCTTTGGAGACCAGGCTGGCCTCGAACTCACAGAGATCCGCCTGGCTCTGCCTCCCGAGTGCTGGGATTAAAGGCGTGCGCCACCACCACCCGGCTAAATTTCACTTTTTAATCATGCTCATTCCTTGCACTTTTCATGTCTCTGCACATGTGTAAACCCATGTCTTCATGTGTTTTGTGGTTATTTATAAGTTGCAAGTGAAGTATAGTATGCTCTGCATTTTTTGTTTTTGTTTTCTTTTTTGAGATGGTCTCATATCCCAGCCTGGCCCTAAACTCTCTATATAGTCAAGATTGACCTTGAATTTTGAATTTCTAATCCTGCTTTCATCTTCCAAGTGCTAGGATTACAAGCATGTGCTACCATGCCTAGTGTATGAGTGCTGGGGATTAGAATCAAGGCTTCGTACATGCTAGGCAAGCACTTTACCAATTGAGTTATATCCTCAGTCTTAAGTGTCTTTTTTTTGAAAGACTTTAAAAAAAAAAGAAAAAACCTTGGGCTGGAGAGATGGTTCAGCAGTTAGTAACACTGGCTTCACTTCCAGAGGACTGAGGTTCAATTCCCAGCACCCACACAGTCTGTCTGTGTGAAACTGTCTGTATGTCCAGTTTCAGTGAATCAGACAGTTATACAGAAATACGTGCAGGCCAAACACCAATGCACATAAAATAAAATCATTTAAAAAAATACCTTTAGGGCTAGTGATATAGCTCAACAGGTAAAGATGCCTGATGATCTAAGTTCCATCCCAGCGACCCACATAATGGAAAAGAAAAGCACTATTTTGACTCCCAAAAATTGACCTCTGACCTCTATCTGTGCATTTTGGCATGCTACCTCCATCCCCCAATAAATGTAATTTAAAAATTCTTAAAAGATACCTTTAGCTTGGTATCATGGCCTTTAATCCCAGCACTCTGGAGGCAGAGGCGGTTGGATTTCTCTTAGTTTGAGGCCAGCCTAGTCTACATAGCTGGTCTAGACCAGCCAGGGTTACATAGTAAGACCTTGTCTCAAAACAAACAAAAAATGCCTTCTACATGTGAGGAGTTATAACAGATCATTAGTATGAAAAATGATTTAAAGATTTAAAAAATTAATTCAGGGCTATCAGATGGCGTAGTGGTAAAGGTAGTCATTGCCAGGCTTGTTGACCTGAGTTCACTCCCAAGGGATCAAAACATGGTAGAAGGATAGAACCAACTTCCAAGTTGTCCTCTGATCTCCATATGCACACTGTTTTTTAAAAGGGGGTGGGGTGGGGTAATTCAAATATATAGAAATTTAAAAAAAAAAAATCCAAAAAGCAGATGGAAGTGTTCAGCTTTACTCATTGAAAGAGACATCACAGACTGAAATCAGTAATATGTTATCCTCACTTAATTAAATCATTTATTATTATTGTTTTTGCTTATTTGGTTTGGTTTGTTGATTTGATTTGTTTTGAGACGGGGTCTCTCTGCATAGCCCTGACTGTCCTGAAACTCATTATGTAGACCAGGCTGGCCTTGAAGTCACAGAGATCCACCTGCCTCTGCCTTCCAAAGTGCTGGGATTAAAGGTTTGTGCTACTATACTTGGCCCATGAAATCAGTCTTGATTGGCTGTGAAGAATCCTGCTTGTGCAGAAGTGACCTGTAAATGAGGGTCAGGAATATGTTTAGATAGGTCAGAAATGTCTCAGTGGGTAGCTGGGGAGGTGAGATTATATGATTCGTATCTCAAGAGTACAAAAACCAGCTCAGAGGGCCAACAACTTTTGAGCCAGTGTCTCATGTAGTCCAGACTGGCCTTGAACTTAGGAACTTCATGCCTCTACCTCCTAGATGTTAGGATCACAGGTGAATACTGTCATACCCACCTGAGATCTTTTTCTGATTAAATTTTATTTATTTATTTACTGTGTATATGTGTGTGTGCATCCATACCGTAATGCACATATAAAGGTTAGAGGACAGTTTTGTGGAGTCACTTCTGCCCTTCCACTTTCACATGGGTACTAGGGTTGGGTAGCAAGGAGTTGTACCAGCCAAGCCATGATACAGATTCCAAATCCCTTGAAAAAGTGAAATGGGTTAGGTTTATAGTTCAAAATGTAGAGAGCATATTTAACAAATGTGAGGACTTTCATTCAATTCTCTGCACCAAGAAAAAAGAGTGAAAGGAAGAAAGATATTGATATAAAAACTAAATGGGGCTCTGGATGTAGTTTGGTGATACAATGTTTACTTGGCATTGTTAAGTCCCAAGTCCTTTGGAAGAGCAGTGTTCTTAACTGCTGTGCGCCATCTCTCCAACCTTAGTGGGTTGTTTTTTTGTTTTTGTTTTTTGGTTTTTTTTAGTTAAGCAGTCTCTCTGTTTAACTCCAACTGTCCTGGAACTTGCTGTAGACCAGGCTAGCCTCAGACTCACAGCAGTTTTCCTTCCTCTGCTATCCAAGTGCTGGGATTACAGGTGCATGTCCCTATGCCCAGATTTTATCCTTCCTTTGCTATCGAGTATCCTCACACACAAAAAAAACCTAAGTTGGAAGGTCTTTCATGGATAGGGATTTTCCATAATGAACTGGTCAGCTCAAGAGAAAAAGGTTAAGTTGAGGCAGGGCTAGTATCCTCATAACTAGTCACAGTTGTGAGACTTGTCTTTAGGTTACCAGGAGTGTTGTCTAGAGCTTGGGCCTGTTACTCTGAACTAAGTGTTTGTTGTTGTTGACAGATAAAAGGAGGAAAAAGTTTCTTTTAGCTTCAGATAACAGAGGTTTCAGTTCACTGTAGTTTGTGCAGAACATGATAGCAGGATTACGTGGAAAATGAGATTGCTTACTTCATGATGAACAGAGACCAGGACCTCAAGTTTCCATAACTTTCCCCAAAAGCACCACTAGCTAGGGGCCAGTCATTGAGCACATGGCTTTATAGGTGACACTCATATTGGAATGTAGAATCTGGTGAAAGGAAATGTGTGGCAGGGCACAGACATAGCAGAGGAATCTAGAATGGTGTGGTATCCCCTCTATGATGAGGTCCGTTTGGAAAGATAAGAGTTATTTATTCTGACCTTGATGAGCCTGTTCTTTTTTTAGGCCAGAGAAAACTAACATTTTTATTTTCTGTTTCTTAATACAGGTACTGAAACCAAGAACCTACAGTTACTGGTTCCTAAAACAGAGATATGTGATGAAGCAGAAGAGCACCCCAGGATTTTAGGAAGAATCCAGAAAGGTGACCTTCAAGGCCCTGAGCTAGGAGAATCTTATGAAAAGGGAAATGTGTTAAAAAGGCAGAAAATAAAGAGGGAAAAAAGAGATATAAGAAAAATAACTGTGAAAGACTGTCCATTGTCTGAAAACTTCAGAGAAGACGAAGACCAGAAATCTAGGAAGTCTAAGAGGAAATATAGCCTTAGTTCTGGTCCAGCTAAAAATCAGAAAATACAGCCTGGGCAAAAGCCTTTTACATGTAGTGAGTGTGGGAAAGGCTTTAGTCAGAGTGCAAACCTTGTTGTGCATCAACGAATCCACACTGGGGAGAAACCCTTTGAGTGTCATGAGTGTGGGAAGGCCTTCATTCAGAGTGCAAACCTTGTTGTGCATCAGAGGATCCACACTGGACAAAAACCCTATGTTTGTGCAAAGTGTGGGAAGGCTTTCACTCAGAGTTCAAATCTGACTGTACATCAGAAAATTCACTCCTTAGAAAAAACCTTTAAGTGTGGTGAATGTGAGAAAGCCTTCAGTTACAGTTCACAACTTGCTCGGCACCAGAAAGTCCATATAACTGAAAAATGCTATGAATGCAATGAATGTGGAAAAACATTTACTAGAAGCTCTAACCTCATTGTCCATCAGAGGATCCACACTGGGGAGAAGCCTTTCGCCTGTAATGATTGTGGCAAAGCCTTTACCCAGAGTGCAAATCTTATTGTGCATCAGCGAAGCCATACTGGTGAGAAGCCATATGAGTGTAAAGACTGTGGGAAAGCCTTTAGTTGTTTTTCTCACCTTATTGTGCATCAGAGAATTCACACTGCAGAGAAACCTTATGACTGCAGTGAATGTGGAAAAGCCTTCAGTCAACTCTCTTGCCTTATTGTCCACCAGAGAATTCACAGTGGAGATCTCCCTTATGTGTGTAATGAGTGTGGGAAGGCCTTCACTTGTAGCTCATACCTACTCATTCATCAAAGAATCCATAATGGGGAAAAACCTTATACGTGTAACGAATGTGGTAAGGCCTTCAGACAGAGGTCGAGCCTCACTGTCCACCAGCGAACCCACACCGGGGAGAAGCCCTATGAATGTGCAAAGTGTGGTGCGGCTTTCATTTCTAACTCACACCTCATGCGACACCACAGAACCCATCTTGTTGAGTAGCAAGGAAGAGGATATTTCCCTGCTTTTGGTCATAGCCTACTGCTCCCAATAGTAGGCACCTCTGTTCTGCTTTATTCTCCCTTTGGTAAAACAAAGCCTATACCCTTTAAAGTTACTTTCCTGGAAGGGAAAGTAACACAAGCATTTCAGAAGCTAATTTAAAGAAAATAAAATTTAAACATCTAAAAGCCAAGAACTTTGTTTTAACTGTAGCCTAAGCAGTTATGTTTTCTGAAATGGAATGGGGCTTTTTTTTTTCCTATTCATATATTCACTGGCCCCAATCCAGCTAAGCTGAGATCAGATGAAATCATGCACTGTGGGTGGCGTGGGAGCAGATGGATCGTGGCTTTTATAGGAATGGGTCCTGATGAATATATATGTAATGAGCTTATTTGGGGAAAAGTTTTTGTTCAGTACTCCTTTTTTAAAATTATGAACTAATTGAGCAATAAGCAAGTTGTCCTGGCTATATTCTGGAGCTTTTAACTTCATGTCTGTCTAGTATTCTGAATGAAGCAATAACTAAGTAATCACCTGACCTAGCATTCACCAACTCAGCTGTGAACATTCCAGAAGCTTTCCCATCACCAAAGTCTTAAAAAAAGAAAAAGAAAGAAAAATAAAACCAAGCCTTTAACAAGCTGCTTCTTTGAAGTGACAGGAAGTAGAAAACAGCCTTTTCCCTTATTGTCTGTACCTCCCAAACCTTGACATTGCAAAGTTCTAGGACCACTGACATGTCTGTTCTGAGTATTCCCTTATCTAAACGGCCAGGTGGTTAGGGACTGATGGAGACACCAAATTCCAGCAACTTTGATTTACTAAGATTGAGAACTGTCAGTAAACAGCTCCGCTCCCTAAATTCCTATAATATTTCTTTGGGTAAGGTGCTACTAACATTCCCCAGTAAGGAGACATGCCCAGGTTGTCTCTGATATCATTCTCCCTATGACTAGCAAGTTTCAGTGGGTTTCATTCTCACATTCTGGATGGCATTTAGAAAAAGTAGTGGAAAAATTCTAGTTCTGAGAACAAAACAATGAGGGAGGAGGCACAATGTGATTCCTATGATTTTAATTTGGTTTTTGAGGATTTCAAAGGTTATTAGGATGTGAGGACTTAGATAGAATGAAGAAACTGGCTAAGATAAAATTTTTTTTTTTGAGCTGAGGATCGAACCCAGGGCCTTGTGCTTGCTAGGCAAGCGCTTTACTGAGCTAAATCCCCAACCCTAGATAAAATTTTTATTACTACAAAAAAACAAAAAAATGTTTTATTACTATTGAGCCTTGATCCCTGGGAATATGATTTATAAAAGTATGCAGCAAGTAGTTTCTGTAATATTGCCTTGTATTTAGATTGGTCTTTGTTGTGTACCTGCCTGTGTAGGAACATGGTACCTGGCAGTTCTCTCTTGCCTTCTCACAGATTTCTGCAACACTCAAAAGGGATTTATCATGTACTTGAGAGATCTGTCTAATGTAAGGCCAAAAAACAAAAGACAGCCTGTTCCAAATCCAGGGTCAGTGCTTGCATAGCCAGATACTATTCCTGTTGGACTTAAGGATGATCCTAAGAAAGGTATGGATGTAGAAGCTTTAGGTGATAGACATTGTGGTATGCCTTAGGGATCTGACTGAAATTTGGGCAGTCTCACTTTTGAGACTGTCCACTATGTTCTGATGTTTCTGAGCATGCATTCAAGAGCATCTGTTGCTAATTCTCAGCTTGGTGGTAAGTACTATGCAACTCCTATGCAAAAGTCTAGACACTTGCCTCGTTTATATAAGATTAATCACATAAGGTCTTCTAGCTTAAAGGTCAATTTCACATGAGGTAAACTTACTATTTCCTCAACTTTTTAATTTTCTTAGCAGTCTTTGTTAAAGTATATGTAACTTTGTTTCCTGGTTTCACACTATTTATTCATAGAGACACAAGAATTCAAAAATAGAAATCAAGAATGCTCAGGCCATGTGATGGCACATTCAATTCCACCACTCAGGAGGTAGAGGCAGGTGGATCTCTTGAGTTCAAGACCACCCTTGTCTACAGAGTGAGTTCCAGGACAGCCAGGATTGCACAGGAAACCCTGTCTCAGGAAAAACAAACAACAACAATAACAAAAAACTCATGCTCTCACTGACTAACAGTAGGAGCGGAGAAACAAACGAAAGTGAAACTCCATATGGTTCTGCTGAGATCAGATAGCTCAGTGTTAGAAGAGCAAGTCTGAGGGGTTAAGCTAGTGCTCTGAACTTGATCCACTAAGAGACCAAAAGTGTACTTACATGAGCTGGAAATATAACTCATTGATGGAGTACTTGTCTACCATATGTAAGACCTTGGTTTTGATCCCCAGGACTGAAAAAAAAACAAAGTGCTTTCCTGAGCTGGGATTTATAATTATTAAGACTCTTAATGCCTTGACTTCATAACATACACTAATCTTCAAAACTAATTTTTTTTAAAAGATTTATTTATTTATTATGTATACAGTGTTCTATTTGCATGTGTCCTTGCAGGCCAGAAGAGGGCACCAGATCTCATTACAGGTGGTTGTGAGCCACCATGTGGTTGCTGGGAATTGAACTCAGGACCTCCAGAACAGCCAATGCTCTTAACCACTGAGCCATCTCTCCAGCCCCAAAACTAAATTTTTGTTATACATAATTGTGTTGTGACTATACAAATTCACATGTTAAGAAAAGCTACACAGATGATTCTAAGTACCTAACCTTGATGTAAAGCCAAGGTTCCCTAACTTTGGGGTTATGATAATATAGGTCACCTTTAAATTTTCTATTCCCAGAACTTAGAATTTTTTTTTTATACTCTGGAAGAAATTAAAATGTGCAGAGTTATAAGATTGCAGTCAGATAAAACCTGTGTGACAAAAATGGGTGTAATTAAAGGTGAGAGAGGACAAGTTCCCTTATAAAGGTCTGTGTGCAGTGCTCAGCAAAATAGACATTTCATTGGCTGCACTAGATGCTTTTCTGGGTCTTCTAATCATTTCCTTAGGCATTTAGATTCTGTGACCCAATACACTTTGCCAAGTTTTTTTTTTTTTTTTTTATAATTTAATTTATATATTTTATGTATGAGGGCTCTGCATGTACACCTGTGTGCTGAAAGAAGTCATCAAATCTTATTCTCGATGGTTGTGAGCCACCATGTGGTTGCTGGGATTTGAACTCAGGACCTCTGGAAGAACAGCCAGTGTTCTTAACCACTGAGCCACCTTTCCAGCCCCCCACTTTGCCAAGTTTTACATAACATTTTTTATGTTTGTAGTGTGATGTGCGATCCTAATTAGTCTTAACAGTAAGAACCCAGAGTCAGATATTAGGGTGAAAGCTGAAAGATCAAAGAAGCAGAGCAGCAGCCACTAGAGAGTTCTTACCTCTAAGAATCCTCAGACTGAATGGGCACCGAGATCCTGTCTCCACCTACCTAGTGCTGGGATCAAAGGCATGATCCTGCCTGGTGCTGAGATTAAAGGTGTGAGCCTCCCAAATGCTGGGGGCTCTGTTTCTCTTTTAGACTGGTTTAATCTTGTGTAGCCCAGGGTGGCCTTGAACTCCTGATCTTCCCGCTTCCTCCTCCCAAGTGCTGGGATTAAAGGTGTGTGCCACCACTGCAGTGGCCTCTATGGTTAACTAGTGGCTAGCTCCACCCTCTGATCTTCAGGCAAGCTTTATTTGTCAGAACACAAACAAAATATACAACAGTAGTGTGACTTTCTATATTTGTGCTTTTATTTTATCTCTAGATTTTTTTCCAGAAACTCCAGGTTCAGGACCTTTGATCCTGGCCAAATCATACCAACTAGTGAATTCCTGTACTGATGTATCTGCTCACTACCCAGCTAAAAACAACTCTTCCCAATTCAGTTACAGCCCTCAAGTCATATTCTGTTTCCCTTAGAGTTTTTATTTATTTTTTTGGTTTTTTGAGATAGGGTTTCTCTGTGTAGCTTTGCACCTTTCCTGGAACTCGCTTTGGAGACCAGGCTAGCCTCGAACTCACAGAGATCCGCCTGCCTCTTCCTCCCAAGTGCTGGGATTAAAGGCGTGCGCCACCGCCACCCGGCATATATATTTTTTTGGGGGGGGGGTTTTCGAGCCAGGGTTTCTCTGTGTAGCTTTGCGCCTTTTCCTGGAACTCACTTGGTAGCCCAGGCTGGCCTCGAACTCACAGAGATCCGCCTGGCTCTGCCTCCCGAGTGCTGGGATTAAAGGCGTGCGCCACCACCACCCGGCTTATTTTTTTAATAGTTAAGTTTACAGAGTCTCTCAGGAGTCTTCCCCAGATACATGACTTTTAGATCTTGCTTCTCTTGATTGCCTCCCTCACCAAATGGTGCCATTTTATCTACTACTGAGATACTATTTGGTTAGTCATTGTCCCAGCTCTGATTCTGTAAGTGGTCTAAAAACATTGCTATTGCTGGGGGGAGGGAGGGGGATGGTTCTCAGGACATAATGAGTTACAATTGCCCTGATGAGGTAAACAATCTTCTAGGCTTTACTATTCCTAAAATCTAAAGATTGGAACAATTAGCCTATGCTTTCAGCATTCCTTAAATCATTAATAGATGTTAAAAACAAAGATTTCACGTTTTGTCAAAGTAATTGCTTATATTTTCTGCTAAGTATGTTGGGCTTCTAAGTAAGAAACCTGGCTTAGGCTGGGCACAGTACTGCACAACTTTAATCCAAGTACTGGGAAGGTAGAGGCAGGTGGACCAAGGCCAGCCTGGTCTACATAGTGAGTTCCAAGACAGCCAGAAATAAATAGTGAGATCCTGTCTTGAAAAAACAAAAACAAAAAACCCAAAATTCAAGAAACCCGACTTAAGGTTTATTTAAAAATTGATCTATATGAAGCTTTAATCCAAGTGCTATACAACAGCTGCATTTCAAAGCACAGTTTGTTGTTCAGTACAATTATAAATGACCTCCTGGGTGTTATTATGATTACCATTCTTGAAGATCTATACTGGTGTGGACAAGTGGTCAGAATATCAATATTTGGCCACTATCCCCAGGTCAGCTGAGTCCCAGGGACTCTGGATACCCTCAAAAGGTCCTACAGCTGTGGTAAGTCACCTGTCTTCTTGGTCAGAGGAGTCATGGTAGGAGTCTAACCAGTGTACATTCTGCAAAGACGAGAGTGAACACAGAAGGAAATGCCCTCAGTGTTTCTAAGTGATGTCACACTGTCAGTAAAGACCATAGCATCCCAGCAGATGGCACAACTGATAAAATGCTAAAGGACCCAGGATCTCTCCCAAGTCTCCAGTAATCAGAGGACTGTATCTAAAACTGGCCTTAACAACATCAAAAAATGGTTAATTCTGACCACCTACCTACACAGTCTTAAACACCTAGTAAGAAAGTACAACCAAACTGAAAAATAACAAAACTCTAAACTTTAAAAGGTACAAGCAATGAGTCCGGCTTTACAGGTCTTTGCATGGGTTACTAATACAAAAGAAAAAGTACTCAGTTTCACCAGTTGTTATCAGATTAAAAGTCCACCCAGTGCCCTTCCTAATTGTAAACAAAATGCTATTTGGATAGTCTTGATAATTTTAATTTCTCCTTTGCTTTACAAGATCTCAAAGTCAGACATACTGTTGGCACATACCACCATCATTATTTTTGTTAGAATATACTGTACATATGTTTCTACTCTTGCTTAAGGTAGTATACCTATGCAGCTCATTTAACAATGTAATGTAAATTTCTAGTCCTTGAAAGTTTTTATTACAAACTAATTAAGATAATAAAGAAATGCAGGTTAGTAGTTAGTCACCTAACAATCAAATGTGTAGTCATGTTAGGTATGTTTTCAAGGTCAAACATATTTTAGATAGACAGGTGGACTTCAAACACTTCAGAGATCTACAGAATATGGCATTTAAGATGCTTGAATAACAAGGCGTTTCATGACAGTGAGACACATCTGCTTCTGGCAGCACCAATTTACTTCAGAGAAGATGGTGGGCATCAAAGAATCTCCATATGGAGTTTGCTTTCTTTGTGGCAAAAGTTAGCCACTGGGCAAGAAACTGCCCTTGCCTCAACTGCTGACACTATGCTGTCCAAATTGGATAAGCAGAACACAAAGGAAAAAGCTACTGAACTGTGCCAAGACAAGGTAGGACAGTCCTTCAAAATTCCTGCTTCACAGAAAAGTCTGTCAGACATTCTAGGCCTGTAGGTCAAAGATGGATGCCCTAACATTACAGAGGAACTGTGGGTGACTATCCAGGTAGCCCTCTGTTTCTGTCATTTCTATAGTTTTGGAAGTTGTTGGCTCTGCACTTCCTGTTTACTCAAGTAATAGTTTATCATTCTTGGGCCTCTGATGGAGACTGAAGACTAGATAGTTATAGTTTTATAGTTCTTCTTGTTACCAAATTCAGAAAAGAAATTTATATAAGCGATATAAAATGTATAAGGTTGAGAGACATAAAAGCTTAAATTGTTTATCTAAGAAAATGTTTTGAGGTCCAAAAAAAAATTAGTTTTGGTTGGTAATACAAGTTAGAAAAGAAAGTGAATTAGGCACAAAACTTTAGACTCGCCAAGATAGGATTTAGACAATACCTGATAATTGTTCTTATCGTATACATTTTACTTATATGATAGAGTTAAAACCTTTCCTTTTTACTTAGACAAAAAAGGGGAAATGTGGAATAATTTTTTTTACACCGAGGATGTGTCACTTGGATTGGTTTAATAAAAAAAGTTGAACAGCTAATAGCTAGGCAGATTTTCGGGGCAGAGAAGATACTGGGAAGAAGGGTGGAGTCATAAGGAGACAGCAGAAGCATGACATGTAGGAGATGAGGTAACAAGCCATCAGCCACATGGCAGCATATAAATTAATAGAAATGATTTAAGTTATAAGAGCTAGTTAGAAACAAGCCTAAGCTATCAGCCATTCAGCTTTTTTTTTTTTTTTTTTTTTTTTTTTTTTGGTTTTTTGAGACAGGGTTTCTCTGTGTAGCTTTGCGCCTTTCCTGGATCTCGCGCCATAGACCAGGCTGGCCTCGAACTCACAGAGATCCACCTGCCTCTGCCTCCCGAGTGCTGGGATTAAAGGCGTGCGCCACCACCGCCCGGCCTCATTCAGCTTTTTATTAAACTAATCTGAGTGACATATCTCCAAAGTGTACAAAAAGATTATTCCACAACACTTTAACATCAAGATTTCTACCCTCACATTTGGAAGTGAGTTTTATGTGTTTGTTTGCTTGTTTGTTTTGAGATGGAATACTCCTGTGTAGATCAGGGTGATCTGATAATCCCTATGTAGTCCAGGCTAGCCTTCAACTGTGATAAATTTCTGCTCAGCTACTGGAGTCCTTGGCTTTTAGGCATGCATCATCACATGCAGCTAAGAATGAGAATTTACAGTTTGACCTTTCCTTCCTATAATAAGGCAGAGCCCTTGATCAGGGCAATGTCCATCTTAGTTGTGTTCAGTTTTTTTTGGTGTCTCACTCTACCATTAATTTTCTACCACATTGAAAGAAATTCACCTGAGCTGGGCATGGTGGTACACACCTTTAATCCCAGCATTTAGGATTTACAGATAGATCTCTGAGCTTGAGGATAGCCTAGTTTACAGGGTGAGTTCTAGGACATCCAGGGCTACACAGAAAAACGCAGTCTTGAAAAATTGCCACCTCCCTGCTCCCCTCCCCCCCCAAAAAGAGGTCATCCCAAAATGCAGACTATTATTGCCTTTAGTAGCACATCTTTATATGGGAAGGCATGCTGCACCATTTCTGGAGCTGGGACATCAACACAAACCCTCAACCTTCCGCTTCACTGGAGGAACCAGATAAAGCTACCTGGCTCCCTAGAATAGTGTGGGAGGTGGTTCTTAGTCTCAGAGTCATGATATGGCAGCACTAACTGTTGTTTCTTAGATCTATTCCAGTTCCCATGTTGGTGACCTCAAGCTCCATCACTTGGGCTTGAAGAAAGCAGAGGAGGCCCAAGAAAAGCTCCAGCTTTTCTGAGGTTAGCTGCACTCACCCACATACATAATTTAAAATAAAATACATCTTTAAAAAATGGTTCTAGCTAGGATTGGTGATACATGCCTTTAATCCCAGCACTCCAAGGGCAGAGGCACATGGGTCTCTGAGTTCAAGGCTATATTGATCTACAGAGGGAGTTCTAGGCCAGTCAGTGATATATAGTGAGACCCTGTTACCATATAACAAAACAGGTTTTAAATAAATTATATGAAAAACAGTGGAGTTGTTTGTTACATGAAAAGACGATTTTTTTTTAAAGGGTAGAATTATGCTGTGGTATTAATTTTTTTCTGTTTTCTTGACTGTTTAAGAATAAATTAGCAGCCGGGCGGTGGTGGCGCACACCTTTAATCCCAGCACTCGGGAGGCAGAGCCAGGCGGATCTCTGTGAGTTCGAGGCCAGCCTGGGCTACCAAGTGAGTTCCAGGAGAGGCGCAAAGCTACACAGAGAAACCCTGTCTCGAAAACCAAAAAAAAAAAAAAAAAAAAAGAATAAATTAGCTTGGTGACAGCAGCACACGCCTTTAATCTCAGCACTTGGGAGGCAGAGGCAGGCAGATCTTTTGAGTTCTAAGCTAGCCTGATCTACAGAGTGATAGCCAGAGCCACACAGAGAAACCCTGTCTCAAAACAAAGAATAAATTAAAGTTCCACAGAAAGCTTATTTTCAAAATGCTAAATTTTGAAACAATCACTGACTCCTGTTTCTGAACACCTTTAAATAGTATGAGTTGCAGTTTGTAGGTTTCCTTGTATGAATATGGAAGACTTCGTGAATCTCCATGCCATTGTTGCACAGGGCCATACAAATCTCTGTATCGTTCCCTAGAAAGCACTTTCTTTTTTGAGAGTCTCTCACTGTGTGTTGAAATTCCTCATACTTCTGTCTGTTTTCCATGTGCTGGTGTTATAGGTTATTACACCTGGCTTAGGAAGGTATTTTCAACCAGGCACATAGCCATGCCTTCATCCAAACAAAGGTTTTACTAATGAGGAAGATACAAAAAAGGCTCATATATTTGAGTGCTCGGTCACCAGAAAGTAGAACTGTTTGAAGAAATTACAGGGATTAGGAGATAGGACTTTATTGGAGGAAGTGTCATTCGGGGTGCGTTTTGAGGTTTCAAAAGCCAATGCCAGTCGGCAGTGGTGTCACACATCTTTAATCCCAGTACTTAGGAGGCAGAGGCAGGCAGAATCAGCCTGGTCTACAAAATGAGTTACAGCACTGCCAGAGCTACTCAGAGAAGCCCTGTCTCAAAAAAACAAAAAACAAACAAACAAAAAAACCCAAACAAACCCATGCCAGACCCAGTCTGTTTCTCAATGTCCTGTCCTGTTTCCCCATTCCCCCATCCCACTGTGGATCGGGATGTAACTCTCAGGTACTTCTCCAGCACTATGCCTGTCCTGCCACCATGCTTCCTGCTATGATGACAATGGACTAAACTGAAACTGCAAGCAAGCCCCCAATTAAATGCTTTTTTTTTTTTTTTTTTAAAAATAAGAGTTGTCTTGGTCATGGTGTCTCTTTACATCAACAGAACAGTGATTAAGACAGGTCTATTTATTATAAAATTCTCTGTGAGCTATTAATGTTAGATTTTTGAAATATGCAACTTTAGAAAATTATAACAATGTAATTCTAAGTATGAAGTAGGACAAAGAATACATATAACAATCTCAGTTTCGTTTAAAAATATAATTTACATATATACATACCCACAGGTAGGAGGTAATAAAATGTTAACAGTAGTGAATGTCTAGCATTTCCAGTCAAAGAGGCATTACTGGATGGGTTTTATTTCATAAATTTGTTTCCTGTGTTTTGAAGTTTTCTGTAATGAACCTGTAGTACTAGGGGAAATTGTCACTTTAAGATATAGGAAAGTTAATGTTTTAAAAAATACCTCATTGCTTTCAAAGGAAACCAAGTCCACAATGTTTATACTTACTCATTTTCATCTTCATTGTCAAAAGAAAGGAGACTACTGTTTCTTATTTGTTTTTGTGAGTTCTTTCTAACTGAATTCTGCTTATTTATATCATCTTCATTTGTTTTCTTTTTTTTGGAGCTTGCTGTTAAACCTGAACACTTTTCATCTGAGGAACGCTTTACAGGTTTTCGATACATGATTCTTCCATCAGCTGGAGGTGGTTCTTCATCTGTGACAAAAAAAGAAAAGCTGAAGAAGTTTCTTCTCTATTTTGCTGTTAACAAAGAGTCATTTGGCAAGAAAATCATTCACTATACTTAAGGATGTCCTTGAATAAATTCAGTCTGCTCTATTGCTTCTGGTTATACCCTACCCAACACATGCAATCACTCAATAAAAACTCACTAAAGTGTCCCATAATATTATTAGTACCCAACTGATTACAGTGAAGACGGAGAAGGTGATGGCCTGAACTTAGGGCTTCGTATGCTAAGAAGGTGCTCTACCACTAAGCTGTGTTTCCAATTCATCATGTTGTATTTTGAAATGTGTTTGGAACCACAATATTTCTCCCTAAAACAATGTAACAGATGTTTAGGAATAATACAAGTGCACTACATAACATACTACACTTGAGGCACTAACTAATTACACAGATCTTTGTTGACTGGTTGACCTGTTTTGTTAATAGGACACTTTAAACAGTGCACTAAGGAAGGTCCATTTATTGTCTCTCACTGATGGGTACTTGAGGCACAGAGGTGATCACTTGCTAAAGGTCACACATTTGGCACCATAGTCAATGCTTGAACCAAAGGCCACATTCTTCAAACAAATCATTCTTTCAATTAAAAAAATACTACTTTATGCCCTTTAAATTGTTAAAAAAAAATCAAAAAAATTTTGGACATACCTGCTTTGGCAGCCTTTATTTCTGCTTTAATTTTCATGACTTCTTCGGCTGTTAGGTCTCCCTTTTTTAAAACCACTACTTGAGGCTGTTCATCTTCTTTGTCACTGTGATTACCATCATCATCTGGGAGCTGAGGCTGGATTTTCTACAGAAAATGTAAGTATAATGTGTAGGTTGCTATCCTTTAACCAAACACAACCACTGCCACTGTGAGCATCTCTAATTGTTAAAGTGAAATGGGTAACTATCCATGAAATGAATATAAAATGAATTAATTAACTCAAAGAGCTTAACTTCACCACAGCAGAAAACAGGTCTACCTGCCATTCACCCAGGGGCACTTGTCCAGTGAGATTCATTTCTATCTAGCCTACTCAGGGTAGTGCCAAACTACCTTGGTTCTTTGTTTCTAGTCAACATTTTTCATTTCTGTCTTGTCTGAATTTGACCAAAAAAAACAAAAAAAAAAAAAAAACCACCAAAACACCAAACCACCCCACCTCACCATCCAAGCCACCAAATTATGGAAAATAACAGGTAAAAGTTATTTTCTCCTACCTCTGCACATCTAATATCCTAACAGCTTCAGTTTAGTAGATATCAGCTACTTTTCAAAGACACAAATGATTATGTAAAAGATTTTGTACATAAACAATGCTGTACATATTGTTTAACTTATGAAATTTCTCAAACAGAAACCCTGTACTCATTGTATGCATGTAACAAGCGTATTCTGTCAGCTAAATCAGATTTGTTTAAAAGCTAGGCACCATATATATTTTAACTAGAAAAAAGTCTTTGCATAATACTTTGAAATATAGAATCACCTCATTTTTCAAATTATTGCCTAATATTTAATTTTGTGCAGTCATCTTGTTATGTGGAAAACCCTGCATGACTTGGCCCTAGCCCACTGCGATACTCTATCCCATATCACTTCCACACCCTCTAGACTCTTACGTTTGAGTACTTAACAGTCCATGACTATATCCACTCCTCTGCCTCCTTTGTCTCTCAAACTGTGTCTAGGAAGCCCCACTGCTCCACGCCAACTCTTATTCATGTAGCCTCCAAGACTAAAGAGCCTCTAGAAGTGCTTCTGAAGATAATCGCACGTCCTCTTGTGTGACGTGTGCATGGCTCCTAGGCAACAAGGACGACACTGTTCACAAACTTTATTAGACAAACTCCTTTGAGAAATACTGTTTCATCTCCCTATCCTGAGACACGCAACTTGGACAACAGCAGGGATTCTACTTCTAATCCTGGATAGTTCCCATTTGATCAAGTGGCCTCCATTTCCTTATCTGAAAAAGGGGACGACGCTGTCAATCACCTTGCTCACTTAAAGTGAGATCCGCAAGTGAGAAAGAAAGGACGGGGAAGCTGTCTTAACTAGCTACAAGGGCTAGGTCATCTTCAAGAACAGCACTCTGAGAGTAAGAACTCCCTGAGAGGGAGAGGCCAGACCTGGGGTCCGACGCCCGCCGGGCTAGGGGCTAGTCGCGAGTGAGGGACCTGTCAGTTACACCCACACCGAGGGGCCGGAACTGGCGTGTAGACCGTGGATCCGACGCGGTGCGACACCTGCTGACTCACCTTGGTCTCTACGGTGGGCCCCTCCCTGTAGCCGACTCGCTCCTTGAAGCGGGACAGGAAGGCGGGCTCGGCAGGCCGCACATACGACACCTGGTTCCGCTTGCTCATGGCGGTTCTCACTAAAAGCACTCGCCACACTCGGCAGGGTAGAGGCGCCGTCGCCCGCGCCGACTTCAGACGTTGCGTATGCTCTGACGTCACGCGAGCCCAGCCCTAGGGAGGCGTGGCACGTGGGCGGCGCCAAATTCAAATCCGCGGCCATTTTGGCGGGAGGATTCTGGCGGCCACCGTGGTCGCGAATCCAGGCGGAGGTCACCATGGCCCCGGGCTGCAAAGGTAAGTTGTGAACCTGTCTCGTGAGATCATCGCCGCTGGCAAATGCGGGTGTGAGGGGACGGCAGCCCTTAGGGTGCCCCGCTAGGGTGACGGCGGCGCACACGGTGGGAACTGCGTTCCACACAGCGCAGGCGCCCCGGTTCAGCCGCTGCACACCTGCGCGCCCTTCCCTGTGACCCGGACCTTGCTGTTTCCCTGCCAGCTTCTTCTTGTGTAGGTGTCCTGAGGGCGGACCCTTGCGCTCTCCACTTGCTGCTTGCTTCCACATTTCTGACTTTTTTGAAGGAAAGGGATTTGCGTTCCCTTTGGTGGCCTGCCCTCAGAGGAGGGAATTTTAAAGCGAATTGCAACTATCTGTTTACAGTAATTCCCACTCTTCATCCTCCAAAACTTTGTGAATTCATGAAACCAGAATTGCATCATAGTACAGAACCCTATAGATAACTATGCTTTGTAAATTTAGTATACTCAGAGATAAGCTAATAATAAAATACAGCAGTTACAGTAATATACAGTAATTTATGTGAAAGTGGTCTTTGACATAGTTTCTTAGTGTATTTGTCTTTCCTTTTGTCACATGAGATGCTACGGTGGTGTCTACCTGGTGAGAGAAATGCTATAGACAGTGTGACAGTTAGGTTCCAGAAGTCACTCGAACACAAGCGTTGTCATATACCTAGTTGATCTGATAACGAAAGGCTGAGACTGTTAGGAGAGTAGCATATATAGTGTGGATAAGACCCTGGCTAAAGGGATTTGTGTAGCAGAACATGCTACTGAGAGTAGGCTGTTTGAGGCCAGGCTTCATATTGAGATCTTGTCTCAAAAAAAGAAAAAGACTTAGGATTTGTTTAGTTCTGAATTTTCTATTTAGTGGTTTTGGACTGTGGATGATGGCTGAGGAAAAAAAAAGGAATTGCAGATTATGAGTAGACTAATATCTATTCTCAATCTGTTTTCATTCGGAAGAGATTGATTTAACCCCACACCTTCACTGTGTGTGAGTGCCACCTCTTGCTTAATCCTATAAGTTACCTTTCTTAAATTCTTTATTTTTAACTATGGTGTGTGTCAAGGTGTCCTTGGAGTGGTTAGATACCCTGGAGCTGGCATTATGAGTGGCTGTGAGCTGTTGTATATGGGTGCTGCCATTAGTTTTTTTAAGGCTGATTATAAGGTTTGAGAATGGAATGAGGAGATGCTTAAGAAGATTGTGAAATTATACATTTGAATTTTACTACAGTGTTCAGGTTTGTAGCTCTTTGTCAATTATAATTGTTTCCTGATTGGTTGTTTAATTAACCCTTTAAGTCCATTACACCATTATCTGAACAATTAGTGTGATCTTTTTCTCCTCTGCTACTTCAGTATTAAGGGGACTTAAGCATGTAAATTGGTACTTTATGGATCTTAAATGCTTTATCCTATTTTTTGTATCATCACAGTATTTATTATAATTCTTTTTAAAACCAGGCTGGTCTTAAGATTTCTGTGGAGCCAGAGATGATCTTGATCTTCTGACCTCCTGCCTCCCTCTCCCATGTGCTGGGAATAGAGCTATTCCTGTAGTCAGTAACTCCCACAGCCTCAACTAGTACTCTGATTTTTATTACTACTCACTAGTTTTATCTATTCTTGAAGCTCATCTAAATTGGACTGATACTCTTTTTTCTTATAATGACTTTTATGAAATTTTGTGCCTGTGGGCATCTATGATAGGCAGCTGCAACTAGGTCTTTTTCATTGCTCTTTGGTGTTCTTTAGGTAAGCATATTACTGTTTGTTCTGTTTTTGATGGGCTTTGTTTTTCTGTCTTGTCTTGAACTTAGGTTTCTAGGTTGAATTATCATGACTAAAGCATCAATGAATAGTCTTTAACATGTTTTAGGCAGCTACATCATGACCTCAAAGTTAAAAAAATTTTACAGTGAATGTATATAGGGGATTTCCTTGTAATGTCAGAATTTATGATAGTGGCATGATAAGACCATATACTTTCTTAACCTTGGGTCAAAAGGTAGCAAAATGAAGTGGCTGATGGTATGAAAGAGGAATTCAGTATGCCTGTGTTCAAGTCCTAGCACTTCTCACAACATCTCTTCAGGTTTCAGTTAGGAATTGTGCATAACTGCCTACTTCTCTGGAGTATGTTTGTTGAGAAGGATCTGTCTATGTAGTTCTAGCTGTCCTGGTGCTTGCTATATAAACCAGCTGGCCTCTGACTCTGAGATCCTGCTGAATCTGACTCTGGAGTGATGGGATTTAAGGTGTACGCCACTGGCTTCCTCCCTGAAATTCTTCGTTTCATTTTACCTCATTGTTCAGGTAGCTTTGCTTTTGGGGGTGGATTGGGGAGGGGTAAGAATTTTCTTTTGGGATTCTTTTAACTTACTGAAAACTTGCACACACATGCCCATTGATATCTATCTGGTCACTTAGGAGATCTCTGTGGCAATCCAGAGCTTGTTCTCTTCATGAACGTCTCCAGTTTTTTGGTTTTTGTTTTTTTTTTTTTGTCCCGGGAGTCTAGCTGCATTTACTTTCCCAAACCAAACCATTTCTCCTCAGCTCAGCCAGATAAGCAAGCTCTATTTGGATTCTCCCAGCCTGCACTGTGGCTTGTGATGCAAGAGCTCACTGCCTTTGTTTCCTTCTCTCAGGATCACTTTTCTATGCTGTCTATTGTCCAGTGTCTGAGAACTTGTTGCATATTTTTTGTCCAGTTTCCTAGTTTCTTAAAACAGGTAAGTAAATCCAGTCCTTGCTACCCCGTCATGGCTGACAGATTGAAAGGCTGTGTTCTGTTGATAAGGATAAGCCAAAACATGAACTCAGATTTCAGCTTTCATAACATGAAAGCCGTCCTTTTGTATCCTGGACTTTTCATTTTTGTACTAAATTTTGTACCAGGACTGAAGTGCTATTTCTTTCATTTTCTTTTTCTTTCTTTCTCTTTTTTTTTAAAATAGGTTTTTTGAGACAGGGTTTCTCTGTATAGTTCTGTGTAGTTTTGGTGCCTGTCCTGGAAGCTCGCTTTGTAGACCAGGCTGGCCTCGAACTCACAGAGATCCGCCTGGCTCTGCCTCCCAGTACTGGGATTAAAGGCGTGTGCCACCGCCTGGCAAAGTGCTATTTCTTTATCACCAGCATTTGAGAGGACCATGAAAGGTGGTGTAGGAGTGTGGTAGGTTGGTAGTTTTGTCTGTTTCCCGCTTCACAGGTGTTGAATTGAGGTATAAGTGGAAGTATAATCTCCAGAAATGAAGTTCTGTGATAACATTTTTGCTTTGAGTTCTTGTATGAGTAGAACTTATTGTATGGTATTTTGTTTGTGTTCTGACAAATAAAGCTTGCCTAGAGATCAGAGGGCAGAGCTAGCCACTAGTTAATCATAGAGGCCAGACAGTGGTGGCATACACCTTTAATCCCAGCACTTGGGAGGTGGAGACAAAGTTATAAATAGGGAGGGTGGAGACAGGATCTTGGCCCCATCCAATCTGAGGATCCTAAGAGGTAAGAAGTCACTAGTGGCTACTGCTCTGCTTCTCTGATCTTTCAGCTTTCACCCTGATATCTGACTGCTGGTTTTTATTAAGACTAATTAGGATCACACTTCATCTGACTTCCAATGTGGGGCTTGTACCCACAACCCTGAGATTAAGGGTCTCATGTTCTACCGACTGAGCAGACGCTCCAACTTGTTACTGTCCTAGTCTCATTCATTCAGAGATAGTTATGGATCAGGCATTCCTTTAGGTATGCTTTATAAGGTGGAAGAGTATTACATATGATAGTAACAATAATAGTTCCTTTGAATCTGAACAGAGCCAAGAATGGTGTGGGAATTTTGTCTGTGTTGTGATCTGATGTTCAATGGAGTCAGGCCTTGGTTCGAGAGGTGGGGTTCACATTCAGCTGGTCGGAATGGATCGTAGGTATCTCTAGGATCTAGAACAATTCTGTCCTATAGCTCCAGTCATTCTTTCTTAGCATGGGATCATGGGATCATGGTTATAGTGGCACATTTGCAATGGGGGAGAGAGCTCAGATTTGGACACATTACCTGCCTAACATCCAAGTGGAGATTATCAAATAGATAGGTTTAATACCAGAATTTTAGAGGCAGAGAGGGGTGAATTATTGTGAGTTTGTGGTCAGCCGGAGCTAGTGAGTTCTTGTCTCTAATTAATTAATTAATTTGGAAATCATCAATATATACCTAACATTTAAACTCATGAGACTGAAAATGGTCACCGATATGGGCTGGGATTGAATGGGGAGGAGAACTGAGGCCAGGATTTGGATGTAGATATAAGGGATCTGAGAAAGTTGTGTATCAATAACTGTGGAAAAGATTTCCATAATAAATTGTTTTCCTTTGTTGATCCCCAGCCTTGCACTTAGTATATAATGCAGCTATACTTACCTTTAATGGTCTTGTTCTGTGGAGTGGCACAGAACAGAAAGGTGAAACAGGTGGTACAGACATGCCCAGTTCCCAGAAGACATGCAGAGAAGTTCTTTAGATACGCTGCAAGAAGACAGCACGTCAGTTCCCTAGACCAGTTTCTGAGAGACGACCAAGGCAGAGAGAAGGCAGAGGTTTTATAGTAGTGAGGGGCATGCTACTTAGTCCTGTGAGCCACTTGTGTAGGGTCCAGGTTGGACAGATAGGCAAGCATCTCGCTGTCCTATTAACTAGGAAATTTTACAACGTAAATCATTTTTATTGGGACTGGCCATTTGTTCAGGAGTCATGAGCTGGCTCCAGATGTCTGTGTAAGATATGATAAGTTACTAAGGCCAGGCTCCAAGGAATTGAGGCCTAATTGCTGAGGTGAGAGTTTTGCTTTTATTTTTGTCCTTTTATCCTTACAGATCTCTTATCTTCTTTTTCTAGCTGAGTTACGAAATGTGACAAATTCTCATTCTTCCCAGTCAAGGTAAGAAAAGGTCTTGCTGATGAGAAAAATTAAGGATATTATGTTTTTAAGATAACTGTTTAGTATGGTCAGAGATGCTTATTTCAAAATTTAGCTTGTGTTCAACTAGCTGGAAGTATAAGAAAAATGCATACTTTCCATACTGTCCCAATTCCCAGTGAAAATCTGGAGTGAGTGGCATGATAATTTCTTGGGAAGACTCATTAGTACTAGTAAGAGAGAAATAACAGAAAAGCAACACTGAGCTCCTTGAAATAACTGCCTTTGATTTTATTTGCAGTAAAGGTTTGTGAAAGTATCTGCTGGGAAATAAATCTTTAAAGGGTGTGAGTTATGTGAAAATTTAAAAGGAGTAAATTTCAGTGGAGTAGGCCTAGGACTTAGACTCATTATAGAAATGCTACAGGCAATTTGAGATTAGTTTATTTTGTAGTTTCCTTTCCCCAGTAAACTTACCTATTACTTTTTGTTTTGGTCTTAGTAATGAAGGTGATGCCATCAAAGTTTTTGTGAGAATTCGTCCTGTGGAGGGCACTAGATCAGCGGATGGAGAGCACACCTTGTGTTTATCGGTACTTTCCCAGACTACTCTCCGGCTCCACTCCAACCCAGACCCCAAGACCTTTGTATTTGATTATGTTGCAGGCATGGACACCACTCAGGTAGTGATCACTGGAAACTTACCCTTTCATTTGGAATATGTGGGGCTTTATTTGTTGGGATTCAATTTCTGATCACTTTTTAGTTGGACAGATTTCAGATAAGAAAGCTAAAACTTCCATAAATATTTTAGATCTAATTTTATTAGGCAGTTGTCTTCTTTGTTCATCAAACTATGTTCCAGAATCAAACAAACCTGCTTTCTGTTTCTTTTTATACATACTGATGAAATAAATGACAATTTCAGAGCCATTTAAACAATCACTAAATATAGTTGACTTTCTAGTTCAAGGATTTAAAGTGACCGTGAGCCAGTTAAGATGGCTCAGTGGGTAAAATCACCTGCCTCAAAGGTCTCACTAGCTGAGTTCAAACCCCAGAACCCACATAAAGATTGGAGGAGAGAACTTACTCCACAGAGTTGTCCTCTGACCTCTTCGTCTGTGCCTGCCCCCCCCCCCCCCCCCCATGCACAGGTTTTAAAAAGATACTGTTATGTCAGTAACTGCTTTTCTTACGGTTTTGTTTTGGTTTTTGGTTTTTTTGAGACAGGATTTCTCCATGTGGTTTTGGTGCCTGTCCTGAATCTCGCTCTTTAGACCAGGCTGGCCTCGAACTCACAGAGATCCACCTGTCTCTGCCTCCCAAGTGCTGGAGTTAAAGTCGTGTGCCACTACTGCCCTTTGATAATTGCTTTTATTTTATTTTATTATTTTTGTTTGTTTGTTTGTTTTTGAGACAGTGTTTCTCTGCGTAGTTTTGGTGCCTGTCCGGGATCTCACTCTGTAGACCAGGCTAGCCTCGAACTCACAGAGATCCACCTGACTCTGCCTCCCGAGTACTGGGATTAAAGTCGTGCACCGTCACCACCACCCGGCTCTGCTTTTATTTTTTATTTTTATTTGTTTTTAAATAATTTATTTATCTTTATTTTGTGTACATTGGTGTTTTGCCTGCAGATCCGTCTGTATGAGGGCATTAGATCTCCTGGAATAGGAGTACAGACAAGTTGTGAGCTGCTGGGAATTGAACCCAGGTCCTCTGGAAGAGCAGCCAGTGCTCTTAACCACTAAGCTATTATCTCCAGCCCTGATGACTGCTTTTATAATTAAATCCAATTTAGTTAAAAATCTAATGCCACTGTCTAGCAAAACCTCCTACAGTGATGGAAATATTTAATATTTGACCTGCTACAGTAACCTCTGGCCATGTGGTGAATTAACTTTAATTAAAACTAAATAAAATTTAAAATTTGATTCCTTGGGTACATTAGCCATACATGCCTCTTAAACATTTGAAATTTGGCTTATATATTGGATGATCCAAGTTAGTCACATGTAGCTAATGGTTACTGTATCAGACATCACAGTCTTTATTTTTTCCTTTGAGATGGGGTCTTGTGTATCCCAGGCTAGTCTGAAGCACACTGTGTAGCAGAGATGACCTTAGACTTCAGATCTGCTTGCCTCCAATTCCTGAGTGCTGAGATTACAGGCATGTACCATGATGCCTGGTGATGTGCTGGGGATTGAATCTAGGGTTTGTGCATACTAGGCAAGCACTCTGCTCAATGAATGGAATCCCAGCCCCTCACAGGTCTTTATTGTACACTTGATGTTTGTTTGTTTTGTAAAATATTTAGATCTAAAAAAAAAAAAAAATATTTAGATCTTTTTTCTTTTCAGCTAGGGAATTGCTACTCAATGGAAATATAAAATGAGCTACACTTATAATTTAAAATATCTTAGTAGACACAGTGGGAAGAAAAAAAGAAACAGGTAAAATTGATTATTAATCATGTATATTATTTAACTCAATGTGTCCAGAATACCACTTCAATATGTAAATAATGTAACTATTATTAAGATATTTCCCAACCAGGCAGTGGTGGCACATGCCTTTAATTTCAGCACTTGGGAGGCAGAGGCAGGCTGTGAGTTCGAGGCCAGCCTGGACTACAGAGTGAGTTCCAAGACAAACCAAAAAAAAAAAAAGTATTTCCCATTAGAAGAAAATCTCCTATATATTTTACACCTACACAGCATCTCTATTTGGACTAATAACCTACATCAGGCTTTCAGCAGCCACATGTAGCTTATGGACAGTGTAGGTTTAGGAATTCTTACATTGTTGATAAACTGCACCTACCTATAAGTAAAAATAAAATAAAAATACTTTTAGAACAAACTAGTGACAAAATAAGTGAAGAAAATATAGAACTGTGAATTTTGTGATAACAGAATAATATTTATATGTAATATAAAAAATTTATATGCATGCATTTAAATGTCTATCTTATATGTACTGAGTGTTTTGCCTGCATGTATGTACGTATGTATGTGTCATGTGTATGCCTGGTGTCCTTAGAGGTCAGAAGAGGGTGTCAGATGTCCTGGAATTGTAGTTTTGGATAGTTGTAAACCATCATGTGCATTCTGGGAATCAAACACAGGTCCTATACAATGAGTGCTCTTAATCACTGAACCAATTCTCCAGCCCCATATGCATTTAAAAAATCATTTTATATGTATGGGTATTTTACCTGCATATATGTCTGTGTACCACATGTGTGCCCAGTGCCTTCTGAGACTAGAGGAAGGTGTCAGATCTCTTAGAACAAGAGTTACTACGGTTATGAGTTCAACATGTGGGTGCTGAGAATCAAACCAAGGTTCTCTGGAAGAGCAACCAGTAGTACTCCTAACTACTGAGCTATGTCTCCGGTCACCTGCATGCTTTTTTTTTTCTTTTCCCCATGAGACAGGGTCTTAACTTTGTAACTCTGTCTGTTCTGGAATTCACTATGTAGTCAGGCTGGCCTTGAACTCCTGCCTACCTCTGCCTCCCAAGTGCTGGGATCAAAGGTGTTCACTACTGTGCCCAGCTTGCTTTTTTTTTTAAGACAATTTTTTTTTACTAAAAAAATTGAAATGGTTGGGAGATGGTGGAATCACTAAAGTACTAAGGACCCAAGTTTGATCCCCAGATCCCATGTGTAAGCAAAGCCAGGTTTGGTGGCCTACACTGTAATCCCAGTATTGGGAAGGCAAAAATATGGATCACTGAGACTCACTGGTCAGCCTACCTGCTTGATTTTGTCACAAAATTAAATCAAATAAAAAACTACAGTGGATAGCACCCGAGGAACAACAGCCACAATGTCATTTGCACCCCCTACACATGCACACACACATATCTGTACATATATACATACATACTTATATGTGTGTGTGTGTGTGTGTATATATTATAATATATATTCCAAAGAATTGAAATACACTTGTAAGCAATATCAACACTTTAAAAAGTAATAAAACTGTGTTATATTATAGAAATTGCTAAGGTTAAAACAATAAAGTTGACATTGTATTAGGTTTCTCAGATGGTGCCAAGTGGTCAGGTTTTTTTATGTTTCCCTGGCCATGTTGCTCCAAAGCAATATATACACTTTAAACTTATGACTGTATTGGAGATTAATGGACCTAACGATATTTGTAGTTCTACCTTTTATCGTCTTTTATGGTTCAGCCATTTGTCTTAAGTAGATGCAACCTTCAAGTAATCATAGGTCTTAAAGTCTAAGGACTCATTTTTTATTATATTAGGAGATGTAGGTTAGAAGTATTTTTATTTAACATGTTTGGTGCTTATATCTTAGGAGTCTGTATTCTCGACGGTGGCTAAAAGCATTGTGGAGTCTTGCATGAGCGGTTATAATGGGACCATCTTTGCATAGTAAGTTGTTGTCTGTCTACATATAAAGGTATGATAGTGCTTGTATTGGTTCCTACTTATTGCTGTGTTAATAAGTCACCCCAAACTTAGCGGCATAAAATAACAGATTTGTTTTACAGTTCTCTTAAGTCAGAAGTTCAACATGGATCTTACAGGGCTAAGATTAAGCTGTTACTGGAGCTTCATTCTTCTGGAAGCTGTACATGAAAATATTTTCTCCTTTCCTAGCTTAGAGACCTTACTTGGCTCAGAGCCCCCTCTTTCTGTTTCACACTAGCAGTGCAGTGACTCTTTCTGCTTTTCACTCCTGACAAAGGTTTTTGGATTTTTAGAGACACCTGTTATAAGTCACCCTTACCTGGGTAATCAAGGTGAGTGGATTGAGCTCCACCTCTTGGAGAGGAGAATGATATTTGGAATTTTTCTGAAAGAAAGGTTTGTCTGTTTCTCCATTTGTTTATTCATCTGTTTATATGAGATATAGTCATGTCTATTTCTGTTATACTTTGGGTTGTAAGCTAGTGCTATAGTCTTTCTGTTGCTCATCTTGTTCCATCCTTGGTCATGGGCGCTCTTTGAAGTTTCTGTGCCCCCTTGACGTATTCTGCCCGTGGGTTTTTGAGCACTTCCTTGCTGTATCATGCTACATGACTTTCCAAGCTCTTACATTTTTCCTAAACTAGTTCTAAAATAAAATCCTGGTTCCTTTTTTTGAAAATAGTAATGAGAAACCAAGATTTGGCCCCTTAGATGAGTTCATTACTACTGGAGAGTGACTGTTTTGAGGCTTCCTCAGCAGACAGGCTAGGAAACATATGTGCATGCCCTGTGTCTGCAGAGATCTGGAGTTGTTTCTGTGTCATCTATTCATGTAGCTGTCATGCTAAGCTGAGCAGCTCTGGCTTACCTAGAACTTGACATATTATAAACCCTGTGGTTACTGGAGCCAGACGTCAGTATAAACTCATGTTTAGCCTTTCTTTCCTGTTTACTACCCTTGCTGTTGGTGATAAATCTTTCACTATCTATCATCCTTTTATTAACTTATTCAACCTTAGGATACATGTAAAGCAGTTTCAGAATTAATGTGTATCACTGTGAGGAAAATATTAACTGTAAAGTATTTATATACAGTTCCCTTTTCATGAGAACTAGTCTGCAGGGAAAAGGCTTTCAGATCATTCCAGCTTGGGTCTCTGGGACCTGTTCTAAAATGTATGGTGTCTTTAGCAATAGGGACTTAACTTCCATCTCTTGGAGGGTAACAACAATAGGCTCTATGTTCTAGGAGTCTCTTGGACAGCCCTGCCCAATATATAAGAGGGCTTCTCATGTTTGGTATTGGGATTTTGTTAGGTGGTCTTTGACCCAGATGAGAAAAATTTATTTTATATATATATAGGCGTTACATGTATTTTATTCTTTTTTAAAGTAAATAATTAATAGTGTGATTCCTTATGGCTTTTTCAGACATTCTTATTGTTATTTTATTTTCTTCCTTCCTTCTATATTTACCTCCATCCTGTTCTCCAAAGAGCCTGCCCCTTCCCATTTCTTGGATCAGACTATTGTACCCTGCTGTTCTCCTCTCTCTTGCTCCCCAACCCCTCTATCCTGGCAATGGTCCTGTTTTATTTTCTTGGTTTCTGCATACCGTGTACTCACATCTGAAGATTTGGAGCGGGGAGACTTTAAATGTTCCCTTTTAAGACCTGATGTAGAAAGCCAGTCCATCATGTCTTCCCATAGCAGCAAGAATTTTCTCCATAGATTATTTTGAATGGTGAAATTCAAAATGACTTTGAAATAGCCACAGTTGCCACAGATTGCATATCTTCAGAACTGTTTTCGTTGGCAACTCTGTAGGCTGGCTTGCTTGCTTATTTATGTGCTTGCTTATTTATTTATTTATTTATTTATTTATTTATTTATTTATTTATTTATTTATTTATTTATTTATTTATAGGAAGGGTCTCTCTGAGCAGTTCTGGCTTTCCTGAACTTGACATATAGACCTTGAACTCACAGAACTCTGCTTGCCTCTGCCTCCTGAGTGCTGGGATTAAAGGCGTGCACTACTATGTCCAGCTTTATAGGAATATTTTAGGTGCATTTATTAATATATTAATTCAAATTCTTTTTTATGTTTGTGGGTAGAAGTTGAAGATAAACAAGTGATTTATTGGTTGGGTGATCATACAGATCTCAGAGATCTACCTGCCTCTGCCTCATGCTGGGATTAAAGGCATTTCCACCATGTACAGCCTTAAGCGTATTTTAAAATAAAGTCATTTAAATATCTTTTCAAGGTAGAGAACTTCAAAATTACTACATTATTTACCAAAAATTAGAAACAAATCTTCTTGATTCTGGTTGAATAAATTATGCCTGAAGATTCTGTATCCATAAAATACTGTTATAGCTATTTATAAAAAATGAGAGAGGCTTGCTGGGCCGGTGATGGCCTTTAATCCCAGCACTCGGGAGGCAGAGGCAGGCAGATCTCTGTGAGTTCGAGGCCAGCCTGGGCTACAGAATGAGTTCCAGGACAGGCTCCAAAGCTACACAGAGAAACCCTGTCTCAAAAAACCAAAAAAAAAAAAAAAAAAAAAAAAAAAAATGAGATAGGCATCTGTTTACTGACTGAGATATCTGAGGTACAATTAATTAAAGGAAAAGAAGATTGCAGAGCAGTCTGGGGAGGATCATCCCATTACATCTTAGTAAACCATACTAAATTAGAAGGTTAGTCTGAATTTTATGTGTGAAAATAACACATAAAATTTTCTTTTTTTCAGTGGGCAGACTGGCTCAGGGAAGACATTTACTATGATGGGTAAGTCAAGACCAGTGTTTGCTGGCTAACTGCACTTTCTGTGGTGACCACTTGGAACATGTTTTAGGGGAAGGCATTATTTTTTGTATGATGTTACTTTCATAAAAATAGGGATGTTTCCCATGTTTCTACCAGGTTGTGAATTCCTGGATAGTCTATCTGTTAATCCTGATTATAGCTATATTCCTCAGCTCAGTGCTTGGCATAGACTAGGTGTAGATTGGGTGCTAGACACAATTTTGTGTGTGTGTGTTCACAAATATATATAGTCATATAACATATGTGTGCATGTGTATATGTCTGCATAAATACTACCAAGGTCCAGATTCCTAGTTTATGACTCTTACCCTATCCCCTAAAGCAGTTGATACTAAGATTGTTATCCTCATTATGTTTGCTTGCTTTGGAATGTCTACAAATAAAATTTTATGGAAAAATAATGTAAGATCACTCATGTTTCTAATATTATTTTTCTACCTATTATGCATATCTGTTCCCCTCCTTTCTTTCTCTTTTTCTTTTTCTTTTTGAAACGGTCTACTGTATAGCCCTAGCTGTACTGGAACTTGCTACATAGAACAGGCGTTGCCTAGCTCCTTCTTTCTTTCCTTTCCGTGTGAGTCCCTCCCCAGGGAGCTCCCTCACCACCACCAAAAAAACAAACAAACCAGGATCTCATGTAGACTAGGCTGATCTCAGACTCACCATGTAGCCACAGGTGAAGTTGAACTTCGTCCTCCTATCTCCAGCTCCCAACTGCTGGGATTGCAGGTGTGCCCTCCACAGTTTACAAGGACCATTCACAAACTTCTCAGTGCATGCTACAAGCCTATACAAGACACTTGTAAGGTTTTCATTACTTCCCTGTATCCCAGCCGTCTGTTAGTTCCTTTGGTCTCTAGAGCATACTTAACTAATATTTATAGTACCTTCTATATCATTTTGTCTGTTTTCTGAGGGTGGGTTGCTGTGTACCCCAGGCTGACTGTGAACTTGCAGCAGCATGCTTGCTGTGGTCTCTTTGTCCTGGGGTCGCCAATGCGCACACTACTCTCAGCTACACTTCTTTTCTGTTCCTGTTTGTAACAGGGTCTCACAATGTTGCCCTCGCTATCCTTGAACTCCGTGCAGATCAGGCTGGCATCAAACAAGCAGTGAGCCAGTGTGCTTCCTGAGTGCTGGGATTAAAGGTGTTAAGGTGTTTGCTACCACACTACCATCACCCCCCCCCACCCTCTCCAAAAAAAAAAAAAAAGAAGAAGAAGAAGAAAGAAAATCAAACAAGCAAAAGACCAATAAGACAAAAAATGCCCAAACAAAAAGAGTCCTCAACAAAAAATCCCCATGAGGTTCATTTTATGTTAGCCAACTACTCCTGGGCATAGGGCCTGCCCTGGAGTGTGGTGAGTATACTTGAAGCTTGTGCTGGATCCTGTAGGTTTAGGCTCAGTCCCCAAGGCAGACTGCCTTCCCCACTGCAGGTGCTAATTATAAACCTTGCTTTGTGGCCCATGTTGCATTAAAGGCGTGTGTGCTTCCAAGTACTGGGATTAAAGGCCTGTGCCACCACTGCCTGGCTCTGTTTCCGGTGTGGCCTTGAACTCACAGAGATCCAGACGATCTCTGCCTCCCAGTGATAGGATTAAGGTGTGTGCCACCACTGTCTGGCCTCTACTCTAATCTAGTGGATTGCTCTGTCCTCTGATCCTCAGGCCAGTTTATTAGGCTACACAATACATCACCACAAGGTTCCTTCCTCCAAGATGACCCTAGCTTATGTCAAGTTGACATAAAGTCTAGCCATGACAAAGAGGAAGCAGTCTTAACTGCTTAACCGTTTCTCCAGCCCTCTGGATTTTTTTTTTGGGGGGGGGGGGGGCGCTGAAATTTGTTTTGGGAATGGCTGTAAAGCATTGACTGGTAATCAACTTTACCTTCAGTGTCTCTTCCCCTCTTCCTTGAGGTTGGGAGGTGAGACATTTGATCATGTGGTTTTGCTAGCCTCCAATCCCTCATCCTGTCGTTATTTAAGGACTTTCTAAACATGACTTCATTAGCATCATGCAATTTTGAGTGGGCTTGTTGTAAATTGTCTTTCTCCTTCATTGCTCTGATCTGTTGTGTAGCTGCTTCAGGAATCAGTGACAGAAGCAAAAATTCTTGAGGAAAGGGTATTCTTATCACTCTGCTCACTTAGGGAATAACAAGGGGTACAGAACTTGTCAGCTAGGAACTGTAGAGGTCCCTCAGTATATAAATACCATATTGCAAGCTGAAAGGAGTACTCCTTGCAACTCTTACACATCTGTCCTTCCCCAGTTGTAACAAAATAGAAACACCACTCTGCGTTTCTGTCTGCTAGGAATCTGTGGAGATGTCATTACTGTGTCCTTACTGGTGTGGTTTTTACTGCCCAATTAAAAAAAATGATAGCAAATCCTAATTTTTAGTTCTCTGTGTGCTTGATGTAAACTGTGATTTATTTTCAGACTTTCAATTCTTTCAACAACTCTCTGGTTATTGACATTAATACCCCCATTTTGTAGTTGAAAATTCTGAATCTTAGAACACACACAGTGTGGGTCCATGACTTAGGGAACAGATCAGTTTGTGTCTTAGTTACTTTTGTCTTTCTGTGAAGAGACATCATGACCAAGGCAACTTATAAAATAAAGAGTTGCTGGGCGGTGGTGGCGCACACCTTTAATCCCAGCACTCAGAAGGCAGAGGCAGGCGGATCTTTTTGAGTTTGAGGCCAGCCTGGTCTACAGAGTAAGATCCAGGAAAGGCGCAAAGCTACACAGAGAAACCCTGCCTTGAAAAACCAAAAAAAAAAAATTTAAAGAAAGAAAGAAAGAATTAATCGGGGCTTACAGTTTTAGAGGGTTTTGACTCTTATGGCAGGAGAACATGGCAGCAGGTAGACAGGTTTGTCGCTGGAGCAGTAGCTGAGACCTTACATCTAATCCACAAGCAGGAAGCCTGGAGAGTTAGTTATTTGAGAATGGTATGGGCTTTTGAAACCTCAAAGCCCATTACCAGTGACACACCTCCTTCAAAAAGTCCACACCTCCTAATTCTTTTCAAACAGTTCCACTAACTGCAGGCCAAGCATTCAAATATAGGAGCCTAGAGGGGACCACTCTTATTCAAACCATCACAGTCTGTGAAAACAAAGGTCACATGCACAAATAGAGTACAATCATGTCAGTACCTGACAGTTGGAAGATGTTAAGCTTAGCACAGGAATAGATCACATCTGTGTTTAGAATTGGTTGGCGGCTACTGTGGGCCTTCCCTTCAGTCTCACTAATGGACAGTTTTATTACTTACTCTTTCACAGGTGTAAATATTACTTGCTTGAAACAACTAGGAAATTAATTATACTGTACATCATTCTATTTCTGTATAAACTGCCTTTTGCTATTGCTATTTTAAAGGATTTTCAGAATAAAAGGTTTTTGTTTATTCTTTTTTTCTCAGGACCATCAGACTCTGATAATTTTTCTCATAATCTGAGAGGAGTAATTCCACGAAGTTTTGAATATTTGTTTTCCTTAATTGATCGTGAAAAAGAAAAGGTAAAGCTTATGTAAAAATAAAATGTAAGGAGGCTGGAGAGATGGCTCAGCCATAAAGAACCACTGACTCTTCTTCCAGAGGACCTACATTCAATTCCCAGCACCCACATGGCAACTCACAACGGTCTGTAACCCTAGGGGATCTGATGCCTTCTTCTAGCCTCTGTGGGCACCAGACATTCACATGACACACATGTAGGCAAAACACCATACCAATAAATTAAAAAAAAATTTTTTAATGGAAAAATAAAATACTGATAGAGTGCTTGCCTAGAATGCAATAGGCCCTGGGTTTGATCCCCAGCACTAAAAAATCTGAGTATGTTGGTATACACCTGTAATCCCATCATGCTGGAGGTAGAAGCAAGAAGATCAGAACTTCAAGGTCGTCAGAAGTTCAAAGCCATCCTAATCTATATAGAGTGTTCAAGGCTAGCCTGATTGCTAGCATACACAAAAGAACTGGTTGTTTCTGGTACTCTCAGAACTTTTTATGAGAGAAAAGTGTATAGAAAATTTCAACCAAGGAAAATAAAGTACAATGATTTCAATGAGAAATGTCCCCCCATAGTCTCAGGCATTTAAATTCTTGGCTCCCACTTGGTTGCAGTTTTTGGGGAGTCTTGGGAAGTATTGCCTTGTTGGAAGGAGTATATCATTGGAAGTGGGCTTTGGAGAAAGTCTCAAAACCATTTCAAGTTATCTCTCTGCTTCCTGGTTGTGTTTTGATATTTGAGCCTTCAGCCTCTGGTCTCAGCTCCCAGTTGTTCCTACCTTTCTTTCTGCCATCATGGATTCTATCCCAGCGGAAGCCCTTCCTTCTATAAGTTGTTTTGGCTGTGGTATTTTATCACAGCAATAGTAAAGTAAATAATACATTGAGATACAATAAAAGTCCCACCATCTAGCTGTACCCAGGCTTAAAGGTGTGCATATGTCCTCATGATGTACATCAGCGATGAACCCAGCCTTGTTTGTTGGCTGTACTTGCTTGCATCTCACTGTCATCTTGCTCTTTGTGGATTAAGACTCCATCATCTTGAGAACACTATCTTTTCCCTCTCACTGGTTCCTTGGTTGGGCCATTCTCATGATTGCACTTATTTAGCTTGGTAGATTCCAGAGTTGAGAATCCTTGGTATTATGTACTTGATAAACTTGTATACCAAGGAAATTGGTGAGTAGTATTGGCTTACTATTTACTCCGTTGCAGAAATATACCCAAAATTGCAGTTAGACATACAAATTGCATGACAGTAAAATAATTAACCTTTAACACCATGTGTTTCTGTGGTTACATTTTTTTAAAATTATTTATTTTTATGAATATCAGATGTTTTGTTGGCATGTATGTCTGTACCACAGGCATGCCTGGTGCTAAAGACCAGAAGAGCATGCTGGATCCCCTGGGACTGGAGTTAGAGATGATTGTGAGCCTCCATGTGTGTGCTGAGAATCTATTGAGGGTCCTCTGGAAAAGTAGTCAAATGCTCTTAACCACTGAGCTATCTGTCCAGCACCTAGTTGGTTTTTGTTCTGTTTTGTTTTTTTAAAACAATTTTTAAGATTTTATTTTTATTTTAAGTGTATGGGTGTTTTACCTGCATATAAGTGCACTATAGGTGTACAGTGCTTGTAGAGGCCAGAAGAAGGCAACAGATATAGAATTGATGTGTAATCTATATGTGTGCTAAAAACCAAGCCCAAGTCTTTTATAAGATCTGCAAGTGCTTTTAACCACTGAGCCATATCTCCAGCCCCAAATTTTTTTTATTACGAATTAGTTTCAGTCTTATAAAGCACATGAATCTTGCTTCAAGTAAAACTTTATCTAGTGCCGATGATATGGTTCAGTGGGTAAAGACACTTGCCACCAAGCCTGATGTCTTGAGTTTGGTCCCTGGGATCCAGATGGTAGAAGGAGAGAGCTGACTCCCACAAGTTATCTTCATCTACATGTACATGCCATGCATGAGAGTGCCTGTACATACAAACAACAAATGTTAAAACTATGAGGAAGTATGTTCTGTATTTCAAATGTGTTGCTCTGATTGGTCAGTAAATAAAACACTGATTGGCCAGTGGCTAGGCAGGAAGTATAGGCGGGACAAGGAGGAGAATAAAGCTGGGAAGTGGAAGGCTGAGTCAGAGACACTGCCAGCCACCCCAATGACAAACAGCTTGTGAAGATGCCAGTAAGCCACGAGCCATGTGGCAAGGTATAGATTTATAGAAATGGATTAATTTAAGCTGTAAGAACAGTTACCAAGAAGCCTGGCATGGCCATACAGTTTGTAACCAATATAAGTCTCTGTGTTTACTTGGTCAGGTCTGAGCAGCTGTGGGACTGGCAGGTGAGAGAGATTTGTCCTGACTGTGGGCCAGGCGGGAAAACTCTAGCTACAGAAGTACAATATGGAAGACAGTGGAAATCCATTTGAATTGCTCAATTCCCATCCACCAGCAGGCTCCATGGTACCTCTCCAAACTGGACTTCTGGGACTGCCATGATGATATTTAAAAGTTAAATAATGTAGCCTGGCAATGGTGGCTCACACCTTTAATCCCAACACTCAGGAGGCAGAGGCAGGCAGATCTCTGTGAGTTCGAGACCAGTGTGGTCTACAGAGTGAGTTCTAGGACAGCCAGGACTGTTACACAGAGAAACCCTGTCTCAAAAAACCAGAAAGAAAAAAAAAGTTAAATAATGTTTTGAAATTAGTTTTCCAGATTATTTTCACTGATGTTTCAATGTTTTACATGATATTAAAGGTTAATAGGGAAACATACCTGAAATAGTTCATAGAAACTGAGGATAAATGTATAAACTGTTAATTGGAGGTTTTCTTTTACAGGCTGGAGCTGGGAAGACTTTCCTGTGTAAGTGCTCCTTTATTGAGGTCTACAATGAACAAATCTATGACCTGCTGGACTCAGCATCTGTCGGACTATACTTAAGGGAGCACATAAAGAAGGGAGTCTTTGTGGTTGGTGCAGTGGAGCAGGTGGTGACCTCAGCTGCTGAAGCCTATCAGGTACCCTGCCGTGAGGATGTGTTTGATGTTTGGGCAATAAACATACCTCAAGGAATCAAGAATTGAATTTCATAAAGGCGTAGCACAAACTCTTTTGAGAAGTAAAGTAAAAAGAATGTAGCACTATTTTCTAGATTTCTCCCGCTTTGGGCTGGCCATGGAGGTTACATACCTGTACTCCTAGCACTTGGGAGGCAGAGAGAGGCAGGAAAAATTGAGTTTGAGGCTATCCTTGGCTGCATGGTAAGACCCTATCTCAAAAGGGGGGAGGGGGCCTTTGGGCTGCTTGATTTTACAATGCTTGTGGCATTTATTCTAATAGCACAATAATTCATCAGTATCTATTGCTCTGGGAGCTCCCTGTGCAAGGCTTCCTAGGAGCACTGGTCTGTTTTTGCTTTACTATTGTGAGGCGGCATACAAGCGTAGTGAAGGAACTTCTGAAAACATCCTTCTCATTTTTTAAGGAGCCTGATGTGGTCAGTTGATTTCAAATAAGGGTACTGTAATGGTTTCTTTTTTTTTTTTTCAAGAGTTAAGTATTCAAGCAAAGGTGCTTTTGTTGCTTTTGGATGTTGGCCTATGTTTATGAGATTTTTTTTTTCTTTTTTTGGAGACAGGGTTTCTCTGTGTAACAGCCCTCTGTAGGAACTCAGAGATCTGCCTGCCTTTGCTTTCTAAGTGCTAGGATTAAATGCAAGCAAGCTGTCTTTTCGAGACAGGGTTTCTCTGTGTAGTTTTGGTGCCTGTCTTGGATCTCACTCTGTAGACAGGCTGGCCTCTAACTCTCAGAGATCTACCTGGTTCTGCCTCCCAATTGCTGGGATTAAAGTCGTGTGCCACCACCGCCTGGTGAAAGCTATTTTTTTTTAAAGCTATGCAAATACATGGCTGACCTAACATTAAATATATTTATTTAATACTATGAGGAGGGAGCATGAAGTACTGTTGAAGAACTATAAAAGCTACACATAATTTCAGTTTTATGAGGTTATAGGTCAGTGGTAAAGAGGTTGTCTAGTATTCAAAGGGTCCTCTGTTCAGTCTATGACACTGACAAATAATTTCGGTTTTATACTGTGTTTTGTTAATAGTGTTTTTAAGATTTGTTTATTTATTATGCATACAGTGCTCTGCCTGCATGTATCCTTGCAGGCTAGAAGAGGGCACCAGATCTCATTACAGATGGTTGTGAGCCACCATGTGGTTGCTGGGAATTGAACTCTGGACCTTTGGAAGAGCAGCCAGTGCTCTTAACCTCTGAGCCATCTCTCCAGCCCCATAATAGTGTTTTAATAGCTAGCATTTATTGCATTTTATGGCAAGTACTGTGGTGATTTTTATATATGTAGTTATACACACACACACACACACACACACACACACACACACACTCACACACACATATATAGTTCTATTTAATTTTCACTGTAGCCTTTGAAGTAACTTTACACCTTACACATTGTGACTATTCTCCAGGTTGTGTTTCTCAGGTCATTAGCATCACCTAAAGGCCTGTCAGGACTCTGAACTTGAGCCACATGTGGAAGTTCACTCTTTTAATCCCTGCACTAAGAGGCAGAGGCAGATGAATCTCTGAGTTTGAAGCCAGACTAGTCTAGTTCCAGAACAGTCAGGGTTACACAGTAACCTTGTCACAAGCCACGACTTCTCCCCAAAAGAAAACAACTTTGCCTAAGGTTTGACATCCTTGTAAAGTAATGCCTCATCTCAGTCCTCACTTGATGTTGAATCACAATTTAAATTCTAATAACATCCAAAGGTGGAAATATGTATATTGAACTTAGATATTCTACCCTGTGAAGTTAGTATCTACGTGCTGTTTTTTTGTTTTGTTTTGTTTTTGAGACAGTGTTTCTGCATGGCTCTGGCTGCCCTGGAACTCGGTTTGTAAATCAGGCTGGCCTTGAACTCACAAAGATTTGACTGCCTCTGCCTCCCAGTGCTGGGAGTACATTACTGTGCCTTGCTCTCCATGCTCATTTTTGAATACAGAAGCAGGAACTTGTTTTAGAGCTATATCTTATAAATAGTAGAGTCGGGTTTGAACTTGCCTAACTAAGAGTCTGTGGTCTGAACATTGATATATTTTCTTGTCAGAATGGAAAGAAAAAAAAAACCTACTTTGTAGGGGAGAAAGCTGCTAAAATTTTAGATTAAAGATAACTCAAAATATTCCTTTTTGGTTTTGAATTTTTATTATCTAAGCTAAAGAAAAGGATGCATATCTGTAGTCACAGTACTTGGGAAGTGGAAGCAGAAGGATCAAAGCTAGCCTGAAGTACTAGTGAGTTCCAGGCCAGCCTGGGACCCCCTGCCTCTTTCTGTGACATGAAGAGGGAAAGAAAATAACCATTGATGGGCAGTAAACCTTCTCACCATTCTTTATAGCTCTCCTGCTGATTTTGGTGTCTAAATATATACTACTTAGAGCTTGTGTCACTATAAATTTTCACAAAGCTAGATAACAGTGCAAAGGCTGTGAGTGTTCCTACCCCTGTTCCAATGGGAAATTACTGTGTTGTGAAGGTGGAAAATTACCGGTGTTATTATTTTTTATATTACAATGAGAGATTATTAAGTGCTTATTTGTGTTTTGAGTTTGTCTTAAGTGTACCTGTTGTGGCTTCTTATAATATAGTTTCCTTTTTCCCTAGGTCTTATCTAGAGGATGGAGGAACAGGCGTGTAGCATCCACATCTATGAACAGAGAATCCTCTAGGTCTCATGCAGTCTTTACAATCACAATAGAATCAATGGAGAAAAGCAGTGAAACTGTGAACATTCGGACCTCCCTACTCAACCTGGTAGATTTAGCAGGATCTGAGAGACAAAAGGATACCCATGCAGAAGGGATGAGGTTGAAGGTAGGAATGAAATTATGACCTCCATATTTAAGTGTGAATTCTTACTATAAATCAGTGACATACAAAGTATAGTGAAGACCTCAAAAGAAGAAAAATTGTTCCTGCACAAAAGAAGCAAAGATTTTATATGGTCATGACAGTAAACCTAAATGAGATAGGACAAGTCTTTCGGGAGCAAAAGTGACTACTTTTGGTCAGGAGGAGACAAGAGACAAGATGGTGTGAGGTGGACCATTGGGAAGAAATCTGGAGAAGTGGCTTCTGAGTAGTTGTCTCACAGAAACCACGGTTTGGTTTAAGAGAGAGAAACAGAGAGCACCCGCCCTGAAGAGTGATGTCCCCAAGTTCGTTGGGCCTCGCAGAGTAAATGTGCATTGGATATTTCAGTGTGTGTCAGTGAATAGATCAATTATAGAGCAAGAAAGCACAGGTCAGTCAGGAACAGGAGTGTCGGGCCAAGTTTGTACCCAGCCTTCTAAACCCCTGGAAAACATTTTAAAAGTTTAGAGCAAATGTGTAGCTTCATGTAGAAAACATATTTTATAACCACTTAGATCCATTAAGTCTTCACTGCCAGAATCAAAGGGAGAGCAGTCAGGTGGGAAGATACCTCGCCTGAGCTATTGGCAGTGGGACAGAAATTCAATGTGATGTAGTTTAGGAATGTGACCTAAGAAAGAGGAATTAGAAGTAAGAGAGATTTGAGCCTGCTGAGCTTTCAGTCAGCAAAAGGCTCATGTTTCTGTCAAGAAAAGAACATGTTTGTACAGGTTCTCTTATACTTGTAGTGGTGTTACCTCCAAATAACATGATTGTACAGGTACTCCTCAACTTATAGTGGTATTACCTCCAACAAAACCTGGTTAAGATGAAATATCCTAAATCGGAAGTACATTCAACTTACCTAACTTGCTAAACATCCCAGCTCAGTAATGTCTCATGCTGCCTGGAGGTGCAGCTTGCTGCTGATGACAAGTAATGAGAAAATGTTATATCACATTTGTTTGCTAGAAGAAATAAATATTAAAATCCCAAGTGTAGTGCATTTGTATATTTGTAGCATTCTGCAGTTACAGTGTACATGAAATAGGAAATGGGGATAATTGAGCGTATTGTTTTAGCTTAGAAGTGGTTTTTCATTTTGCCCCTCCTTTGCTTTTCCATCCCAGGTTGTCAACTTGCTACTTATATTTTAGCTCAGGACACCAAAGAGTGGCATTGCACTTATATTTTTGCTTTTCCCCTAATTCCTTAGGAAGCAGGTAATATAAACCGATCGCTGAGTTGCCTGGGCCAGGTCATCACTGCACTTGTTGATGTGGGCAATGGAAAACAGAGGCATGTCTGCTACAGAGACTCCAGACTTACCTTCTTACTTCGGGTAAAGCTGATCACTGGCGCCTACCACCTGCATTATAGTCACTGGGACTGATAGGGGAGATTTTCTTAGCTTTTATTATTTTCTGAAAAAGATCTTAGGATTTACAATCTAAAATATACACCATTGATGTTGTTAAACAGGACTCCCTTGGTGGTAATGCCAAAACAGCCATAATTGCAAATGTTCATCCAGGATCCAGGTGTTTTGGGGAAACACTGTCAACACTTAATTTTGCTCAAAGAGCCAAGCTGATTAAAAACAAGGTAAAATACTGGAGTATTTAATATATCAAGTAAATTAGAAAAACATTTGCACATACTTTCTTAGTGATTGCCCTAATGTTACCACTAATCTTACTTCTGTAGAAGTTCATCTTGCTTGTACAAGGTTGCTCTTCTTCCTTCCCTCCCTTCCATTCCTGTTTTCTTAAGGCAGTTTTCCTTTTGTTAGTGCGATGGAGAGTAATTAGCCTAAGCCATGTTAGCAGAGTTGGTGCATGTGATGGCGCACGCACATAGGTTTGCATGCATGTGCCTGCCCTGTGCCCATATGTGATGTATATGGTTGCAAAGAGTAATGCTATGAAAATGACTTGATAATAGTGAAATTTTCCTTTTAAGTTGTGTATATCGCCACATATTCTTCATTTATTTTAGATACAAGAAGTGTCTTTAATATTAGTATACTCCTCAGGCCAGGAAGCTTTTCTTGTAAAGTACTAGTTGATAAACTACTTAATGCTTCATGTACCATATGGTCCATTTCAACTACTCGGATCTGCCTTTGCAGTAATAAAGCAGCCGTAGACCGTATGTAAACAGTGGCAGTTTCTGTGTCCCACCACAACTTGGCACACAAAGAAGCAATAGTCCATATTATGCCTATGGACAGCACTTTACCAATACTTAGTATAGACTGTCAAAAGACCAACAAGACATCTATTTGGAGAGTTGAACACTCCTTTGGTTTTAGACAAAACAACTGTGCCATGAATTGGTAGATTAATCCCTTCCTTTTTCAAGGAGAATACTGGGCATCTTATCCCCAGGTCATCTAGCAGAGTGAAGTAGACCATGTTGCTCCTTCCCCTGGGTAAGTGAGAAAAGCATAGATCTTGTCTTTTACCTTACCTCTTTGGGCACCATCCCCTGCTTACATCAATGTTAGCAATATGAAGAGGAAACATCAGTAGAACTTCCTGACTCTGTCTTGGCTTACCAGAAGTCTTTGGAGAGTAGAACTGTGTTAATGATTGCGGTTATGATGTCACTGATAATAATAGTGATGTCAGAATGCCTCATAAGGAGGCTGGCTATATGAATCAGAAGCCATTGGAAATGACTTAAACATGAATAACAAAACCAGCAGCTTTGTAGTAGTTGTTCCCAATGGTAAGTCCTCTTCAGCCTGTCAGTGGGAAGAGCTAAGATGTCTGGGAATTGTTTAATGATGAACTATTTAAGTCTTTCCAAGTGGGCAGGGTGAACCTAAGACAAGAACACAGGGGACTTGGGCTGTCACAGGGTGTTTTTCCTTGCTGAAATAGTTGAATATTGCATAGCTAGGTCTTTGGTCTGTCTGGCGGTTAGGTATTGGCATTTTTTATTACCCTTCAGTTTTACGAGGTTTTAATAATGGTCTAATTAATAAACTTTACTATGTTTGGTTGCTTGTTTGTTTGAGACAGGATTTCTCTGTAGCCCTGGCTGTCCTGGAACTAACTCTGTAAACCAGGCTGGCCTCAAACTCAGAGATCTACCTGCCTGGCAATAAACTTTACTTTTAAAGCAGCTTTAGATTTATAGCAGAATTGAACAGAAGGTACAGAACAATTCTGTATTGTTCCTGTCCCCACACATGTGACCTCCTCACTACTGACATCACACACCAGAATGATGCATTCGTTGGTAATCTTTTTTTTTTTTTAAGTTTTTTAGAGGTTGTCTTCAACAAGACATCTTTAAGAAGTTGAAGACACCATTTAGTCACCACAGTGATAACATTTGTCTATGACTTTTTTTGACCTTTTAGAGGCCATTTAAAACAGGACATTACCTTAAGAAAGTGAAGGTGACATTTGGTATGGTGGTAGAACCACAGTGAACTGTGAAACCAATCCCTGCTTCCAGGCCAGCTTTAGAAACAGAAAGCAGCTCTCTTTGGAGAGGTCAGTTTCTGCTCAGGCTAGTCCTGTTGGGGGTCATGCCCTTCTAGGCCAGACTCTGTCCCCAGTGGTTTCTGGACAAAGGGGAAGTGGCCTTACTGAGATGTTTGGTTCCCGTCTTTGAAAGGTAAGGCAGGATTCTTAAGTCAGGGTAATAAACTCCAGTCTGAAGGTGACCTGGCCTAGGATGGCCTAGGACTGATCAGATCGATGGGATCTGTGGGAGCCTGGTGAGGAGGGGTTGTCAAGAGGAAGAGAGCCCAGCTGTGCTGCTTGGGCTCTGACTGTTGGTATATAGGCACAGGAAGAGGGAACTTTCCATTTCAGCGAACCATTTTGGTGGCCTTTCGGCTGCTGGCCAGACAGATGTGCAGTTTTCTTTGGTCTTTCAGTGTTTTATTAATTCCTGTCCAGGCTGTGGTGAATGAGGACACCCAAGGAAATGTCAGCCAGCTGCAAGCTGAAGTGAAGAGGCTCAAAGAACAGCTATCTCAGTTTACTTCTGGGCAGATAATACCAGAAAACGTACTGGCCAGAGGTAGGACAAGCTCACTGCCCTTTATCCTGGGGAAGACTTGATGAGAATGTTAGGTCAGGAACTTCTGCTGTGAGATGGATAGATGGTCAAAGTACAGTGAGGCTTTCCCGAATTTGTCACATACTCTCCTCCTTATTTCACCTGTGTAGGAGGGTAGTTCTTTGAATCAGATGTTTTATGAGGTGCAGTAAGAAAGGGAATCAATGATTTTAAGTAATTCATCCCTAGTAAGTGCTAGAAAGAGATATGCTGGATTTATGATAATTTAGGGAAACTGAATTATTTTTCCTGTTTAACTGATTTCATTTGATCACTCCCAAGATTCTGTTTGAGCATATACAATTTATATATGTTCATTAGGACAAGGAATGCTTCTTTAAAGAATAGCTAGTAGCTGCCAGGTGGTGGTGGTGCATGCCTTTAATCCCAGCACTTGGGAGGCAGAGGCAGGCAGATCTCTGCAAGTTAGAGGTCAGCCAAGGCTGCACAGAGAGACCCTGTATTGAAAAAACAAAAAAGACAAACAAACAAACAAGAATAGCTAGTAGAATTAACTTGATATCTATAAAACTGTAAGAAAAAATAATCTGGGGCTGGGAGTGTGTTTTGATAGTAGAACACTTGCCTAAAATGTGTGAGACCCTAGGTTTGATTTCCAGTACTTTACAAAACCACACCAACAAACAGAAAACAAGAGTGTGCATTATACTAAGCATAGTCTATATACCTGACTCTCAGTACTCAGGAAGCTGAGGCAAGATTGTGAGATTTGGACTAGCCTAGGCTACAGAATGAGTTTTAGGCTAGCCTATACTACAGAGCTACAGACTGAGGCACTCAGTAAATAAGAGTTTGTATTAGATCTCAAAAGGCACATGTGGATCTCCTTCAGTTTCCTTATAGACTCATTTCTAAGCTAGCTCTGGTGGCTGATGCCTATAATTCCAGCATTTGAGAGGCTTAGGATTGCCATGAGTTCAAGGCCAGCCTAGGCTATAGTTTTGTTTTAAAAAACCCATTTCTGTTTCTTTCATCACTTATATTTGTGCTAAGTAAATAAAGAGAAACTTGTTTTCTTTGTAGAACAGCCAGTTTACTGAGAGAGTTAATGTGAAACTGATAACAATAATGAGAGTCTGCTCCTTTAGATCATTTGGCAGAAATAAAAACTGTTTAAGTACTGAAAAATTAACATATTGCTCCCTCCCCCTTTTTAGACAAAGAGAAGACTAATTACATAGAACATTTCCTGGAAGCAATGCTATTCTTTAAGAAATCTGAACAGGAAAAGAAGGTAGGAAATTTAATTGGGAAAAGGGATTCAGAACATCTTGAACTTCCATGTTGTGGTTGGTTTTCATTACTTCAGTGAGCGAAACACATAGTACTGGATGTGTGAGGAAAAGGCTCCTTGCCTTTGAATTTAGAGTTAATACAACCTGCTGGGTTTATGAGAATTTAGGAAACCTGAATTATTTTTCATGTTTAACTGAATCATGAATTTCTTAAGTCTCTGGTAGAAAAAATTTCCCAGCTAGAGGACCTCACCCTGAAAAAGGAAAAGTTTATTCAGTCTAATAAAATGATTGTGAAGTTCCGAGAGGACCAAATAATGCGTCTAGAGAGGCTTCAGAAGGAGGCACGGGGAAGCTTCCTGCCCGAGGAACAGGACCGTCTGCTGTCAGAACTGAGGGATGAGATTCAGACTCTTCGAGAACAAGTGAGTGCAATACACCTGCTTGTTTCTAGGAAGGAGCTCTAAAGCATATTAAAATGTTCACTAGTAACTGGTTCTTTAATACAGTGCTTGAAGTGAATTTGACTGGCAACGTGAGTTGCATAATTTCTTTTCCCCTTTTCCAAGTTTTAAGCTGACGACAGAAAAACCAGTGATTTGTACTCTGCAGCAGCTGTCATTACCCTAGTCTCTGTAGAGTTGAGCTTTTTGAAGTTCTGCTTTTCCCTAGAAAGGATGAGTAGGTAACAGAGACACTCAGTTTGAAAACCAAAATAACTTAACAAACTGTTTTGTGTCCAGTATGTTTAATACATGTCCAATCAATAGGCTAAATATTTTTACTTCCATTTATTTTGTATACTTTCCTGAACTTTGCTATCTAATGTATTTTGGAGGGCAATTCAGTCTCAGTAGACAGGAATTCTCCTTATTCTCCCTCCTCTTTTTAAAGATTTATTTACTTGTATTTTATGTGTAAGGGTGTTTTGCTTGCATGTATGTCTGTGTACTACTGTGTGTATGCCTGGTGCCCAGGGAAGCCAGCAGAGGGTGTTGGATATCCTGGAACTGGAGTTACAGCCATGTGGGTGCTGGAAGTTAAACCCAGATCCTCTGAAAAAGCAGTCTCTAACTGCTAAGACATCTCTCCATCCCCTTACTCTTTTTATTTATTTTTCTGTGCTGGGAATCAAACCCAGAGCCTTTTGCATGCTAGGCTCTTGCTGTGCTACTGAGCTACAACCTCAAGTATGTTAATTTAGCCTTCCTTTGTGTGAAGAGGTTTTCCTGTTTGCACACCTCTAGGTTTCCTTTCTAGGTGGCTTGGGTGGAAGTTGCAAGCAACTTAACAAACATATTTTGAAATACCCACCAGTTACCAAGTGATTTTCTATGGAGGCTGTAGTAGATAGAGTACAAACAGTATTACTGTGTTCTAGAATTTCTGAATGGTTTTTAGAGATACCAGTTCATTAGGAAATTTTGTGAATACACAAAGTGTGTAATTTCTCAATGTCACAGGTGGAGCACCACCCCAGAGTTGCAAAGTATGCTATGGAAAATCATTCCCTCAGGGAAGAAAATAGAAGACTGAAATTATTAGAGCCTGTGAAAAGAGCCCACGAAATAGATGCCCAGGCTGTTGCAAGACTAGAAAAGGCTTTCTCTGAAGTGTCTAGCAAAGAGAAAAATGACAAAGGTAAGAAGTGATTGTTGTGAGAAGGGGCTGTGAAGCAATGACTTCAGTGGTTGAAAGCACTGACTGCTTTTCCAGAGGACCCAAGTTCAATTCCAAGTACCCACATGGAGCTTAGAACTGTCTGTAACTCCATTCTAACAGAGAATCTGATGCTCTCTTCTGACTTCGGTGGGCACCAGGCATACATATGGTGCACAAATATACATGCAAGAAAAACGCCCATACACATAGGATTAAAAAAAACAAACCAAAAACTAAAGAAAGAGTGTGTAGGAATGGAAAGATAATGTCAGTAATGTGCTTGCTGTGTGAACATGAGAACCTGAGTTCTAGAACTCACAAGTTAAAAGGTTGACTGGGGAGGCTGAGACAGGCTCTGACCAGCCTGCCTTACCCTAGGAGGCAGTGGTAGTTACAGCGTCACCTGTTGCCAGGTGCTGCTCATTTCCATTGTTAGCAGTGGGCTGCAAACTTCCCTGTGTGACACATGCACCCATTAAAATTGCCCGTCGGTAACAGTCCTCTTGCTCTCTTGTTCTTCTCTTGCTCTCTTACCTGTTCTCTGTCTGTCTGTCTGTCTGTCTGCCTCTCTTATGTCCCCACTCCAGGATGGCCTTTCTCTTTCCCCTCCCCCAATAAACCTCTTGCAGAAAACAAACTTAAAAAAAAAAAAGAATTGAAAGCAGGGCTGGAGAGATGGCTGGGTGGTTAAGAGCAATGCACTGTTCTTCCAGAGGACCTGAGTCTGGTTCCTAACACACTTGAGGCAGCACCCAATCTCTTGTAACTCCAGCTTCAGGGGATTCAACACCTCTGGCCTTTTTGGACACCTGCACTCAGATGCACACATCCAAACACAGGCATACACATATATACATAATTTTAAAAATTAAAAAAAAAAAACAAAAAACTGATTTTTTTTTGTCTTGCCTTTTACATTTCCTTTGTCTAATCCTTTTATTATTCAGTTATGACTTAGTAAAAGAAGATTCACAGTTATTTGAGTGTGGAGGAACATGATTTTATATGCAAAGTTAGGATTATCCTTGTTATCAATTTTCTCTCCCAAATACTTCATTGCTTGTTCACAATGGCTAGTAGCACCAATTTTTACAAGTTCAGCTGTGCAGATGTTTCTGTCTCGCACCATGCCTGTTGCTCATTAGTAACTGTTAGCTCTTTGTCCTAAGGAATGGATAAATGGATACACGTTGTCTTAATTACATTTCTCCATCCTGTTGTCTCTGCTCCTTGAACACAACTTTCAGTGCCCTTGAGGGTATATTCTGTGTCTCTTGCTGACATCTGTGTTCTCATAATTCTAGGACTCGCCTGCCAGTCCATTTTTTATTCTTGGGACTCAAAACAAACCTGGAAGAGAGCTTAGAAAAATGTTACGTTATTTCTTTGTCTTTCAAAGACTGAAGTGGTTTCCTTCTTAATAGGTCTGCAAGGATTTTCTCCTAAAGCACTAAAAGAACCAAATTTCTTCACAAACACTGAGAAGTTAAAAGCACAACTCCTGGAAATTCAAACAGAGCTGAATAATTCAAAGCAAGAATATGAAGAGTTCAAAGAGCTAACTCGGTAAAGTGCAAATACACATGCTCATCACCTGCTCTCTTAGTACTTTATATTAATAATTTGGCATGTTACTTTAAATATAACCCTTCTAGCAACTAACTTGTTTTGGTGCACAGAAAAAGCACTTTCTTCTTGTAGCTCTTTACTATATATTTGATAGTAGATCATACAAATGTTTTAATGTTTAACTCACCTGTTGAGTGTCAATTGAACTTGCAGAATTAGTTCATCTCCTTACCAAATTTAAATCACAGTTATAAACTAAATCTAGATTTTTTTTTTAGAAATTAGAGATTTATTAATACTCTTACTTGATGCTCATTGTGTAAAAGGATAAACTATAAATTATTATTCATACTATAACCAAGGTTAATTGTAGCTAAAGTTTTCCTGCCTGGCCCACAGTCAGGGTAAATCTCTCTCACCTGCTAGTCCCACAGCTACTCAGACCCGACCAAGTAAACACAGGGACTTATATTGGTTACAAACTGTATGGCCGTGGCAGGCTTCTTGCTAACTGTTCTTCCAGCTTAAATTAATCCATTTCCATTAATCTATACCTTGCCACATGGCTCGTGGCTTAGCGGCATCTTCACATGCTCTTTCTCATCGTGGCGGCTGGCAGTATCTCTCTGACTCAGCCTTCCACTTCCCAGCTTTATTCTCCTCCGTGTCCCGCCTACACTTCCTGCCTAGCCAATGGCCAATCAATGTTTTATTTATTGACTAATCAGCAACACATTTGCCATACAGAACATCTCACAGCAGTTAATCCTAACCTAAAATATAGAGAAGTGTTAATTTTGAAAGGGACAATATACTGACTTGAACTTGAGCTCTGTTGAGAGCATAAACTGCAGTGTACTTAAAGATGTTTGACGTTACTGATTACTTGACGGACTAAGTCTTAACAACATCTATTAGGAAAAAGCAGCTAGAACTGGAATCTGAGCTTCAGTCTTTGCAAAAAGCAAACCTCAATCTCGAAAACCTTTTGGAAGCAACAAAAGCCTGCAAACGCCAGGAAGTTTCTCAGCTGAATAAAATACATGCTGAAACACTTAAGGTGGGTAATTGGTGTTTCTATTTAAATTGGACCTCTCTCTCTCTCTCTCTCTCTCTCTCTCTCTCTCTCTCTCTCTCTCTCTCCCCTCTCCCTCTCCCTCTCCTCTCTCTCCTCTCTCTCCTCTCTCTCTCTCTCTCCTCTCTCTCTCTCTCTCTCTCCTCTCCTCTCTCTCCTCCTCTCTCTCCTCTCTCTCTCTCTCTCTCTCTCTCTCCCTCTCTCCCTTCTCTCTCTCTCTCTCTCTCTCTCTCTCTCTCTCTCTCTCTTCTCTCTCTCTCTCTCTCTCTCTCGTTTTTCGAGACAGGGTTTCTCTGTGTAGTTTTGCTGCCTGTCCTGGATCTCACTCTGTACACCAGGCTGGCCTCGAACTCAGAGGTCCACCTGGCTCTGCCTCCTGAGTGCTGGGATTAAATGAGTGCGCCACCACTGTCCAGCAAGACCTGTCTCTTTTATTAATAAAGGTTATTTCCAAACACAGATAGCAAAACACTAGCGTGTTTTGATAGACTCCAGTGACAAAGTCGAGGAGGAATAAAACTTTTGAGATCAAATTCTACTTTGTCTTTTTTTTTTTTTTGTTTTTGGTTTTTTCGAGACAGGGTTTCTCTGTGTAACTTTGCGCCTTTCCTGGATCTCACTCTGTAGCCCAGGCTGGCCTCGAACTGACAAAGATCCGCCTGCCTCTGCCTCCCGAGTGCTGGGATTAAAGGCATGCGCCACCTCCGCCCAGCTCTACTTTGTCTTTAACTTTAGACATTCAAACCTTTTTTCCTTTTTTTTTTTTTCTTTGAGGCAGGGTCCCATGATAGCTGAGGCTGTCCTAAACTCACTCTGTAGCCTAGGTTGTCCTTGAACTTTGATTCTCCTGTCTCTGCCCCTGTGAGTACTTGGATTACAGATGTGTGCCACCATGCCCAGCTTTGCCGTTTGCTTTTGTAACATGCAGAGAGGAGTCTTAGGCCAGGTGTGGTGGCACAGGCCTTTGGTAGGAGGCAGAGGCAGGCGTCATAAATCCTGGGGTTACAGTCATCCATCATCATGCCCAGCTTCACGTTCCAGTTTTTAAACTTCGTTACAACTCTGTATGCAGCTGTACTGACTGATGGGTTTATTTCCATTTGGTCTTTTCTATCCAATACTTTAAGAACACATCCTCTTGATAACTCGAATAAAATTTTAATTTTTCCTGTTCATAAAATCTCTAGATATTTCCCTTTGTATTAATGATTCTTTCCACAATCATTGATCTGCAGATAATTACCACTCCAACCAAGGCTTATCAACTCTGTTCTAGACTGGTACCAAAATCAAGCCCTGAGGTGGGGAGCTTTGGCTTTCTGCACACACAGAACTCTAGCAGTTTAGATAATGATATATCAAATGAGCCAGTGCCACCTGAGATGAGTGAACAAGCTTTGGAGGCCATTTCTGAGGAGCTGCGAACTGTGCAGGTGATACTTAATTTTAGGAAAAAATAATTGAATGTTCATTTAAATAAAATTTGTCTGCTAGTTGTAACTCACGATAATTTTTTTGTTGTTGTTTTGCTTTTCCCGACAGGGTTTCTCTGTGTAGCCCCAACTGTCCTAGAACTCACTTTGTAGACCAGGCTGGCCTCGAACTCACAGAGTTTGGCCAGTCTCTGCCTCCTGTGTGCTGGGATTAAAGTTGTGAGCCACTACCGCCCGGCAACTCCCTAAAATTTTTATGTTTACATATATAAAGTTTTCTGTCTTGTCTGTTTTTTTAGTTCATTTTTTATTCTTTAGCAAATTGTTATATAGATCAAATTTTAGGGAGATTTTAATGTATTTGAAATAACTTGAGTTTTGATTTCATTGAGATCCTATTGGTTTGTTAATTAAATTTTGCTCCTTTGTCCAGTAAAAGTTGGAATGGACACCCGAAATCTGAATTTCTTTCCTGTTCCAGGCCAGAGAAGCCCTTGTGATGAAAATAACCCATGCAACACTGAGGAAGCTTCTTAAAAGACTCTAGAGGTGGGGCTGAGAGATGGCTCAGCAGGGAAGAGCACTGGCTGCTCCTTCAGAGGTCCTGGGTTCAATTCCCAGCACCCACATGACAGCTCACAGCTGTTTGTTATTTCAGTTCTGGGGACTTTATGCCCTCACATAGACATACATACCTATAAGCAAAACACCAGTTCACATAAAATGAAAATAAATAAATCATTTTTTAAAAAAGAACTATAAAATAGTCTCTAGAGGGCTCAGTGGTTAAGTCTTCTAAAGTTTACAAAGTTCTCTAGAGGCCTCTACAATTTATTTTATACATACATTTTATATACATATGTACATACCCACCAAGCCATCTCTCCAGCTCCTACATCCATCTCCTCTATCTATCTATATTCTTTTTGTGGTTTTTCAAGACATGGTTTCCCTGTGTAGACCAAGCTGGCCTTGAACTCAAGAGATCTGCCTGCTTCTGCCTCCCTAGTACTGTGATTAAATGCATGCTCCATCACGTCTGACTAGGGCTCTGTAATTTAATTCAGGGTTGAATATTAACCACTTTTCTTTGTGATTGAATTTATCCATTTTGGTCATTCACAAATATAATTTTGAAACATAGGCATGATCAGAATAACTTTTTGGTGATTTCTGGCTCCAACAGTCCTTTGCTATGTTTGCTTCTATAAGGGTTTGAGTTTACTTTAGTTTCTTGTCTCTTTAATCAAAAAGAAATAGGGCAGGAGAGTTCTCTCAGCAGTTAGGCTGCTTTCCTAGAGGACCTAGGTTCAATTCCCAGTACCCACCTAGTAGCTTACAACTTTCTGTAATTCCAGTTGCAGATGATCCAACACCCTCTTCTGGCACCTGTGGGCACTGGGCATGCAATTGGCACTCAGACATACATGCAAGCAAAACATCCGTACATAAAACTTAAAAAATTAATAGTTTTAAAATTCTATTAAAGGCATTTTTGATGACTGAAATGTGTCTAATGCAGGAACAACTGAGTGCTCTTCAAGTCAAGCTGGATGAAGAAGAGCATAAAAACCTGAAACTTCAACAGCATGTTGACAAACTAGAGCACCATTCTACACAAATGCAAGAGGTGAGGGTCAGAGCATAGCCTCAGAAAATGTTGAAATATCATGAAAACAAAGTACTGTGAGATGAGGATATTCCTCTCTTGGACCCCTTCCCACTCTTAAGTTCTTTTTATTTTTCCTTAATAAATTTATATTCATTCTGTCCCTGTTTGCCCCCCAAAACAACATTGCCATTGAAAATTCCCTTACCAAATACTGGTCACCTTTTTATACTTCTCTGATAGTGAGACAGACATTCATTGTCTGGTTTGGTAAGGTATACAAGTGGACTGTTCGTTTGGAAGAAATCAAAATGATTTGTCCACATTCTTGTACTGATCTTGGATTGTGTCAGTCATCTTCATTATAGTTCGTAAACACCCAAGTTTTGTCTTGTCATTGACTTTATAACTAGACATTAAATACAGAAACGAATGCATTGTTTTAGCATACTCTTCCTGTATATTTACTCTTTCCCAAAGCTTTTTTCTTCAGAAAGAAGTGATTGGACCAAACAGGAACAAGAGCGGCTTGCACAGTTGAATGACCTTGAAAAACAGCTTCAGGATACTCAGACTAAGAATGACTGTAAGTTTGGATAGTTGAGGACACTAGTATCTTTTTTGATCATTTAAATTAACTTTTTTTTTTCTATTCTAAGGGGTTGCTTGTTTTGTTTATTGTTAGATAATTGGTCTTGAATTTTCATGGTAAAGGTATAATAAATAGCCAGCCAGTGGTGGCGCACGCCTTTAATCCCAGCACTCGGGAGGCAGAGGCAGGCAGATCTCTGTGAGTTCCAGGCCAGCCTGGGCTACAGAGTGAGTTCCAGGACAGGCTCCAAAAGCTACACAGAGAAACCCTGTCTGGGGGGGGGGGGGGTATAATAAAGGAAAAGGTATAATAAAGAAAATGGATTATAAGACAAATTTTTTTCAAGATTACTCACAAATAAATGTTATAAGTGTTTACTTAACATTTATTTAAGAGCTCGGAGATGGCTCCATTGCCTTATAAGCTTGAGGACCTGAATTCAGAACCTAGAACCCACATAAAAAAATGGGCATGGTGTCACACACAAATCTGGTATCCCAGTAATGTCAAGATGGGAGGCAAAGGGGCAGCTCCAGGTCCCTGGACAGCTGATCTAGCCGACTTGATGAAGCCCTAGGCCAGTGGAAGACCTCGTCTCACACAGAAAGTGGGAAGCACCCGACATCTATACACACACACATGAATGTAGCTAGAATTTTCCTGCCTGGCCCACAGTCAGGACAAATCTCTGTCACCCACCAGTCCTACAGCCGCTCAGACCCGACCAAGTAAACACAGAGACTTATATTGCTTACAAACTGTATGGCCATGGCAGACTTCTTGCTAACTGTTCTTATAGCTTAAATTAATCCATTTCCATAAATCTATACCTTGCCACGTGGCTCGTGGCTTACCGGCATCTTCACATGCTGCTTGTCCTGGTGGTGGCTGGCAGTGTCTCTGACTCAGCCTTCCACTTCCCAACTTTATTCTCCTCCTTGTCCTGCCTATACTTCCTCCTGCCTGACTACTGACCAATCAGTGTTTTATTTACCAACCAATCAGAGCAACACATTTGCCATACAGAACATCCCACAGCATATGAATATGTACAAACACATGCACACACAAAGTTTAAAGTACTTTAGGAATGAAGTGTCTTTCATTTGAAAGCTGAGTTGCACTAATATTGACAAAGTAAAGCATAAAAGCATATGTTATTTATATACATTTCTAGGAGTAGGGTGCCATTCCCACCTTTCTCAGTTTATTTTTCTCTTCATCAAAGCATTTTCAGATAAGCCAGGAAATTCAGCACTTAGTAGATGAAGTCAGGAGGTTCAGAAGTTCAAAGTCATCCTTAGTGACACAGCAAGTTGGACGTCAGCCTGGGATGCATGAGACCCTGTCTCCAAAATATTTTCAGTAGTTTGTAGTAATACTAGAAGTACTAGAAAGTCTCTTAATCTAGTTTTCAGCTGGAGTTTCCTTTTGAGACTAGAAGTGTTTAACCCATGTTGAAAAGCTCTGTTATATTACTAAAGCGTTTTCAACAGCTAAGACTACACTGCTTCAGATATGTTAAATATCACAAGTTTTTCTTCATATTAATAGTTTTGTTGCATGTTCTACAGGGAAAAAAATTCTTAAAATGTCAAGTGGCCTAAAAATGAGGAACACAGATGTTAATTCTTCCTGTTTCAGTAGCAATGTTGGAACAGCTGGGTGTGGTAGCACATGCCTGTAATCCCAGCACTCAGGAAGTGGAAGCAGGAAGGTGAGGAGCTCAGGGCTATCCTTGCTACATAGTAAGAATAAAGCCAGCCTAGGGCAAAAGAAATGGAGGGCAGCCGTGATCTAAGGAGAGGAGGAAAAGAGAAATCTTAGTGTTTAATGTTCAGTTGCTAATGTTTGTCCTTGCAGCGGTAAGGTCATATTTATTTGCCTGCTTTTACAAAGGACTGGTAAAGGGACCTGTTGAGACCTTGATTTCTTTGTTTTCCAGTTTTGAAATGTGAGGTACATGACTTGCGAATTGTTCTTCATTCTGCTGACAAAGAACTTTCTTTGGTGAAACTGGAGTATAGCACATTCAAAGAGAGTCAAGAGAAAGAACTAAACCAGCTTTCGGAAAGGCATGTGCAGGTTCAGCTTCAGCTGGACAACACCAGGTAGAGTTGTTCTCTGTTGCTTCAAGGTGCCTGTTTGGTTGTTCTCAATACTGCTTGAAGTAGTATAAGCCCAACACACATTACAAAAGCCAGTAACGTAATTTATTAATCATTTGTCACAAGTACACCATGTTTTCTTAATCCAATTGGCTTCACCACAAACTGGCTTTGTGATTTTTTTTAGGACTTCTGATTTGTTGTTTGTTTGTTTTGTTTTTCTGAAACAGGATCTCGCTATTTAGCTTTGGCTAGTCTGGAACTCATTCTGCTTCCTGAATGCTGGCTTTTTAAAGGCATGTGCCACAACATCTGGCCTAATCTCATCAAGTCTTGATTTCGTTTGTTTATTTATGAGACTAGAGCTAGATCAATAGTGTAAAGAATCTACTGAGCTATGTTTTTAAATGCTATCTTAAAAGCAATGTCTATCCTAGCCTTTAAAATATATTGGTCAAGGGTGGGGGTAAAAAAAAATATATTGGTCAAAATGTAATTGTTCTTAGTGTCCCTGGTTCTACTGGACTGCTTATTCTCTGACACTCAGTGGCTGTTCATGCTTCTGAGTGCACTACCATCTGTTTCTTACTGATTTTTGCCTACTTGTCAACATTCTTTACACCATGAACACATGTACATGTTCCCCTCTCTGCCTACTTCTCATCTTTTAGCAGCTACTTCATTGTCCTTTGTAATTCGCTGCTTCTGCCCTCCTTCATTTGCACAGCATATGGTTCTTCATCTGGTTAGCGGTGTATAAGACAAGACATCTGTTTTGCATGGTTCAGAGATGAGATTATTGGCTCTTTTTTTGGCTGACCACTGGATACTGCACATGATGCAGTGTGTTGGGGAAAGGAGCAAGGTGGTGTAACTGAACAAGCAACAAGTAGTTCTTTGCTGAGGTTATACTCTCTCTTGCTTAGGAAGAAGCCATATTTTCTATCACATCTTCCTAGAGCTAGACATTGTCATAAGTGGTTGGTGTTGAATTGTTGACAAAATGTGTAAATTGAGTGGCTAGTGCCTGGCTAGAAACACTCTCATGAGCCTCATCACCAATTGTCAGCTAGCTAATAAATTGCCAATCCTTTAACCACATGAACAAGGATGTGAAAGAGATGCTTCAGGCTATCACTCCCTTTCCATCCATATCTTCTGGTTTAGTGGTCCTCACATGAGTACCAAGGCATTTCATTCCACACAAGACCATGACAGCTCTCTGACAAATGTAAATGGTTTGTGATAGGAAAACTTGAACTTCAGAAAATCTGACTCATAGAAACAAATATTTATACTTTCCATTTTAAAATATCTTGCTGGTAAAGACTAGAAAATGAAAAGCTTCTTGAGAGCCAAGCCTGCCTACAAGATTCCTATGATAACTTACAAGAAGTAATGAAATTTGAAATTGACCAACTTTCAAAAAAGCTCCAAAACTGCAAACAAGAAAATGAAACTTTGAAGTCTGATCTGCATGTAAGTGATGAGCATTGTTATAACTGGTGGATGTATCCTGGATCTGTGGTTCCTGTCCTGTATCGTCTGACTTCCTTTGCCAACCACAGTCTTGATGTTTGTTAACTGCCTAATACTCCTGTCACTTCAAACCTAATACACAGTTGTCTTTTAGAATTTGATGGAGCTTTTTGAGGCAGAAAAAGAACGCAACAACAAATTGTCATTACAATTTGAAGAAGATAAAGAAAATAGCTCTAAGTGAGTGCTGTTAATTCTTCCCATTGATTAGAATATTGTTCAATACTACATTCTTTATCTTGCTTTGGGGGACTATAGGATCTCACTGTCTAGTGAAGGCTGGCCTTAAACCTGCAGTCCTTCTGCCTGGGTCTCCCAGGTACTAGAAATACAGACATGCACCACTGTGCACAGCTTTCAACTTGTGCTTTTCTTACTAACACCTTGTGGAGAGTTATTTTCAGTTGCGGATGTAGCTAAGTAGCTGCGATACTTCTACACAAGTAGCTGATAGTGATCAGAGTGAGGGCCATCTGTAAGTCACAGTATGAATTATATGACTATATTTTTGTTTGTTTTATTTTTGGGGGAGGTGTTGTTGGTTGGTTGGTTAGTTGGTTGGTTGGTTGGTTTGTTAGTTTTGGTTTTTTTTGAGACAGTGTCTCACTATGTAGTCCTGGATGACCTAGAATTCATAGAGATTCACCTGCCTGCCTCTGCTTCCTGAGTGCTGAGATTGATAGACACCACACCAGGCTTCTGATTATCCTTTTATTATTGGGGGGTAGGGAGTGACTTTTATTTCTGTTTCTGTCAATCTTTTTTTATTCTTTTTTTTTCCCCCAAAAATCTCATTAAGTCTCTCTTCTCCCTCTCCGAGTTCTTTTTCTTTCTATTTCAGTGAGTCTGTCAGTGATCTCATGATCACACTAGGGAGAAGAACTGTTTTTCAGTTACTATTTACAGTGATTTTTTTATGATTACTCTTGGCCCCGATACACAGTGAAGTTAGAGCATGCCCCTACTTGGGATATAGACAGCAAACATTTAATCATATCCAATAAGTCAGGTCTGTGCTGTAGGTGCTAGAATATGTAGAGTGAAACAGTAAATGAGACATCCCTGTGGTCATGGACTTCACATTCTATCTCAGACAGATGGCAGTAAATACTGTGTGCTGTGTGTTGGGTTATCAAATACCACACACTGAGGAAAAGTAGAGTTGTGGCACAAAAATAATTCCTTACTAAATAGTTGTTAACAGATGCATTCACCTTTCTGACCTCCGTGGGAATATGCTCTCTAACTCAGGATTTGCCTAGTAGACTTCATTTGTATGGCATTTAATTTCTTCTAGGTGCACACTCAGTTCATGTTTACTTAATTCTTCTTTTCCAGAGAAATCTTAAAAGTTCTTGAGGCTGTGCGTCAGGAGAAACAGAAAGAGATGGCCAAATGTGAGCAGCAGGTCAGCTTCTTATTCTGAGTCTAGAATTGGAAATTGGTAACTTTTATTCCTGAAGTCTAAAAAAAAAACTGTTTCAGCATTCAGTGTTAGAAGTCACTAACAATAAGACTGAAATTTTGACTAGGTTTTTATTGTTTTTAAGGTTTAAACTTAGGCTTCTACCAATGAGATACATTCCTAGATCATGTTTGTTTGTTTCTGAGACAGGGTATCTCTGGGTAGTCCTGGCTGGCCCAGAACTTGCTTTGTAGACCAAACTGGTCTCCAGCTCACAGAATGCTGGGATTAAAGGCTTGTGTCACCACACTTGGTCACTTTTAACCCTTTCTGACTTCCAGGTGGCGATAATGATAGCTGCTGGTGCTCACTTAATAGAGACCACAAACCACTCCAGACCTTGTTAATATAGACTCTGTAATATGCAAAACAGTTGTCAGCTTGTTTTTGTTGTTTTTAATTATTTTCTAAAACTATTTGTTTTTCCCCGTAGATGGCAAAAGTACAGAAACTAGAAGAAAGCTTGCTTGCTACTGAAAATGTGATCAGTTCTCTGGAAAAGTCTAGAGATTCTGACAAGGTAGAGAAAGTTTGAGTTTTATGCTTCTGCATTTTGTTTCTTTATTTTTACTGTTGGTGTTGTATGTTTAATTTTAGAGCCTTGGTTTCTCTATGTAGCCCGAGCTGGCTTTGAAACCACCTCAGCTTCTGGGATACAGACATGTCATTCCTGTCTCCTGTACCATTTCTTACCTCCATGGTAACTGAAAACGGTCTGCTCTGCGCACATTCAGGCTCTTTTTAATTTTTTCTATTTATTTATTTATTTATTTGAGACAAGGTATCACTATGTAGTCCTGAATGGCTTGCAACTTTTTATGTAGACTAGGCTGGCCTCAAACTCACAGAGATCCACCACCTGTCTTTGCCTCCCTAACACTGAGATGAAAGGTGTACACCACTATGTCCAGCATACACTGTTCCTTTAGAGAGCTTATGTAACACATCCTGCCCTTTCAGCTAGAATGCTGATATTATTTTGATACTTTCTCACTGACTGTAAGTTCATGATACAATAAGTCTCAAATCTTTATTGCTGACTTTGCCAGAATAATAAAATATTTGTCTATCCAAATATAAAAATGAGCATAATGGTCTATACCTATCACACCAGCTGTTAGGAGACTGAGGCAAGAAGGGCAGTAGATAAGAGGCCAGCCTGAGGTACATGAATATTTGGAAGCTAACCTGAGCTTAGTAAAGCCCTGTCTCAAAAAAGAAAAAAGAAAATTTTTTTTAAAAAGTTGTGAAAGGCCAGACGGTGGTGGCGCACGCCTTTAATCCCAGCACTCGGGAGGCAGAGGCAGGTGGATCTCTGTGAGTTCGAGGCCTGCCTGGGCTACAGAGTGAGTTCCAGGAAAGGCTCAAAGCTACACAGGGGTCTCGAAAAACAAAAACAAAAACAAACAAACAAAAAATTGTGAAAGGTAGAGTGTTACATAATGCTTTGCTAAAGTAAATTGACTTCCTTTGTTGCATTTATGAAACAGAAATGGTTTGTGTGTTAGCTACATTTCTTATTGATGTGACCAAACAACTCCCCCAGAAAATTTATAGAAGGAAAGATTTTTTCCGACTCCATGTTGATAGGAGCTGTTTGTAGTTGCTTCCTGCATAGCACCTAAGAGGAAGCACAGAGAGCTTGGGTAGGACTGGTGCTGCCTATAACCCTAGTACCCACATCCTCCATCGAGGCCTCACCTCTGAAATGGTCCACACGCTCCCAAAACAGCACCACTAGCTGGGATTCAAGTGTTCAAATTAGACTGAGAAAAATTTCACATTCAAACTGCAACAGTTCATCTTTTAAAATGATCTCCATAATGTCACTGGTTTTGAAAATAATGTTTTTGTTCTTGTCAGGAACTTGTTACTAATCTCATGAACCAAATCCAGGAGTTAAGAACATCAGGTGGTGAAAAAGCAGAAACCATAGACACCCTGAAACAAGAACTACAGGACATAAACGTAAGTTGACTCACAGGATGCCGAGCTTGAGCATGGCACAGTTCACAAGCTCTTCAGGTAGCTGTCCCAACAGGTAAAAAGATTCTGTGGTAGAGTAAGCTTGATTGTAGAAATTAACACACAGAGGACTTCTGAGATGTACAGTGCACACACTTCTGGACAGCAGCATTTCTGTGCCAGGTCTTTGTCTTGGAATAGTATTCTCTGCACCATTCAGGATCCACTGATTAGAAATAAACTGGGTATTGCCAGTAACAGTTAATGCTGAAGTAGGGTTCCTTATTTGCCTCAAGAAACATGTTTTAGTTAAACTTGCAGGTGTTTATTATATGGAATTGTGTCCCTGATCTGAGACTCAACACCATTTCCTGAAGTAGCTGTTTCTTAAGTTGAATGTGGATGCTCCTTTGCTTGGATCAAGGTGAAGATTTTCATCCTTATCTGTTTTGCTCCAAAGGAGCTTGCTTTGCTCCATATTTATCTTCATAAGCAGTCTCCAATGAGATGACAAAGCCAGATGGTTTTCTCTAGCACCTTTGTAACTGTCCTGTTTTTCTTTGTCACGTACACTAGTTCTTATTGCTTCATTTAACAAGAGTTTGTGAGGCTGGAGAGATGGCTTCGTGGTAAGAGCAACTGCTACTCTTCTAGAGGACCTGGCCCATTTCCCACGTTGGGCATCTCACAACCACCTGTCACTCCAGCTGAATGGGATTTGATGCCCTCAGTGGGTTCCTGCATACACCTGGCATGCATGTGTACTTGCATACATACACACACATAAAAATAACAAAATTCAAAACAACAACAAAACCAACCACCAGGTGTTGCTGAGTTAGCTTGTTAATCTGGCCCTCACCTGGAGCTGAGATCACTTCTAAGTTGCTTTGGTGTACAGATGACCAGTGAAAGCTCTTGTCCATGACCTTATTTTCAACAGTGCAAATACACTGCTGCTGTGGCCGACAGGGAGGAGAGCAGAGAGCTGATGAGGAGACAGGAGGTGGACATCCTGGAACTGAAAGAAACTCTCAGACTGAGAATCCTCTCAGAGGATATTGAGGTAGGTATTATTAACGTGACACTTTCCTTTTCTTTCTGTTTTTTCTTTTTCCCTGCCTGCCTGCCTGCCTCCCTCTTTGAGACAGGATCCTCTCTGTGTAGCCCTGGCTGTCCTGGAACTCACTGTGTCAACCAGGCTGACCTTGAACTCATAGAATTCCCCTGCCTCTGCTTCTCAGGTGCTGTACTAGAAATTTCTGTTTTCTTTTGTGCCTTGTTACTTGACAGTATGTTTATTTATGTAGGGATGTTTTTAATGAATAACTAAAAGACTCTTTTTAAAAGGAGTAATTGATACTTAGGGGCGGACAAGATGACTCGGAGGGTAAAGTTACTTCCCACTGAAGCTGATGACCTGATTTTAATCCCTAGAACCCACATGGTGGAAGGAAGGAGAGAACTATTTTATTGTTGAAAAATCAGCAGTAAAAGTTGTTATGTCCTGGGGGCTGAAGAGATGACTCAGAGGTTAAGAGCACTGGCTGTTCTTCCAGAAGTCCTGAGTTCAATTCCCAGCAACCACATGGTGGCGCACAACCATCTGTAATGAGATCTCATGCCCTCTTCTGGCAGATCGAATACTATATACATAATAAATAATTTTTTTTAAGTTGTTAAGTCCTATTCACAAAAAAAAAAAAGTATCAGAATCTTAAGGAGAAAATTTAGCAAGTGTTAGGATACCAGAGAGATTCCAAGTGATGAAAAGGAAGACTTGAAAAGGAAAATACAGAATTATTGTAGACATAGAAATTTGTATAATTCCAATTCAAATCCCAATTTTTAAAAACTGATGAGAGCTTGGCATGGCAATATTTGCCTTTAACCCCACTATTTTGGGAAGCCAAAGTAGGTCTATATAGGAAGTTCCAGGTCAGCCAGGGTTACACGAGACCTTGTCTTGAAGGAAGAGAGAGAGGGAGAATCCAGATATAAGTATAAAGTACATATAAAAAAAACTGCAAGTCAACTAAAGTATCTAGTTGTGTGTTCAGTTATGATGTATCCAAAGTTGAAACAGAATTCACCTGAGAGAAAGAGTGAATCTGTGGGAGAGTTTAGCGTAGCAAGTTCCTCTGTGTGCACGAGCAAGTGAGCATGCTTGCATGTGTGGATTGAGATAAATTCTTACTGTACCTTGGAACTCACTGATTAGACTAGGCTATCTAGGGCCCCACCCCCACCCCCCACCCAGTGAGCCCCGGGCATCGTCCTGTCTCTACCTTCCCAGTGCTGGGATTAGTGGCATGCCATTATGCCCAGCCTTTTACATGAGTGTTAGGAACTGAACTCATTTTCATGATTGCACTAGTTTCCTTTCTGTTGCTGTGATAAAACTCTGATTGAAAACAAGTTAGAGAGGAACATTTCTGTTTGTCATTGAGGGAAGTCAGAGCAGAAACCATAGAGGAATGCTGCATGATAGCTCACTCCCTGGCTAATCATGAACACAGGTTCATGATTAGCGAGCATGCCTCATGATGATGCTCCCCACAGTGAGCTTACCTGAAGACATACTCTAATCTAGAGAGTTCCTCACTTGAGACTTTCTTCTTAGATGATTGTTGTATCAAATTAACAATCTAACTAGCATACATGGGAAGATTTTATTGACTGAGCTATCTTTCCAGCCCCTTGGGTCCTCTTTTTTATTATTTATTTATTTATTTATTTATTTATTTATTTATTTATTTATTTTAAAAGATTCCCCCCCTCCCAATTATATGTATGTATGGGTGTATGCAGTACTCTTAAAGTGCTCCATGGATTTCCTGGAGCAGGATTTATGGTGGTTATGAAATGCTGGGTGTGGGTGCTGGGAACCAAAATTAAGTCCTCTGCAAGAACAGCACTTTATTAACAGCTGCTCATCTCTCCAACCCTGAGATCATCCTTTTAAAAACTGTGCACATGTCCATATGGGAAGGAAGGATGAGCAGATTCTGCTCTGATATGATCACTACCTATGCTGTGTAAGTCACTTTCCACTACCTAATTCTCTGAGTCTTCAATCGCCGGTGCCATGGTGACTTGTTGCAGCCCTTCTCTGCCTGGGCTGGAGACATCTTTAACAGCCATTTACATTCTAGGATGTAAAAACGCAGAGTCAGGCTCAAGACATGGCTCTGTTGATAAAGTACTTGCTGCATAAGCATGAAGACCATATTTGGATCCTCAGCAAGTGTAAAAGCTGGGCTTAGCAACCTAAATCTGTAACCATAGAGTATAGCTCCAGCAGATAGAGGCAGACAGATCCAGGGTGCTTGCTGGCCAGCTAGTCTAGCCAAAATGGTTTATTCTAAGTTCAGTGAGAGATGCCTGACATGATCTCTGACATCTGTACACATCACATAGGCATGTACATACACACACACACACACACACACACACACACACACACACACACACACACGCACGCACGCACACACGCACACGGCACACGCGTGTGCAAATATTATACACATACAAGCCCATAAAACTCAATTAGTAGGACATTAAGTAAGCTCTGCACTTTGGGTGTTCTCTAAAACCCTGAGTGGGAAGAGGCTACTACCCAGCCTCACATAGGAGACTGAATCTACTGAAATTACCCCTAGGCCTGTTCACGTGTGTATCCACTGCTTGGGTTGTCTTGGAGTGGTTTAGCACATAAGCCAGAGGGGAGAAATGTTAAAGATTTTTATATACAACTTTGCTAACTTTAATCATTTGTAGTAATGTTATAGTAATGATTTGTGAGACAAATGACACAGTTAAGAAATGCTTCCTTTGGACATTGCTCCCTAACAGAGGGATATGCTGTGTGAAGATCTGGCCCATGCCACCGAGCAGCTGAACATGCTCACAGAGGTCTCAAAAAAGCACTCTGGGCTACTTCAGTCTGCCCAGGAAGAGCTGACCAAGAAGGAGGTGCTGATCCAGGAGCTTCAGCACAAGGTGAGTGGCACACTGAGCCCCTCAGACACCAGCAGGGGACAGCGTGGTACGGTTGTCCTGAATTCCTGCTTTGGCTAAGTTCTCTGTGTACAGAAAATAGGCAAATGGGTTGATTAGAGACTCTGGTATTCCACCATGGACTGTGAACTTGAGTTTCCTCGTGTGAGTCTCACTTAGCGACTTCCCTCCCTGCCCTGGGTCTTTGACACATGACAGCAGTGTCTGCCATGAGGTTGTGACTGAAAACAGTAAGATGTTAAAACAAAACTATAGCCTTCTCCAAAGTAATAAATTGTACACGCATATACATTTCAGAAACATCTTTTTTTGCTGTTGTTTGAGATAGGGTCTCACTATTTATCCTAGGTTGGCTTTGAGCTCATGATTCTCTTGCCTCCACCTCCCAGAGTGCTGAGAGTACAGGCACGTGCCACTACACCCAGAATAAAATCTCTTTTTTACACAGCAAATAACTGGATACATTTATGAGGTTTATACTGATAGGTTGTACTGGAGTGGGTTGAAACAATCTTGCTTTGTAGCTCTGGCTTGCCTGGTGCTCATAGGCAACCCAGACTGGCCTGATATTCTATAATTCAGGCTGTCCTCAAACTCGTGATAATATTCCTACCTCCACCTCCTGAATTCTGGGATTACAGGCATCAGGCATCTCATCTGCCACAATGTGTTGCTCTGATGTTTGGATATATTATATAATGATTAAATCAAGTTGGTTAATATATCCATTACTTCACTTAGGATTTTGTTTGTGATACAGTTTTGAAACTGCTGTCTTTCCTGTTTTGAACTATCCTTTTTTTTTTTGGGTTGTGCTCAAAATATATTGCATGGTCTCAAAAACTTACTTTTGTCTGAGTTTGGTAGGCTTTGATGGACATTTCTCATCCAGGGCTCTTTAACTCCCCAGTCTCTGGTAACTGCAGAACCAGGGAATTCCCCTGAGCACACTGACCAGCTGAAGCAGTGAACTGAGAAACTGCCTCAATAGCAGTTGGCCTCCACAGGTCAGACACATGCAAGTGCACTCACTCCCACACATATGTGAGCACACACATGCACAATTTCGTTTTCTCCAAATATAGATCCAGCACTGAGATTGCTGGCCATGTGGGAGTTCCAGTTTGTTTTAGGGATGACTTTTCCCTTTGTGGTGGGTTTGTACTAACTGACACGTCCAAAGCAGTACAGTCTCTCCATGTCTTCCACTACCACATCTCTTTCATCTTAACAGGGAGATAACACTGTGATTTTGATTTGCTTTTCTCTGATGGTTGTCAGTGAGGAAGCTTTTCTTTTTAATTGGACTGTGTGTTCTGAATTATTTTCTAAACTGTAACCTGTTATCTGTTCAATTTGCCAGTTAAACCAAAACCAAGAGGAAGTAGAACAGAAGAAGAATGAATATAACTTCAAAATGAGACAACTAGAGCAGGTGATGGATTCTGCTGCCGAGTATCCACAGGTACCTTTCCAAAAAAGTGATTTTCAGAATAATCAGGTTTTCAAATGAGAAAAATGTGTAAATAATTAATGTTATTCCTTATAATTTTAAGGAAAAAGCTCTTCATTAACACCCCCTGTCTGCTTTCTACTTGGTAACGTCTTTTGTTTTACTTGGATAGGAATTAAAAAAAATAAGCTAAATGGCCTTTCTCTAGGGGCTTGGCATACACATACAAATGCACATTTTATCAGGTGTATAGACTACAGATGAGATCTGCATAGCATCATGTGCACTATCAAGCATTTGGATGAAGTATGATTTTTGTTTCAGAGTCCCAAAACACCTCCACATTTTCAAGCTCATTTGGCAAAACTCTTGGAAACACAAGAACAAGAGATAGAGGATGGACGAGCCTCTAAGACTTTTTTGCAACACCTTGTAACAAAGCTAAATGAAGATAGAGAATTAAGAAATGCTGAAATCCTCAAGATGAAGGTACATGACTTTTTTTTTTCTGTGAATTTCCTCCCAGCTGTTGATGATCCAAGGTCAAAAGGTCAGAACTTTTTCATAGAGTCTTCCTCCTACCCTTGACTGCTTGCAGTCTAGTTTGTTATCCCTGGGAACTCCCAGTTTCCTGTCCTTCCTTTTTTAAAAATTATTTATTTTTATTTTATGTGTATTGGTGTTTTGCCTGCATGTATGTCTGTGGGAGGGTCCCCTGGAACTGGAGTTATGGACAGTTGGGACATGTGAGTGCTGGGAATTGAACCTGGGTCCTCTGGAAGCAGTCAGTGCTCTTAACCAATGAGCCATCTCTCCAGCACCCTTTCCTTCCTTTTTAAAGCTTTTCTGTAAGTGCCCTTCCCCTGCCTTGTGGGGTTTTACACAATAGTATCATAGTCTCTACCAGCCACATTGCCATGAGCAATGAATAGGAGATCTGATTCCTTGAATTTCACCTCATAGTGCTGTCCAACTGCTGAATCTTTGCCAGCTCAACACCTATAGCACATTATCTCAACACAGTTTGAAATGTGTGCATATATGTGTTAGGTGCATGTGCTTGTGGGAGCCAGAGGTCAACATCACATGTGTTTCTCTATCACTTTCCACCTTACTTTTTGAGGCAAGGTCTCAGAGCGGGCACTGTACTGACCGAGCCATCTTCCCAGCCCCATAGTTTTAGGTTTAACTTTTCTTCTTTCCTTCTCTCCTCTCCCGTGCTTCTTCTGACTATGTGTCTGTATATGATGCAGTGTGTGGTTTTTTTGTGTGTGTTTAATGCACAAGTGTGGACATGTGTACCACAGAATGTGTGTGAAGTTGAAGGACAACCTCAGGCATCAGCCTTCACCTTCCATTTTGTTTGCTGCTGTGTGCACCAGAAGTTAGCTGACCCACAGACTTTACAGGGATTCTGTTACCACCACCACCACCACCACCACAACCTTCACCACCTCCACCGCCTCCACCACCACCTCCACCCCCAATGTAAAGAGCATTGGAATTATAGACATGTGCTACTGTACCAGGTTTCAGTGGGTTCTGGGGAACTCAAGCTCAGATCCTCACACTCATGTGGGGCAAGTGTTTTATCCACTAAGTCATCTCCCCAGCTGCCTTTCACCTTATTGAGATAGGATCTTACTATATTGTAGCCAGAAGTGTTCCTGTGTCCTGCCCAGTCTGCAGCCGCTCAGACCCAAGTAAACACACAGAGGCTTATATTAATTAAAACTCCTCAGCCATTAGCTCAGGCTTACTACTGACTAGCTCTTACATTTAAACTCAGCCCATTTCTGTTAATCTATATGTCACCACATGCTCTGTGGCTTTACCTGTGTACCATTACATGCTGTTCCCTGGTTAGTGGGCTGGCGTCTCCTGACTCAGCCTTCCTCTTCCCAGAATTCTCTTTGTCTGCTTATCCTACCTATACTTCCTGCCTGGCTACTGGCCAATCAGCATTTTATTAAACCAGTGTACAAAAGCATTATTCCACAGCACTATATAGCTATATAACCAGGTTGGCTTTGAACTCATGGTCCTCCTTTCCTTAGCCTCTTGAGTGCTGGGTTGACAGGGATATGCCACCATACTTGGCTATAAGTGAGGATCTAATTTGAGTGTATGCTATGGCACCAGTTTTCAATATGCTTAAACCGTTTAAGACACTGAGCATGTTCATGAGTCACATTTCTAAGACTTACAAGAGCTTGTTACAAACTGTGTTTAATCCAGTAACACTCAGTGCTGTACTTAAAGAGTAATGTAAAAAGGAATACCTGTCTCAGTCAACCTTTTCTTTGGGGAAGTGGGGGAGGGGGCGGCGGGGGTGACACAGGGTCTCACTTCATAGACCTGGCTGTCCTGGAACTCCTTATGTCCAGCAAATTCATATAGTTTTGCCCACCTCTGCCTCCCAAGTGCTAAAATAAAAGGTGTGTGCCACCACACCCAGCTTCATTCACAACCTTGAGAAGTAAAATAGCACCCAGTCTGATGTTTTTCTGAAAAAAAATTATTTGGTGTGTTCTCAGGATCAGTTGTGTGAAATGGAAAATCTGCGCCTGGAGTCTCAGCAATTAAAAGAGAAAAACTGGCTTCTGCAAAGCCAGCTGGATGATGTTACAAGGCAGGACAGTGGGTGAGTAAGAGCCAGAAGTCCTCCAGCTGGACTTGGTCTGCCTGCACATCCTTAAGTGAATGAGGATAATGTGGGCTTTACCAGACAGGACATCCCCCTGACCTGGGAAGTGCGTGGTTGGTTTTGAGTTGTCTAATAAGGGTATTATGCCCGAGTCATGAGCCCCCCCGAGATCACCAGGAGTCCGAGTTCGCATGTAAAAAACAAAGAGCCTGTATTGCAAGCTCGAGCTTGGACTTCCCGTCCATTCCACACAGCGTTTGGATCAGGAGAGCCTCGAGCTCAGTTGAGGCAGGGTTTTTAAGGAGTAAAGGATTCGAGGTAGGGGAATTCTGGGTTCAGATGGGATGAACTCCTGATTGGACAGGAATGAGGCAACAAAGTTTTGTCAAACAGGGATTTGTACTGGCGTTGCTGCAAGGAAATTGGCAGTTTATACAAAAGTGATGGAAGCTATCCTTTATGTTCTAGAGCATTTAGTACTTGTTTGTCTCAATTCTGATTGGTCTCCAGCAGGGTACAGTTTGTGGCTTTTCCTGATTATTGTAATGGTGAGGCCTAGTCCCAGTATTGTTCGTCTGCAGCCTGTCGTGGCAGCACTAGTGTTAATTTGGGGCTCTACAAGCATGTGGCTTTCTACCATTGGAGGATAAGACACCTACCCGCTCTGCGAACTAAGCATTTGGAGTACATTCAGAAGATGTGAAATACTTGAACCAAATTACCTCCATTTCAAAGTTTTTGGGTTTGTTTTTTTTTGGGGGGGGGAGGTTGTTTTTGTGTTTTGAAGGGGTGAGTGGAAGGGATTTTGAGATAGGCTCTCACTAGGTAGCTGTGGCTGTTCTGGAACTCATTATATAGACCAGGATAGCCATGAACTCACAGAGATCCACCTGCCTTTGTCTCCTGAGTGCTGGGATTAAAGGCGTGTGCCACTACACCTGGCTTTTTCGTTTTTTGTTTTGGTTTTCTGAGACAGGGTTTCTCTTGTGTATGTAGCCTTGACTCCTGGAGCTTGTTCTGTAGACCAGGCTGGCCTCAAACTCACAGAGATCCACCTGCTTCTGCCTTTCAAGTGCTGGGATTAAAGGCATACACCACTACATATGGCTTTTCTCTAATTCCTTCTCACAAATTGGAAATTTAGCTGGGTGGAATCTTGCCCTGAGGTCACCACTCCCTTTATTCCATTTCTTCATCTGTTTCTCTCCTTGAACCACAGGACTCAGCTCCATTCCACTTCCTTGTGCTCCTTTTCTCCTCAAATTTTTCATATTGTAATTTACCCTGCTCAACTTGCTCCTTTTCATTATAAATCTTCATTAGAGTTACCACTAATATCCACACCACAGAGTCTATACTAGGCTGTTTTGAGATTTTCTCTGCCAACGGAATTAATCCAAACTCTTCACTTTAGCCTCAGGCAGACTCTTCAGACAAGGGCAAAAGGCAGCCACTTTCTTCACCAGATTATCACAAGAATGATCTCTAGGCCACATACTAAAGTTCTTTTCCTCTAAACTCTTACAAAGAAAAAAATTTAATTGGGTGGCTTACAGTTTTAGATGTTCAATCCATTATCATCATGACGGAACATGGTCGTGTGCAGGCAGATTTAGTGCTGAAGAAGGAGCTGAGAGTTCTACATCTTGCAGGCAACAGGAAGTGAACTGAAACACTGGGTGTGGCTTTGAACAAATATGAAACTTCAAAGCCCATCTCCACAGTGACACACTTCCTCCAACAAGATCACACCCACTCCACCAAAACCATACCTCTTAATAGTTCTACTCTCTTTGAGGGCCATTTTCTTTAAAACCACCACAGTTTCTAGGTAAATAAGGTACCAAGATGCAGAAAAAGAGAGCGTTTCTACCAGTTGGTTCTGCTTCACAATATGATTCAGGGAAAGCAACCTAGGCAGACCAAGGCATCTTCAGCATCTTGCTAAGCATACCTAAGGCCCTAGGTTCAATATCCAGTACCACAAATAAAATCAAAGTAAAACAAAAAGTGCAAAGCACAGGGTGCTGGTGAGTGTATCTTTCAATAACTAGTTGTTAAGTGTGTGGTGTAGAATTAAGATGTTGCCTATTAACTTTCTATAAGAGGATTAGCAACAGGAGGGACTACTTATAAACTTGGTGTAGTCATACATACCTATACATCGTGACTCAAGATGTACAGACAAGAAGATCAGAAGTTCAAGGTCATCTTCAGCTACATATCCAATTCAAGGCTAGCCCAGACTATATAAGACTGTCTAACAACAACAAAAGGCAGGGAGGTGAATTGGACCAGAAAGAATTATCTGGGATGGGACTATTACTGAATTTCACTCCCTAGATTGGGTCCATGCTTTTTCAAATAAACTCTTAGAAGCTTGCCAGTGGTCTAGGCATTTTTAGAAGCTGTCCTGAGACTGTCTAAAATATATGAGATAACAAAAATTTGAAAGTGTTAAAGGCAGCTCTGATAAGAATGTAAATGTTTCTCTTCACGTCTTAGTACAACTGACTTAGTAGGACTAGAATAAGTCATTAGTAATAAGCCGCTCCCTCTGAGTCAGCGGTTCTCCACTTGTGGGTCATAACCCCTTTGGGAGTCACATATCAGATATCCTGCAGATCATATATTTACAATTTATAACAGCCAAATTACAGCTGTGAAGTAGCAACAAAATAATTTTAAAAGGTCACAGCACTAAGAAGGTTGAGAACCATTGCTCTAGATGATTCTGATATTTGCAGTCTACAGTCTGCTCACCTATATTTGCAGTCTACAGTCTGCTCACCTGTTTTCCACGTGCTCCACACCTTGCCAGTCTTATGAAGAGCCTCAGAACTTTCCCAAGTCATTTATTAAACCGCAAAAGTACTTTATTTCACTTCTTTTCTTTTTTTGGGGGGAAGGGGTTGATTTTTCAAAACAGGGTTTCTGTGTAACAGCCCTGGCTGTTCTGGAACTCGCTTTGTAGACCAGGCTGACCTTGAACTCACAAGAGTTCCACCTGCCTCTGCCTCCTGAGTGCTGAGATTAAAGATGTGTGCCACCATTATTTCACTTCTTTTCAGGTGTATGTGTGTGCAAACTATAACCCAGTCTAGCTCATAGGACTCATAAATAACATTCTGTTGGTGCGTAGTCACCTTGCTTGGTTTGATTGTCTGTTTTATGGCCTTAGCTGGCTTAAAACTAGTTATGTAGACCAGGTTGGCCTGAATCTCAGAAATCTACCTGCCTCTCCCTCCTGAGTACTGGAGTCAAAGGTGTGTGCCACCAAGCCTGACTTCCTCCTTTCAATCACCATGCTGAATGGCTGTAAATGTGATATGGCTACCAAACTCTAAAATACTTAATGTCTGGATATTATTTTATGTGTATAAATAATACACATAATAAAATTGTCCGCATGTATATCTAACAATTGTGTGCCTGGTGCCTGGAGAGGCCAGAAAAAGGTATTGAGTTCCCTGGAACTGAAGTTACAAGTAGTTGCGAATCACCATGTAGATGTTGGGACACAAACCCTCTGGAAGAGCAGCAAGTGCTTTGAACTGCTGAGCCAGCCCTCCAGCCACATTGTCTGAATCTTGACAAAAGATTTCCTGATCTTGGGTCAGTGCACAAACAGCACACCTTTCCCTGACCTTGGGTGACTTGATATTTAAGTCTCATTACCATTGACTAGGCTACAGATGTGAAAGAAGGAAAGAACCCTACTATACTAAGCCTTACTTAATGGTCTCCTGCTCACAGAGATTCCGAGTGAAGGCCACAGCACTCGGGCAGATTCTCCAGTCAGGTCTTGCTGGCCACTGAACTACATTCACTTTCCCAACCCAGCCAAACTTGCAGAGATGCACATGCCGTCCAGACTGTCGTCCCTTGATTTGTTGATGGAGCATTTGTTCCTGATGTTTGCATACATATGAAGCCAGAGTGGTTATCAGAAACCGTTAACTAACTAAATACTCAAGAAAGGGAAGAATCGGGTTCCAAGAGGCCAAACTACCAGGGAGCTCTAGGCAACTCTCCCCACCCCTGAAGAACCCTCTTCTGCTGGCAGTCTGTCCCCTTTTATTCACAGTTGATCATCACATTGCCACTTTTAGCTAAATTTCTGCACTAACTTTTCCTCCAAGCCTTGGTTAGATTTCTGCACTCTACTGGTCTTGCTTTTACAGTGGTAACTCAGTCCTGAGTTCTGGGGAGGGCCCTATTTATCCCATCTGTGGATCACACTGATTACTGTACTAAACGGTAAATTAATCCTTGAATATACTTGACAGTGTTTCCCTGTGCACTCCCTAATCTATGCAGCAGTCAGAGTCGTCTAGACAGTCAACAGCTGAAGAATGAAGATGAAGAGGAGATTGTCAAAGAAAGACTTGCTAAAGTATGGCTTTTTTTACACAAATTTCTTCTGTGAGAATATTTAACATTTATGTTTATTTATTTTAGAAACCATTTTGCTATTGAAATTATTGTCTTTACTGTATTCCCACTGTTTATCATGATATTTACTATCAGTATTAATATATAACTGAGAAGTAAAGGTGTATCTGTCAGCCAGGCATAGTGCTGCACACCTGTTTCTAGTACTTGGGAGACTGTCGCAGAACAATTGCCATAGGTCTGAGGCCCTAGCCATAGACAGAAACAGCAAAAGGAAGAATATGTCTCCCTTTGTGCTTCTGTCGGAAGCACTACATTTCCCACATGCAGTTATCTACTTAGAACCAAGTGTGATTGTCTATGTGCAGTGTAGGAATGCTTGTGAACCATTACCTTTTGTACACATGTATGGGATTGTGGAAATGGACACTGGTTTGATTTTATTAGCACAAAGGAAAACGGACTTGTTTCTGTCTTCTTTTTAGTAAAGATATTAAAGAATCTAACCATCTTTATTTTTTTAATTATAGAATAAACTTATTGAAGAAATGTTGAAAATGAAAACAGAGTAAGTGTACTATCTTATAATTAACCCTTTTTTTTTAGTATTTCTAAACTTATTATGGGGGGAGTGCATGCACTCCATGCCAAGTGTGTGGATGTCTGAGGAAAACTGGGGTTGGGTCCCTTCCACATTGGGTTGTCGGTATCACTGTTCATCAGGTTTGTGCAGCAAGTGTTCTACCCGCTGAGCCATCTTGCCTAGTTCTTTTGTTTTTAATTTCATATGTATGGGTGTTTTGCTTTGCCTGTATGTATGTTTGTGCATGACATATGTGCCTGGTAGAGGCCAGAAGAGGGCATCAGATACCCTGGAACTGGAGTTACAGAGTTATGAACGGTCCTGTGGGTGAAATGCTCCTCTGAAGGGAAAATACATCCATAAGATAACTTCCCTTCTGTGGTATATGTGAATATAATTGATGTTTATCAAAGTCTTTTTTTTAAGATATTAAAATTCTTATTTTTATACGTGTATTTATGTATGAGTATGCACACATGCATGCAGAGGCCAAAAGAGGATATGGGATCCCCGGCAGCTAGTTATAGGCAGCTGTGACCTGCCCTTTATGTGACCTGCTCCAGTTCCCTGCCAGGACAGGAGCTCCTAACTACTGAGCCATCTCTCTAGCCTCAAAGTTTTTTTCTTGATGCCATTTGCTTAATAGGATTTCCATGGAAAGCCACTTTTAACAAACAAGAGCACATGGGCAATCTTTAGTTTTCTTGAGTTGCTATGGGGTTTTCTCCTCAGGAACAGTCAGAGCAGTGTAACGGCCCTCCAGCTAGTAGTGGTTAAGCTGACATACAGAATGGTGAACAATCCGGATAAGTTTGTAGAACAGCAGCCAATGTAGATACATCCTTTGGGACCTTGTCACTGTATGGCACATATTTCCTGTGGTAACAGAAGTCTTCAATATGTGGTCCTTGAAGCTACAGAGCTCACATTGCACTGTGGTTACACACACAACTCATTTTCTCAGGGAACTAGATATCTAACTGTGGTAGCATAGGTAGGAAATGTTTAATTTCAGTGTGGTTGAGACTTGGTGATATCATCAGGAACTGAGACTTTCCTCATTCTGGTTTTCGTACTCCTGGCTACAGTATCCCTACTGCAGTTCCAGCATCACGTCTCTATAGCCCCCACCCCTTCTCTCTCTGCGAGGTTTCATCTTAGGGCCCTGGCTGGTCTAGAATTCATTACGTAGATCAGACACTTCCTCAGAGCTTAGAAAACTAGTGTCCAGCAAGGAGAACATAGAGCTTACCATGCTTAGCTTAGGCCAGGCATCATCCTCTGCTGGGAAGTGGATGGGCTAACATTCTTTTCCCCTCATAAAATTGAGTTCCATAAATAAGAAGCCAGTGTCTTCATTTTTTTTCTCATTGCTTCAATACAATACTGATAAAGGAAAGAAAAAAGTTTTTTAAAATTTATAGCTCCAGAGGGATACAGAGTGCCATGGTGGGGAACGGCATAGAGGCAAGACTAGGAAGCCAGCTGTCACATGGCATTTGCAGTCAGGAACCAGGGAGAAAGCAGGAAGTATGGCTGGGCATAAAAACTTGATACATACCTTCAATCCTAGCACTCAGAAGGCAGAGGCAAGTGGGTCTCTAGAGTTTAAGGCTAGCCTAGGCTACATAGTAAGATCCACAACAACCAGGGGTACATAGACCCTGTCTCAAATAAAACAAAAACCCTCAAGGCATGGGCCCTAGAAGGATGTACTTCCTCCAGAAAGTCTCCAAAATAGTGCCAATCAGCTGGGAACCAAGTGTTAAATATACATGAGCCCAAGGGCACTTCTCATATCCAGATCACAACACCTGACTGACAGTAAGGTTGGCAGGGGCAGAGCACTTCCCTGCATTGTCTCTGAGTATTGCTGAACATGCTCTGGAAACACATCACCTAGATTGAGCTGGCCTGTGGGAAGGTTTAGATCCTGTGTATCATCTCATTCCAGCAGTCATTGTTACATTCCACATGCATCATAGCAAACAGTGTTTCCAAAAGAAAGTTTATAAGACTAGAACAGTCTTATAAAGTGGGTGAAACCCTGTACTTTTTACTTGAGTTATATAAAATGGGTAAACTAAAGTACATGCCCTTGAGGAAAGAACTAATGTTCCATTGTCTGAGGCTAGGTTTTTAAATCAGAAATCATTATTCTGAGATTGGAGACACTTAAAGCCTACAGAGTGCAATGATACCTTACTTCCATCTCCACTTGGACAAGCAGAGTTTCACACTGAATTTTTATTATTTGGAAAAACAGTTTGAAGCCTGTCATTGTGGAATATGCCTATAATCCTACCATTTGAGTAGGGGAAGTAGGTCATCCTCAGCTACATAATGACTTTAAGGCCAGCCTAGGCTACACAAGACTGTGGCTCCAAATAATAAATAAAATAGTTTGAAGTTTTTCTTTTCCTTAAAGTATTGACTTAACAAAGCAATCACATCTGATATTCAGTACTATCCCTCTACCATGTTGAGGAGGGTAGAATCCAGAGCCTGGGCTGTTGTCAGGAAAGCGGTTTACCACGTAGGTCAACCCCAGTTCTAGCTTGTCTTCTCGTTTTGTTTGTTGGTTGGTTGGTTTTTCTTTCCTTTTTTTTTTTCTCTTTTTGTTTTTTTTCGAGACAGGGTTTCTCTGTGTAGCTTTGGAGCCTGTTCTGGATCTCACTCTGTAGACCAGGCTGGACTCGAACTCACAAAGATTCGCCTGGCTCTGCCTGCAGAGTGCTGAGATTAAAGTCGTGTACCACCACCGCATGGCGGTTGGTTTTTCAAGACAAGGTTTTCTCTGTGTAGACCAGGATGGCCTTGAACTCAGAGATCCACCTTCCTCTGCCCCTGGAGTGCTGGGATTAAAGGCGTGCACTGCCACTGCCCAGCAAGCCTGTCTTCTTCTTGCCAGCTATACAGGAGACCTGACGATTGGTGATGCTTTCAGATCAAAATTCTGAACTTAGAAGGAAAAACCTAGTTTGAGTCCTGTTTTATGTGTATTTTCTTGAAATACCATAAAGTAATGCTATTCTTCTAGCCTAGAAGAAGTCCAAAGTGCTCTTCAGAGTAAGGAGAAGGCCTGCCACAGGATGAGTGAGGAAGTTGAGCGAACCAGAACTTTGGAGGCTAGAGCATTTCAGGAAAAGGAGCAGCTGCGGTCAAAATTGGAAGAAATGTATGAAGAAAGAGAGAGAACTTTCCAGGTGTGTTGGGTTTTCCATGCTAGGTAGAATACTTGAATAAACAGAATTAACAAAAACCACATCCTTGGTTCAGTTTCTCTAGTGTGCAGAATGCCCACAGAAGCTTGATCACCTCTCAGTTGCTAATTTTGAAAGGGGGTACATAATGTCATCTTCCCATTCTTGGATTGACAGGAAATGGAAATGTTGAAAAAGCAACTGGAGTATCTTGCTGAGGAAAATGGAAAATTGATAGGTCATCAAAACCTACACCAGAAGATTCAATATGTAGTGCGACTCAAGAAGGAAAATATCAGGCTTGCTGAGGTAAACAGAAAACTGTTCTGAATAAATTTATGGTGGTTTTGAAGTGGTTACTTTAGTAAATTGGTCATCGCTATTTTACTTTTCTGTTTTTGAGACAGGGTCACACTCTGTAAATTAATAGTTGCCAGATTTTTACTTAATAATTAATTTACAAATTAAACATTGTAGCTTTAATTTGAATATATAGTTAATTAAGTCAAGAAAATAGTTTCAGCTGGGCAGCGGTGGCGCACGCCTTTAATCCCAGCACTTGGGAGGCAGAGGCAGGCAGATCTCTGTGAGTTGGAGGCCAGCCTGGTCTACAGAGTGAGATCCAGGACAGGCACCAAAACTACACAGAGAAACCCTGTCTCAGAAAAACCAAAAAAAAAAACCCAAAAAACAAACAAACAAAAAAAACAAAAGAAAATAGCTTCTTCTGTAACAATTAGAAACTTAATTTTATTTATTTATTAATTTTTTAATTACAGGAGACAGAAAAGTTGCGTGCTGAAAATGTATTTTTGAAAGAAAAGAAAAAGAATGAATCCTGAAGATCCCAGCCAGTGCCTACACATCACTTTGTTTAGATTGGTATTGGTTCTTTAAAAGTGAGATTGGACTTGCCCAAGTAATACAGCTAAGCTGAAAGACCTTAATTATGAATCATGATGTGTAATAGCCCTCAGTATTCTGATGGATATTCTGCCTGCAGACACAGCAGACTGTTAAGTGGGTAACAATGCATTTCCAGGTCTCAAGTCACTTGTAAATCCTGGAAAATGCTTTAAAATAAAAGCCTAGAGCTCAGGTCTGTGGTGAATGTTGGTCAGGTCCTTTTGTCAGACTCAGCTTGATAAACTTGGTATGAATTTGATGGCTGACTGATTTTTGCAGCATACATGTTTATATAGATGTTTGTTTGTGTATAACTGTTGTCATGTGCATTTTCTACAATGTCTAATTTTTCAAATAAAATTTTTTAAAAGCCAACTTAAAAAAATTATGTGTATAAATATTTTGTCTACATGTATGTACGTGCCTGGTATCCTTGGAGGTCAGAAGAGGATGTCAGATCTCCTAGAAGTAGTTACTGGTGGTGTGAGCCACCTGTGGGTGCTGAGAACCAAACCCAGGCCCTCTGCAAGAAAGTACTCTTAACCTCTGAGCCAACTCTCCAGCCCTAGTGTTGAGGTTTTTGACCAGGATCATAGGGTTTCATGTAATCCAGGTTTGCCTTGAACTCACTATGTAGGCAAAGATGTCCTTGAACTCTTTTTCCTCCTGCCTCTACCTCCAAAGTCCTAGGATTTGAGGTGCACACCACCACACCCAGGTTATTAGTTAGGTGTTGACATTGGATGCACAAACAATCAACTAAATCAACCCTCTAACTTTACTTCGTCTGAGTTTGCTTTGAAGTCACTAATTATGGAGGCCACACACTGTTTCCCGCTGTTTCTCTACATATCACACCCAAGAGGTGAGCAGTTGTCTACTTACTCTGCCAGAACATGAAGACCGTTTCTGCTAAAAGCACGGTGTTACTTTTCTAATCTCTGGGATGAAAACCTGACAGAAGCAACAATGTAAGATCTATCTCCACTGTCAAGTGCAATAGTGCAATAGGCCTTGCTGAGTCTGTTCCTCATCTGCAAATGGAACGGTTTATTGTAAAATGGCTCTCGGCCTATGACAAGGAAAGTTACACCGTGCAGACGTGGCATCCACATGCAAAATTGTATTATTAAAGGGGGAGGGGAGAGGAAAGAGAAAAGGCAGCCTCATGGAAGGAGGGAGAGGGGGAAGGGGTTTTCCTTTAAGGGGACTTTATGTAAGATGACATCATGCTGGGCAGGTTCCCAAGGGGCAGGCCAGAATGCTAACATCTATACCACATACAAATAATTGGATAATTATGCTTTTTATTTATTTTTATGTGTATCTATGTTCAGGTATGTGTACATGAGTATAGGTGCCTATGGAGACCAGAAAAAAAGCATTGGAGCCGGGCGGCAGTGGCGCACGCCTTTAATCCCAGCACTTGGGAGTTCGAGGCCAGCCTGGTCTACAGAGCAAGATCCAGGACAGGCACCAAAACTACACGGAGAAACCCTGTCTCCAGATCTGGAGCTATGAAGTTGTGAGGAGCTGTGAGGTTGTGGGCTGCCTAAATTGGTACCAGTTAGTGCTCTTAACTGCTAAGCCACCCCTCCAGCCCCCAATAATCCACCCTTTATTTCAGCCACAAAATCACCTGTATGAGAATCAATATGGTATGTTAAGAATGTCCATGAAAAGTTCTTAACAGGAGATAGTGTGCTGAACAAAGAGTGTACTGTGAAATTACTTTTGTTTTGTCAAAGTCCCATACATACATATTATTTGTATTTTATATGTCTACACAACAAGTCTCCCTGTGTAGCCCTGGCTGGCCTAGAACTATGTAGATCAGGCTGCTCTCGAACTCACAGAGATCCACTTGTCTCTGCCTCCTGAGGTGCACCCCACACCCGGCACACTTCATATACTTCTAAAGCATTTTGTTTTTTAAGGAGATGCACCCCCAACATACACTCCCATGGATTGAACTCAGGACTTTCCATGTGTTAGGGAAGGACTAAGCTAGGTCCCCGACCCTCCTTTTAAAAAACATCTTTTTGAAATAGTCTCAAAGTTCTTGGCTAGCCTAGTGCTTGCTATGTTGGCCAGGCTGGCCTCAAACTCAGTAATCCTGCCTCAGCCTCAGTAGTCCTAGGATTACAGCCATGTGCCACCAATCATCGCCAGGCTGCCCATCCCTTCTCATCTTATGTGAGATAGTGTCTCCATAAATCCTAGATTACTATTAACTTGTAATATTACTGACAGTAGATAGATGGTGTGTTTTAGTTTTTTGGGTAATTTACATGAATTTAGAAGTGATTGTGGTTCTGGTGGTCCCAGCAGAGTGGTTAACAGCGTTTTTCCTGTCTCCACATCTGGCACCTGCGTGCACGAGGGAGCAAGAGAGGCAGCTGGAGCATCTTTAAGGTGCAGACTGGCTTCAGAATCTGAAAGCCAGGAATCAGCATTTTAGGTGCTCATCCATGCCAAGTGGCAGGTATGGAACTGCAGGCCACCCCGTGGTCTCAGTACCAGGTTCCCCCGGGCTGCGGGGTTCTTTCAGGATCTGGGTCACTTCAGCGGCGGGTTCACCTCAGACAAATTCCGCTCTCCACAACTTCAGCACTGTGACAGATTCCCCTCAGCAGCAGATTCGTCTCACGCACAGCAGGTCGCTCTGCGCCCCAGGTTCCCTTCGGTGGCGCGTGGTCCTCACTAGCAGATTCCCATCAGCACCCGGTTCGCTTGAGCCGTCCTCAGCCACAGGCTTGCCTCAGCTGCAGCCCTCGGCCCGATTCCCCTCAGCAGCAGATTCGCCTCGTCCCGAGGGCGTCTCAGCCCTAGTCCCGCCTCTTCCTGGCTCCGCCCGGCTCGCGGCGCGCGCGGCGGGGCTCATGGCGGCCGGGCCGCAGTCCCCGGGGGCCGCCGTGTCGGCAGCCGCTTACCCCGACTCACCCGTGGAGCTCCCCGCCCGCCTGCACGCCGGCGCGATGCGGCGCCGCTTCTGGGGCGTGTTCAACTGCCTGTGCGCCGGCGGGTTCGGGGCCCTGGCCGCCGCCGCCGCCAAGCTGGCCTTCGGCAGCCAGGTGCGGACCGCGGGGGCGGGCGGGAGCCCGGCGGGAGCCCGGCGGGGGCGGGAGCCTTGGTTCGGGCCTCCTGGGGAGGACATCCTCACCCACCTCCCACTTGAGCCCCTCGTACCCCGTCCCAGCCTTTGCACGTGACTCCTCGGGAGACACCGACTAGTGAGCACCTAGGGAGAGGAGCGGATGGCCCTCCCACCTGCGCAGTCTGAGTCTTAAGCCAGCCTCCGCCTCATAGAGGGGTTCAAGTCATCGGCAGCCTAGAATTCAACCCTAATAGGGGACTGCATGGCTCTTTACATTCGTGGCGATTTAGAGCCAACCTAGTAGTTGCAATTGCCAAGCTTGAAGCGCATATCCCTTTGGGTGTTCATCTGTGCAGAAGTGGTCCAGAGTGAAATGAAGGACTCTAGACCATGAAAGTTTTTCTTAGTCTTTTTCAGAAGTGATCAGGCTTTCATTATCCACTGTGTAAGCAGGCTGCCCTTGGCCCTTACGATGCCCTTTTGTAAATCATCCCTTTCCAAAAGACTGCTCAGCTACAAGAAATTTGAGGTCTACACAAAAGAAAACTACCCCCTGCCTGGGGCCTCATTCTCTTGTCAACAAGGTCTGCATATCCTTTGTAGGAGACTCCTAAAGATCCCCCAGCCTCTGAAGTTTCTGCCCATGGTGGTTGTAGCTGCAGTGATATTTTCTCCTGCAGGTGAATATTGGCTTATGTGTCTTAGGCATTATTGCCATGGCAAGCACCAATTCTCTGATGTGGACCTTCTTTAGCCGGGGCCTCAGTTTCTCTATGTCTTCAGCCATTGCATCTGTCACAGTGACTTTTTCGAACATACTCAGTTCGGTGAGTAGCCTGGTGACCTTGTTCTTACTCAGGGTTCTGGGTGAGTTGTCCTTGGGGAACCCCTGCTTTTTCAGGCTCAGGAAAGGACAGGAAGTAAAACCGGTTGGACTGGCGCCAGCTAAGGAGCAGTTAAACATGAAGAACTTAGATAGGAATGACATCTGAGTGTCATTCTGGGCTAACACCAGCCATGTGAAGACATTCCTCAGCATGTCTCTCATAAATCTGGGAACTCTTAACTTTAGCTATGGGGAGAGAAGGGACTGGTCAAGGTTCTTTGTGTAAGTCCAAGGCCAACAAGGTGGAGCAAACCCAGTCAGTCCTGAAGTGGAAGGAAAGAGGGCCTAGGTAGGTTTTTGTTTTGTTTTGTTTTTAAACTTCCCTTGGTTTTTTGGGTTTTTTTGTTTTGTTTTGTTTTTCAGAGCTGAGGACTGAACCCAGGGCCTTGTGCTTGCTAGGCAAGTGCTCTACCACTGAGCTAAATCCCCAACCCCCTAGGTAGGTTTTATGATTACTGGCCCCACCTGCTGGCCTGTGTTGGGCCTGTTGTTCAGTTGGTATAGCCCCTGACTTCTGCAGAGGAGACAGAAGTGTGTGGATTGATCTAATGAAGGTGGTAGCTGATGTGAAGCAGCAGACTTTGGCCAGCCACTAAGAAATGGTAGAGCCTACTAGAGTAGGCCAAGTCCCTTAAAGCTGTCTCTCCCACAGGCCATCTTAGGCTACGTGCTGTATGGAGAGTGCCAGGAGGTCTTGTGGTGGGGAGGGGTGTTCCTCATCCTCTGTGGGCTCACCCTGATCCACAGGAACTTCCCACCCACCTGGAAGTCAAGCAAGCAGCAGTGACACCAGTTGGTGGATAGACTACGGTAAAGATGACCATCATGACACCAGTTGGTGGATAGACCACGGTAAAGATGACCATCATGACACCAGTTGGTGGATAGACCACTGTAAAGATGACCATCATGCCCAGCCATGGGTTGGCAAGTAGGACTGCTTCGGGGTGACCTGGGAGTGCAGCTTTTGACTGTCAGCCACAAGGAGATGCCAGACCAACTACAGGCCTCTGACCACCTCGCAGCCTGGAGGGTTGAAGCATTAGCTCATGTAAGAGGAGGACAACCACCACAGCATGAGGCCCAAGTCCTTCAGCGTTGGTACAGTGCTTTGATTCTTGTGCTCCGGGGCTACCTCAGTGAGTCCTGGAAGACTCTGTGATCTTGCCCAGCAACATGGCAAGTGCCTGAGAAATGTTGTGATTATGATCCTCCTACCTGACCATGACCCTTCATTTACCCCAGAGTCGGCAGCTGGAGGGCTTCCTAAAGAAAAAAAAACAGTCTGTCACACCCATGAATCCATAGCAAAAGAAGGAAATTTGGGCTAATAAATACTTATTTGTAAGTTAAAGCTACTGGGTGTGGAATCTTAATTCTTTTCCAACTGTGGGGTAAGGGAATGTAGCCAGGTAGCTGAGTTCTCGGAATTGGGTTAGTGGAGATTGTGTGCCCCTGCCTCCATGTCAGCTCTGCCCTCCCATACTCATCTGACAGAAAGAGCATACTGACACACTTCCACTGCTTCTGCCAGCTGGGACCTAGCCTCTTGTCAACATTCTCACAGGAGTTTCTATCTTGATGTCTGTTCTGTTCCTGCATACTGAAGTCTCCAGTGACTAGACATCTAGTATGGAAAGGTTTGCAGGTTCACAAGGTCCACTTCTGGTGTATGCTTTTGCGTTTGCTCTGTCCTCTGCCTTAGACTCCCTCACATGCCTCACTCTTGGGAACAACCTCTGTTCCTATTTCCAAACTCCTTTAAACTCTCCTGGGAGCCAAGGTAAGGCTGTCAGTTGCTTAGCCCACTTTGACATATTAAAACCTCCTGACCACTCCATGAAGAAGATGCTCTAGTATTTGTAGACAAATTGCTAGACGGTCTGTTTAATTAAAAAAAAAAAAATGAGCCAGATACCGGGGTTAAAACCTGGGAGATGAGAGGAATAGGGGAAGCCACAGCTAACCTCACCTCACCAACTCTGCAGCTTCCAAAGAGCGCTACTTCCTGTCTACCCACGCCTATATGCCTTTCTGTTCTGCCAACTCACTTCCTCTCCGCCCAGCTACATTACTTCCTCTTCCAGCCCAGCTCTGTTACTTCCTGTCTGTACAGACCTCCAGACCTTTATGGTTAACTAGTGTTGGAATTTAAGGTGTGTGCCACCATGCCTGGCTCTGTTCTCAGTGTGGCCTTGAATTCACAGAAATCCAGACTGATCCCTGCCTCTCAAGTGATAGGATTAAAGGTGTGTGCTACCATTGCCTGACTTCTATATTTAATATAGTGGCTGGCTTTTTCCTCTGATCCTCAGATAAACTTTATTGGGGGACACATAAAATATCACCACAAGTATTCTCATCTTAGGTGAGGAAACCAAGTCTCAAGAGCAGATGGAGTAACTTGTCCAACATCACACAGCTCATGAATGCTAGAAAGACTGTCAGCCCAGTCTGTTTTTCTTTAAGCCTCATTCTTAATCCTGACCACAGCCTCCTACATCAGCAAATCAAGACCAGAGAGACCTAGTGGTAAAGAAACCGTATCAAGTCTCAGAACCTCTGTCACTAACCACTTCCATGTTTATGAGGACTTCATGTTCCATGTGATGGTCTATTTTGATCCTGTCATTCTCCCAGAGAGAAGAAAGCCATTCAAGGCCCCATAAGGTGTGTTCCCATGTGGGCCAGGTGCCAATCAAGACCAAGCATGAGGGCTGGAAAAAAAGGCTCAGCAGTGAAGAGCATTTGCTGTTTTTGCAGAGGTCCTGGGTTCATTTTCTAGCACCCACATGATGGCTTACAACTATCTGTAACTCTTAGTTCTAGCGCATCTGATGCCTTCTTCTGACCTCTGCTGGCACCAGGGGCACATATGGCACTTAAACATATGTGCAGACAAAATAGTTACTCACATAAAATAAGTCTCTTAAAAAATAAAAAAGACCAAACATTGAAGGTTGCTGAGAGCCACTGGTAGGGTCTCTCTGGGCAAGCCATCACTCAGGTCAGAAGTCTCTCTTGGCCCAGGTACTGCCCTGAAGGGATTCTGCCTCCCATCTAGACTCCTGCTGAATTCATAGAGAAACTTGATACTGGCTAGTCCACAGATAGGGAAAACCACAAGATCAAGATCTTTTTCTACAGGGAGGATGAATGTTCTCTGGAAAGCAGAAATGTCTGCCTCTGGAATCACCTGAGAAGACTGGCAGCATTCATATCTTTGTTGCAGAGGGTGGTTCTTTTGCAAAAAAGAATAAACCACAAGAAAATATTTGTCTTTCTGATGTGCATCCTGGATTGTGGCTTGAGTTTTGTTTGCTTCAGAGCTGGAGATTTGACATCAGGTTCTATAGCCTGTGGCCTTGAAGGGTAGTTACCATTTTCTAGTTTTTTATTTATATTTTAAAGGGTGCAACTCAGCAGTTTTTTGGTATATCTACAAGATTGTCAACCGTCATTAATTCCAGAACATATTTGACTACTCAGTGAAAGTCATACGCATTAGCAATTATTCTCTGTCCCACACCTCTACTCCAGTTCCTACTATCACAAATGTTTCTGTGTCTATGAATTTGTCTATTCTAGATATTTCATATAGTGGATTTTTTCCTATGGTCTTTTGTGTCTGGCTTTTTTTTTCCACTTAAAATGCTGTTTCTAAGGCTCATTATTATTGTAGCACATTATAATACTTCATTCCTTTCTGTGGCTCAATCCCACCCTACCTTGCAGGTAGTTTGATCTTTGTGTTGGACAAGGTTGTTTCTACTTTGGGGCTCTTATAATACCGGTACAAATATTGATATTCAAGATGTTTTGTAGAAATGTAATTTCAACTCTATTGAGTATATACCTAGAATTGGGATTACTGGGACACATAAGCCATTTTAACTTGGTCTTCTTGTTTCGTTGTTATTTTTGAGACAGGGTTTCCATATGTAGCCCTTGCTAGCTTGGAACTTGCTATATAGACCTGGATGACTTCAGACTCACAGAGATCCACCTGACCCTGCCTCCTGAGTGCTGGGCTTCCTGTTTAACTTTTTGAGGAACAGCTGTGCAGCCACACCATTTCATAGTCTTACCCTTCAAGGATAAGTGTCCCAATTGCACCACTTCCTTGGCAACATTGTTATTACCCATCTTTGTCAGTTCTTATGTTAATTGTACACTAATTATGACATGTTCATGCATATAAAATACTTTGGTCATACTCAACCCCCACCTTTGTTCATCTTTTATTTTAATCATTGCTTTAGTTTCTTTTCCTGTAGTTGTGATAAAATACTCTGACGAGTCAGCTTGAGAAAGGGTTGATTCTGCTCATGTTTCCATCACTCTGGGGAAGTCACAACAACAAGTGGAAGCAGTTGGTCACATTGCATCCACAACTAGGAAGAGGGAGTGATCAATGCTTGCTATTGCTCAGGTCCTTTTCTCCTCTTACACAGGATTCCAGCCAGAGAATGGTACCAATCACAGTGGTACCATTCCCCACCAGGTATTCCCAGAGGCTTATCTCCCTGCTGGCTCAAGTCTGTGGGACTGACTGTTAACACTATCACAGCCATCCTCGTGGTATTTTCTGTGACTTCATTTACATTTCTATAGTGAGGAACGTGTCAAGCATCCTCATTATGCTTATGAGTCATTTGTGTGTTTTCATTGGGAAAAGTGACTTTTTTGGGACTTTGGACATTTAAAAAAGAATCAGGCTTGGAGAGGTCTTGGTTTGGGTTTTGATTTTTATGATGAACTCATTATATAGGTCAGGCTGATCTCAAAGTCTTGGTAATCCTGCTGCCTCAGCCTTCTAAGTGCTGGGTTATAGGAATGAGCCACCACACTTGGTTGGGCCTGAGGATCTATAATAAACGATGCTTTAGTGTCTATCTCTGCAAGGAACTTGGGTTAGAGATGACTCCAACTCTTACCCAATTTTCCTAGATGCTGTCTTAGGAGAAAAGCTGGCCACTTGGCACCAAAACAGCTGAGCATTGAAGCGGGATAAGATAGAGGAGAGGGCGGCAGAACGGAGATCCTCAAATCCAGTCCTCCCACACTCAGCCCTGCCTTGGTAACAGTTCACTGCCCAGAGCTATTTGTGACCTCTACTCATACACTGTCACATTACCAAAACTCAGTCCACATCTAGACCCATCCTGTTCTGGCTAATTTAATGACACAAGCTAAAGTCATCAGAGAGGATGGAGCTTCAGTTGAGAAAAACAAAACAGAAGGCTCAGTGGAAAGAACAGGCTGTAGGAAAGCCTGTAGGGCTTTTTCTTAGTGATGATGGGGAAGAGCCCAGCCTCCTGTGGATGGGGCCATCCCTGGGCTGGTGGTCCTAGGTTCTATTTAAAAAAAAAAAAAAAAAAGCAGGCTGAGCAAGTCACGATGAGCTCCAGAAAGCAGCACCCCTCCCTGGCCTCTGCATCATCCAAGTTCCTGCCCTGTTTGAGTTTCTGTCCTGACTTCCTTTGATGACGAACAGTGATATGGAAGTGTAAGCCAAATAAACCCTGTCCTCTCCAAGTTGCTTTGCTTATGGTATTTCATCACAGCAATAGTATCCCTAACTACAGACAAAAGGAGGGAGGCCCATCTGGACCAAGGGCCTGAGTACCTTCCAGAGGCCTTTCTTCTATTGAAAGCTAGTCTCTGCCTTTAGCCCTCCCTAAAGTGTAAGGGAGGATGGCCTCAGTTTATACCCCATCTCTTTTACCAGAACCCCCACCCTGCCCAAGCACAGCAACCAAGGACTCTGACTGGGTGCTCGCTCGCTCGCTCGCGCTCTTGCTCCCTCCCTCCCTCCCTCCCTCCCTCTCTCTCCCTCCCTCCCCCTTCTCTCTCTCTCTCCCTCCCTCCCTCCCTCTCTCTCCCTCCCTCCCTCCCTCCCTCCCTCCCTTCCTCCCTCCCTCCCTCCCTCCTAGCCTCCCTCCCTCCCTCCCTTCCTTCCTCCCTCCCTCCCTCCCTCCTAGCCTCCCTCCCTCCCTCCCTCCCAGCCTCCCTCCTTCCCTCTCTCTCCCTTCCTCCCTCCCTCCCTCCTTCTCTCCCTCCCTCCCTCCCTCCCTCCCTCCCTCCCTCCCTCCCAGCCTCCCTCCTTCCCTCTCTCTCCCTTCCTTCTCCTCTCACGCCCCCACCCCCACCCCCTGTGTGCGCCTCTCTGCCGGCCTGGCTTCCCCTCTTGCTGTAGGAGCACTGACTCTACAGGTGTCTGCCTTGCTCAGCCTTACATGGGTTCTGGGATTGAAGTGTCTTACCCACTGAACCATCTCTCCAACCCCAGCTTTGACTATTTTAAAACTGGGTTTTTTTTTTTTTTAAGTGATAATTGTCATATTCTTCAAA